TAATCCCCACCTGAAACCTTGCCAATGTTTTAAGTTGGTCATGATGGGTATATGTGCCACGTTTGGTCCAGATCTGTTGATGGGGTTCATAGCAGTTTCTGGATGTGGGTGGACTACAACTCCCATCATCATCTGCCATTGCCCCTGGGTGTGGGTGGGCTTAATCCCCACCTGAAACCTTGCCAATGTTTTAAGTTGGCCATGATGGGTAAATGTGCCACATTTGGTCCAGAGCCATTGTCGATTGGGTTTGCAGCAGTCTCTAGATGTGGGTGGACTACAACTCCCATCATCATCTGCCATTGCCCCTAGGTGTGGGTGGACTTAATCCCCACCTGAAACCTTGCCAATGTTTTAAGTTGGTCATGATGGGTAAATGTACCACATTTGGTCCAGAGCCATTGTCGATGGGGTTTGCAGCAGTCTCTAGATGTGGGTGGACTACAACTCCCATCATCACCTGCCATTGCGCCATCCCAAACAATAGGGGTGCAATAATATTAACTTGGACATGATGGGTATGAGTGCTAAGTGTGGTCCATTGCTGTTTGGATTCACATGGCTTGCCGTGTATGGGTGTACTACAACTCCCATCACCTTGCGTGATTATCCCCAACACCCCATCAGTATGTTAAGATGGTCATGATGGATATAAGGGCCACATTTGGTCCAGATCTGTTGTCAATGGAGTTCGCAGTGGTCTCTGGATGCGGGTGGACTACAACACCCATCATCACCTGCCATTGCACCCCCCCCCCTCCGAAAAATAAACAATGGGGGGCAATCACATTAACTTGGTCATGATGGGTATGAGTGCTAAGTGTGGTCCTTAGTCTCTGGAAGGGAGTAGACTCCAACTCTCATCATCACCTGCCATTGCCCCTGGGTGTGGGTGTACTACAATCCCCATCATTCCTCCTCATCAATCCCCACCTGAAACCTTGCCAATATTTTAAGTTGGTCATGATGGGTATATGGTCCACATTTGGTCCAGATCAGTTGTCGATGGGGTTCGCAGTGGTCTCTGGATGTGGGTGGACTACAATTCCCATCATCACCTGCCATTGCCCTTGGGTGTGGGTGGACTATAATTCCCATTGTCCTCCCTTAATCCCCACCTGAAGCCTTGCCAATATTTTCAGTTGCTCATAATGGATACATGTGCCATGTTTGGTCCAGATCCGTTGTCTATGGGGTTTGCAGTGGTCTCTGGATGTGGGTGGACTACAATTCCCATCATTATCTGCCATTTTCCCACCCTAAACAATGGGGGTGCAATGGTATTAACTTGGTCATGATGGGTATGAGTGCTAAGTGTGGTCCGTCACTGTTTGGATTCACATAACTCTCTGGGTATGGGTGTACTACAATTCCCATCACCTTGCGTGAATATCCCCAATACCCCACCAGTATGTTAAGTTGGTCATGATGGGTATATGTGCCATGTTTGGTCCAAATCCATTGTCGATGGAGTTTGCAGCGGTCTCTGGATGCGGGTGTACTACAGCTCCCATCATCCTGCGTGAATATCCCCAATATCCCACCATGGTCATAATGGGTATATGGGCCACGTTCAGTCCATATCTGCTGTCAATAGGGTTTGCAGCAGTCTCTAGATCTGAATGGTCCAGGTTTGTTAAGCAGACGCTGGATGGTCATCTGTTGGGAGGGTTTTGATGGTGTCTTCCTTCCTGGTAGAAGGGGGTTGGATTCTCCGGTTATTCTCTTTTTCAGATGCTTTACTCGCGACGTTCTCTGAGAAGGACAGTCCGAAGCCCATGTACCACGAAGCGGGCTCCAACCAGGTCCTGATCGGAGGCCGGGGGGCACTATGGTTCCTCACTTTTACAGGGTCGACAGTCAATCAGAAGATGGTAAGGGGTGTAAGACTCGTTCAGCCGCCGCTTCAAGGGTTGGAAATTGCAGGATAGCCTTTGCCCAGGTTGCCCCATGTGCCGCTGGGTTGTGCCACAGCTCTTGTTATGGGTTCCCCGTCACCATTGAAATCTCTCCAAGCTTGTTTTGTTTTCCGTTTTTCATTTTTCTTTTCCGTTTTCCGTTTTCCGTTTTTTGTCTTCGTTTTCCATTTTCCGTTTTTTGTTTTGTCTTCGTTTTCCGTTTTCCATTTTTTGTTTTGTCTTCGTTTTCCATTTTTCGTCTTCGTTTTCCATTTTCCATTTTCCATTTTTCATTTTCCGTTTTTCGTCTTCATTTTCTATTTTTCGTTTTCGTTTTTCGTTTTCCATTTTTCATTTTCCGTTTTTCGACTTCGTTTTCTGTTTTCCATTTTTTGTTTTCGTTTTTGTCTTCATTTTCCATTTTCCGTTTTTGTCTTCGTTTTTTTTTTTCGTCTTCGTTTTTCATTTTCATTTTCAAAACGGGAAGCTCATTTCTGTTGTTGCCATGAGGATTCACCCGCTTCACTTTTCTTTCTTCCAGATTCCTCTGAAGCCCGATGAGAAGGCGGAGAAGGACTGCAAGAAAAGGCCGACGTTAGAAGAGGTGAGGAGAGAGAGAGAGAGAGAGAGAGAGAGAGAGAGAGAGAAGGGCGTGACAGGTCACGTGTCCCTTATCCGAAATGCTGGAGACCAGAAGTATTTGGGAGTGTTTATGAATTTAGGAATATTTATATACAACTAGCTGTACCCACCACGCATTGCTGTGGCCAACCTTCTCTCCCTCTTTCTCTCTTTCGTTCCTTCTTTCCTTCATTCCCTCTTTCACTTTTTTTACTTTCTTCTCTCCTTCCTTCATTCTCTACTTTCATGGACACCAATATATTGGCGCGTTTTCTTCTCTTTCATAGGGCGAGTGTGAGAACATCATCCGTCTGATCAAGAAGCTGGACTACAGGATCATGGTCTGTGGGACCAACGCCGGTTCCCCCAAATGCTGGTTTCTGGTGAGCGGGAAGGTCGAGAAGGACGGTGGGAGAAGCAGCCCAAAATGTCACCGAGAATACATTGATTGTCTCCTGTCTCTTCTCTCCTAGGTGAACTCGACTTGGCAGCAGGACAGGCATGGCCACAATATCACTCTCTCTGCGGACAACATTGTCCCGCCGCTGGAGTCCCAGAAAGCCGTGTCCATTGCCATCGGTATGGCGTCGAGAAACTGTTCTGCCGTTCCGGAGCTCCGGGTTTGGGTTTCTTAACCGTGTCTTAACCGGGGAGGGTTTGAAGGAGGAAAACCATTTCCCGTTTGTGCCGAAAGAGAGAAAGTTTGTGAGGAAAGAGAGAAGGAAGGGGGTAGGAAGGGAGGGAGGAGGGGAAGGAAGGAGAGGATGGATGAAAGGAAGGGAGAGGAAGGAAGGGAGGAGGGAAGGGAGGAGGAAGGAAGGTAAGTAAAAAGGAGGGGAGGAAGGAGGGGAGGAAGGTGAAGAGGGAGACAAGGAAGGAATGAAAGGAAGGGAGGATGAAAGGAAGGGAGGGGGAAGGAAGGAGGGAAGGAAGGGAAGGAAGGAAGAAGGGAAGTAAAAAGGAGGGAAGGGAGGGGGAAGGAAGGATGAGAGGAAGGGAGGGAGGGAAGAAGGAGGGAAGGGAGGGAGGAGGGAGGAAGAAGGAAGAAAAAGGAGGGAAAGGGGAGGAAGGGGAAGAGGAAGGAAGGAGAAAGGAAGGGAGGAAGAAGGAAGGGAGGGAAGGAAGAGGAAGGAAGGGAAGGAGGAAGAAGGGAAGTAAAAAGGGGGAAGGGAGGGGGAAGGAAGAAGAGGAAGGGAGGGAGGGAAGAAGGAGGGAAGGAAGGGAAGGAAGGAAGAAGGGAAGTAAAAAGGAGGGAGGGAGGGGGAAGGAAGGATGAAGGAAGGGAGGGAGAGGAGAAGGAAGGAAGGAGAAAGGGAGGGGAGGGAGAGAGGAGGAAAAAGGGAGGAAGGGAAGGAAGGAAGAAGGGAAGTAAAAAGTAGGGAAGGGAGGGGGAAGGAAGGATGAGAGGAAGGGAGGGAGGGAAGAGGGAGGGAAGGGAGGGAGGAGGAAGAAGGAAGGGAAGTAAAAAGGAGGGGAGGAAGGTGAAGAGGGAGGGAAGGAAGGGATGAAGGAAGGAGGAGAAAGGAAGGGGAGGGAAGGAAGGAAGGAAGGAAGGAAGGAAGGAAGGAAGGGGGAAGGGAAGGAAGAAGAAGGGAAGTAAAAAGGAGGGAAGGGAGGGGGAAGGAATGAGGAGGAGAGGGAGGAGGAGGAGGAAGAAGGGAAGTAAAAAGGAGGGAAGGGGGAGGAGGGAAGGATGAGAGGAAGGAAGGAGAAAGGAAGGAGGGAGGGAGGGAGGGAGGAAGAAGGAAGGAAGGAAGGAGGGAGGAAGGGAAGAGAAAGAAGGGAAGAAAAGGAGGGAAGGGAGGGGGAAGAATGAGAGGAAGGAGGAGAGGAAGGAAGAGGAAGTAAAAAGGAGGGGAGGAAGGAGAAGGAAGGTGAAGAGGGAGGGAAGGAAGGAATGAAGGAAGGAAAGGAAGAGAGGAGGAAGGAAGGAGGGAAGGAAGGAAGGGAGGAAGGGAAGGAAGGAAGAAGGGAAGTAAAAAGGGGGGAAGGGAGGGGGAAGGATGAAAGGAAGGGAGGGAGGGAAGAAGGAGGGAAGGGAGGGAGGAGGAAGGAAGGAAGAAGGGAAGTAAAAAGGAGGGGAGGAAGGGGAAGAAAGGGAAGAGGGAGGGAAGAAGAAGGAGAGGAAAGGGAAGGGAGGGAGAGGGAAGGAAGAAGGGAAGTAAAAAGGAGGGAGGAGGGGGAAGGAATGAGAGGAAGGGAAAGGAGGGAGGGAGGGAGAAGGGGAAGGAAGAAGGAAGAAAAAGAGGGAAGGGAGGGGAAGAGAAGGAAGGAAGGAGGGAAAGGGAGGGAGGAGGGAAGGAAAGGGAAGGAAAGGAGGGAGGAAGGAAGGTGAGGAGGGAGGGAGGGAAGGAAGTAGGAGAGCATGTGTCGTGTATCATGTCCTGCAGTGGATGACGGTTGGTGGTGGCAGGGCTGGCAGTTGAGGATGGAAGGGTTCATGTGGGCCTTAGTTCCACAGGGGTGAGTAATGTGTCATTAACAGTGCCCAGGTGAAAGCGTCAGGGAATCTGGGCCAAATTTTCCAGGTTACCTCTTCTCCAAGGTGCTGAATCCATGGGTGAACTGGTCTCAGCACCTTGGAGAGCTCCTCTGGAGCCAAGATTGAAGCCCGGAGGAGGCTCGTATATAACACTGGTTCTCAACCTTTCTAACACCGTAACCCCTAAATATATTCAATATACCCAAATTTGAACACTGGCAGAGTTTGGGTAAAATAGACCCTGACATTTGGGAGTTGTAGTTTGCGGAATTGGGGGCGGGGCCTAAGGAGGTGGCCTCACGACCCCTCCGAAATGGCCAAACGACCCCCTTGGGGGTCGCGACCCCCAGGTTGAGAACCGCTGATATATAAGGTATGAGTAAACTCAGACCCAGGGGCCAAATGTGGCCCCTTGGACTCTTTTCTCAGGCCCTCCTCTCTCTCACCATCCTATCCTTCTTTCCTTCTCTCTTTCCTTCCTCCTTCCCTCCCTCTTTCTCCTTCCCTTCCACCCTTTTGTTCTTCCTTCCTCTCTTTCCTTCCTCCTTCCTTCTCGTCCTCCCTCTTTCTCCCTCACTCATTCCTTCCCTTCCTTTCTCTTCTTTTTTCTCCTCCTCGTCTTCTTCCTTCTCCTTTCTTTTGTTTCCTCTTCTTCCTCCTCCTCCTCCTTTATGTCTTTGCCTTCATCTTCCTCCTTTTCTTATTCCTCCTTTCTTCTCTTCTTATCCTTCCTTCTCCTTCTCTTTCTTGCTCCTCCCATCACTCTTCTTCCTCTTTTTTCCTCCTCTTCATTCTCTACCTCTTCTTTTTCCTTCTCCCTCTTCTCCTTCCTGCTCCATCCTCCCTTTTTTCCTTCCTACTCCTCTTCTTATTTCTCTTCCTCCTCCTACCCATTCTTGTTTGTCTTCCGCTTTCTCCTCCCTCCTTCTTTTCTCCTTCCTTCTCTTCCTCTGTTTCTTCTTTCTCCTCCTTCTTTCTCTATTTCTTTCTCCCCTTCCATCTGCCTCCCAACTTCTTCCTCTTATTTCCCCCTTCTTCTTTCCTTGATTTCTTTTTTCCTCCACCCTCTTTTTCTTCTTCTTCTCCCCTTCTTCTTCCTTCCCTTCCTCTTATTTTCCCCTTCTTTCTTCCTTGATTTCTTTCTTCCTCCACTCACTTTTTCTTCTTCTACTCCCTCTTCTTCTTCCTTCCCTTCCTCTTATTTTCCCCTTCTTCTTTCCTTCATTTCTTTCTTCTTCTGCCCTCTTTTTCTTCTTCTTCTCCTTCCTTCTCTTCCTCTTATTTTCCCCTTCTTTCCTTGATTTCTTTCTTCCTCCATCCTCTTTTTCTTCTTCTTCCTTCCCTTCCTCTTATTTTCCCCTTCTTCTTTCCTCGATTTCTTTCTTCCTCCGCCCTCTTTTTCTTCTTCTTCTCCCTCTTCTTCTTCCTTCCCTTCCTCTTATTTTCCCCTTCTTCTTTCCTTGATTTCTTTCTCCCTCCACCCTTTTTTTCTTCTTCTTCTCCCTCTTCTTCTTCCTTCTCTTTTGCATCCAGCTCCTCTTCCTCTTCCTCTTCCTCTTCTCCCCTTCTTCCTCTTCTTCTTTTCTTGCTTCATCTTCCCTTTCCCTTCAGTTCCTGACATCTTGGTATGTTTTCTATCCCTTGGGATGGTAGGAATAAATAGCCAAAGAGTATTTGGGATTCGGGAGAAAGAAGTGATGGGGGCAAGATGTGTTTTCATTTCCCATAATTAATTAATTATTCTTTTGTGATCATTCATATTTTTAGAAGGAAACCTTTATTCCGCTGTGTCGGGGAAGAAAGGTATGATCCAGAGAAGCTACGGAAACAAGAAAGGGATCAAGACGGAAGACAGATGGCTAGCCAGTAAGAAAAACACACTTCTATCCTTAGTGTCATGCAAGGATATATATGTACATGTATGTACACACACACATATATGAGATGAGCACTTGATTGGTAGAATGTTCAATGAATGTATTCTACTTGAACAAGGGTTCAAGTAGACTTAATATTGATACACTCTATGTATATGTATCTAATGTACTATCTATCTATCTAATGTAAGCATATATGCATATCATCTATTGATCATCTATCTGTCTGTCTATCCATCTATGTAGCTAGACAGATAGGAAGATAGGTAGGTAGGCAGGTAGGTAGATGGATGGATGGATAGAAAGATAGGAAGATGGATGGATGGGTGGATGGATAGAAAGATAGGAAGATGGATGGATGGATGGATAGAAAGATAGGAAGATGGATGGATGGATGGATGGATGGATGGAAAGATAGGAAGATGGATGGATAGATAGATGGATGGATGGATGGATGGATGGATGGATGGATGGATGGATGGATAGAAAGATAGGAAGATAGATGGATGGATGGATTGATGGATGGATAGAAAGATAGGAAGACGGATGGATGGATAGATGGATAGATGGATGGATGGATAGGAAGATAGATGGATGGATGGATAGAAAGATAGGAAGATAGATGGATGAATGGGTAGGAAGATAGATGGATGGATAGAAAGATAGGAAGATGGATGGATGGATGGATAGAAAGATAAGTAGATAGATGGATGGATAGGAAGATAGATGGATGGATGGATGGATGGATGGATGGATGGATGGATAGATAGATAGATAGATAGATAGATAGATAGATAGATAGATAGGAAGATAGATAGATAGATAGGAAGATGGATGGATGGATGGATGGATGGATGGATGGATGGATGGATGGATAGATGGATAGATAGGAAGATGGAGGGATGGATGGATGGATGGATGGATGGATGGACAGAAAGATAGGAATATAGATGGATGGATGGATAGATAGAAAGATAGGAAGATAGATGGATGGATGGACAGAAAGATAGGAATATAGATGGATGAATGGATGGATGGATGGATGGATGGATGGATGGATGGATGGATGGATGGATAGATAGGAAGATAGATGGATGGATGGATGGATGGATGGATGGATGGATAGAAAGACAGGAAGGTAGATAGATGGATGGATAGAAAGATGGGAAGATGGATGGGTGGATGGATGGATAGAAAGATAGGAAGATGTATGTATGTATGTATGTATGTATGTATGTATGGATGGATGGATAGAAAGATAGGAAGATAGATTGATTGATAGAAAGATAGGAAGATAGATGGATGGATGGATAGAAAGATAGGAAGATAGATAGAGAAAAAGAGAGATAATTTCTTATTTAATGAGTTGTATATTTATTTGCTTTTATGTCATGTGGCACTGAATTGCAAACTGGAAGTCGCCCTTCGGGGTGTGATAGAGCGGTAAATGCAGTAAATAAATAAAATAAATACAGTCGTACCACCTGTCTCTCTGCTGCAAACGCATATGCATATCATCTCTCAGTCTATCTATCTATCGATTTAATGGAAGCATATATGGATATCTATTGATCATCTATCTCTAATCCATCTGTGCCGGTTGTCTTACACCGTCTCCCTCTCCAGAATCGGAATTTGTGGGTGCTGCCCTCCTTCCCGAGGACAATCCAAAGAACGATGAGATCTTCTTCTTCTACAACGACGTCAACGAAACGGCCGGACTGGACAAAGAGCCTTACAAAGCTCACCTGGGACGTGTCTGCAAGGTCAGGTGGATCCCATATGAGATTTTATATATTCTGGCCTTAAATGAGGGAAGATCCAATTAACAAGGGAGATGTACTGTTGGAAGGTCTCCAGGACCTCTGACTGTTGGAAGAAGCCATTCGTTTTTAATGCGGCACCATCTGCATTCCCAGGAGGACCAAGGCGGGAAGCCCATCCTGACCGACTCCTGGAGCACCTTCCTCAAGGCCCGGCTGGTGTGCGGACACCCCAACGAACCCATGCGCTTCCACCGCCTCCGAGGCGCCTTCGTCTTCCGAAAGGAGGGGAAAGGCGAGGCCGTTCTCTATGGTGTCTTCTCCAGCACTTGGTGAGTGACGGAGAACGTCAGTCGGGGGTCTTCGTCAGGGGCGGCTCGTCCATTACGCGGTCGCAGAACACTTTTTTTTGCCAGGGGCGCAGAGGCACCTGTGTAAATGCCCCTCGACCACCACTTGAGGAGCACCCCCTCAGCTCACAACAGCCCTAGCACTCCAAGGGGAGCCTCGGCTTTCTTGCCTCGCTGCCAGGCGATCCTCTTCCCAAAGGGGCCGGGCCCTTGAGCCTCGCCTAGCCCCTCTCGTTCCTGCTCCACCCGGCCACCGGGTGCGTGCGAGCAGAGCCGGCGCTCAATCGTTCTCCGCGTTCGATCCCTTCCCCATGACCGGCTCCCTTTCCCAATCCCCCAGTGCTCCGCCCCAATCCGTGGGTGGCCAAGGGGTGGAGCCGCCCCTGGCCCGCTTCGGGTCCGGAGGCGTGTCTGAAGACCCCAGCGTGCGCACCAAAAGTCGCCTCTTCTCCTGACTTTCTCTTCAGCCATTGGGACCAAGAGAGAGAGAGAGAGAGAGCCCCTCCGGCTGGAGGTATCTCCCACCTCCGCTCCCTCCTTTGTTTTTGCACCTACCTTCAGGAAAGGTGGGCATCTCCACCTCTCTCTCTCTCTTCTCTCTCTCGGTCCCAATGGCTGAGGAGAAAGTCAGGAGAAGAGGTGACTTTTGGTGCACACGCAGGCATGCCTCCGGACCCAAAGCGGGCCAGGCAAGTGTAGTTACTGGGATGTATAGTCACCTACAATCAAAGAGCATTCTGAACTCTACCAATGATGGAATTGAACCAAATATGGCACACAGAACTCCCATGACGAACGGAAAATATATATGATTGGTGGGGAGGGGGGGGGGGCGCCAAAATACTGTTTGCTTACCGTTGAAAATTACCTAGGGCCGCCTCTGGTCTTCGTAGCCAGATTGAGTCTCTCTCTATTGCAATTCACAGCTGGGTGAAGTGGCCCGGTGTGGTGTCACTGGATGGACTGCTGCTAGGTGAAGGGCTGGCTGTTGCTGGGTGAAGTGGCCTGGTGTGGTGTCACTGGATGGACTGCTGCTAGGCGAAGGGCTGGCTGTTGCTGGGTGGAGTGGCCCTCTGTGGTGACGCTGAATGGACTGCTGCTAGGTGAAGGGCTGGCTGTTGCTGGGTGAAGTGGCCTGGTGTGGTGTCACTGGATGGACTGCTGCTAGGCGAAGGGCTGGCTGTTGCTGGGTGGAGTGGCCCTCTGTGGTGTCACTGGATGGACTGCTGCTAGGCGAAGGGCTGGCTGTTGCTGGGTGGAGTGGCCCTCTGTGGTGTCACTGGCTATTGCTGAGTGAAGTGGCCTGGTGTGGTGTCACTGGATGGACTGCTGCTAGGCGAAGGGCTGGCTGTTGCTGGGTGGAGTGGCCCTCTGTGGTGTCACTGGATGGACTGCTGCTAGGTGAAGGGCTGGCTGTTGCTGGGTGGAGTGGCCCTCTGTGGTGTCACTGGATGGACTGCTGCTAGGCGAAGGGCTGGCTGTTGCTGGGTGGAGTGGCCCTCTGTGGTGTCACTGGCTATTGCTGAGTGAAGTGGCCTGGTGTGGTGTCACTGGATGGACTGCTGCTAGGCGAAGGGCTGGCTGTTGCTGGGTGGAGTGGCCCTCTGTGGTGTCACTGGCTATTGCTGAGTGAAGTGGCCTGGTGTGGTGTCACTGGATGGACTGCTGCTAGGCGAAGGGCTGGCTGTTGCTGGGTGGAGTGGCCTGGTGTGGTGTCACTGGATGGACTGCTGCTAGGTGAAGGGCTGGCTGTTCCTGGGTGGAGTGGCCCTCTGTGGTGTCACTGGATGGACTGCTGCTAGGCGAAGGGCTGGCTGTTGCTGGGTGAAGTGGCCCTCTGTGGTGTCACTGGCTATTGCTGAGTGAAGTGGCCTGGTGTGGTGTCACTGGATGGACTGCTGCTAGGCGAAGGGCTGGCTGTTGCTGGGTGGAGTGGCCCTCTGTGGTGTCACTGGCTATTGCTGAGTGAAGTGGCCTGGTGTGGTGTCACTGGATGGACTGCTGCTAGGCGAAGGGCTGGCTGTTGCTGGGTGAAATGGCCCTCTGTGGTGTCACTGGCTATTGCTGAGTGAAGTGGCCTGGTGTGGTGTCACTGGATGGACTGCTGCTAGGCGAAGGGCTGGCTGTTGCTGGGTGGAGTGGCCCTCTGTGGTGACGCTGGATGGACTGCTGCTAGGTGAAGGGCTGGCTGTTCCTGGGTGGAGTGGCCCTCTGTGGTGTCACTGGATGGACTGCTGCTAGGCGAAGGGCTGGCTGTTGCTGGGTGAAGTGGCCTGGTGTGGTGTCACTGGATGGACTGCTGCCAAGTGAAGGGCTGGCTGTTGCTGGGTGGAGTGGCCCTCTGTGGTGTCACTGGATGGACTGCTGCTAGGCGAAGGGCTGTCTGTTTCTGGGTGGAGTGGCCCTCTGTGGTGTCACTGGATGGACTGCTGCTAGGTGAAGGGTTGGCTGTTGCTGGGTGAAGTGGCCTGGTGTGGTGTCACTGGATGGACTGCTGCTAGGTGAAGGGCTGGCTGTTCCTGGGTGGAGTGGCCCTCTGTGGTGTCACTGGATGGACTGCTGCTAGGCGAAGGGCTGGCTGTTGCTGGGTGAAGTGGCCTGGTGTGGTGTCACTGGATGGACTGCTGCCAAGTGAAGGGCTGGCTGTTGCTGGGTGAAGTGGCCCTCTGTGGTGTCACTGGATGGACTGCTGCTAGGCGAAGGGCTGGCTGTTGCTGGGTGAAGTGGCCCTCTGTGGTGTCACTGGATGGACTGCTGCTAGGCGAAGGGTTGGCTGTTGCTGGGTGAAGTGGCCTGGTGTGGTGTCACTGGATGGACTGCTGCTAGGCGAAGGGCTGGCTGTTGCTGGGTGAAGTGGCCTGGTGTGGTGTCACTGGATGGACTGCTGCTAGGCGAAGGGCTGGCTGTTGCTGGGTGAAGTGGCCCTCTGTGGTGTCACTGGATGGACTGCTGCTAGGCGAAGGGCTGGCTGTTGCTGGGTGAAGTGGCCCTCTGTGGTGTCACTGGATGGACTGCTGCTAGGCGAAGGGCTGGCTGTTGCTGGGTGAAGTGGCCCGGTTAGGTGTCACTGGATTGGACTGCTGCTAGGCGAAGGGCTGGCTGTTGCTGGGTGAAGTGGCCCTCTGTGGTGTCACTGGATGGACTGCTGCTAGGCGAAGGGCTGGCTGTTGCTGGGTGAAGTGGCCCTCTGTGGTGTCACTGGATGGACTGCTGCTAGGCGAAGGGCTGGCTGTTGCTGGGTGAAGTGGCCTGGTGTGGTGTCACTGATGGACTGCTGCTAGGTGAAGGGCTGGCTGTTGCTGGGTGAAGTGGCCTGGTGTGGTGTCACTGGATGGACTGCTGCTAGGCGAAGGGCTGGCTGTTGCTGGGTGAAGTGGCCCTGTGTGGTGTCACTGGATGGACTGCTGCTAGCTGAAGGGCTGGCTGTTGCTGGGTGAAGTGGTCTGGTGTGGTGTCACTGGATGGACTGCTGCTAGGCGAAGGGCTGGCTGTTGCTGGGTGAAGTGGCCTGGTGTGGTGTCACTGGATTGGCTGCTACTAGGTGAAGGGTTGGCTGTTGCTGGGTAAAGTGGCCTGGTGTGGTGTCACTGGATGGACTGCTGCTAGGCGAAGGGCTGGCTGTTGCTGGGTGAAGTGGTCCTCCGCGGTGTTACTGGATGGACTGCTGCTTAGTGAAGGGCTGGCTGTTGCTGGGTGAAGTGGCCTTCTGTGGTGTCACTGGATGGACTGCTGCTAGGCGAAGAGCTGGCTGTTGCTGGGAGAAGTGGCCCTCTGTGGTGTCACTGGATGGACTGCTGCTAGGCGAAGGGCTGGCTGTTGCTGGGTGAAGTGGTCCTCTGTGGTATTACTGGATGGACTGCTGCTAGGCGAAGGGTTGGCTGTTGCTGGGTGAAGTGGCCCTCTGTGGTGTCACTGGATGGACTGCTGCTAGGAGAAGGGCTGGCTGTTGCTGGGTGGAGTGGCCGTCTGTGGTGTCACTGGATGGACTGCTGCTAGGCGAAGGGCTGGCTGTTGCTGGGTGAAGTGGCCCTCTGTGGTGTCACTGGATGGACTGCTGCTAGGCGAAGGGCTGGCTGTTTCTGGGTGGAGTGGCCTCTGTGGTGTCACTGGATGGACTGCTGCTAGGCGAAGGGCTGGCTGTTGCTGGGTGGAGTGGCCTCTCTGTGGTGTCACTGGATGGACTGCTGCTAGGCGAAGGGCTGGCTGTTGCTGGGTGGAGTGGCCTCTGTGGTGTCACTGGATGGACTGCTGCTAGGCGAAGGGCTGGCTGTTGCTGGGTGGAGTGGCCCTCTGTGGTGTCACTGGATGGACTGCTGCTCGGTGAAGGGCTGGCTGTTGCTGGGTGGAGTGGCCCTCTGTGGTGTCACTGGATGGACAGCTGCTAGGCGAAGGGCTGGCTGTTGCTGGGTGAAGTGGCCCTCTGTGGTGTCACTGGATGGACTGCTGCTAGGCGAAGGGCTGGCTGTTGCTGGGTGAAGTGGCCTTCTGTGGTGTCACTGGATGGACTGCTGCTAGGCGAAGGGCTGGCTGTTGCTGGGTGAAGTGGCCTTCTGTGGTGTCACTGGATGGACTGCTGCTAGGCGAAGGGCTGGCTGTTGCTGGGTGAAGTGGCCTTCTGTGGTGTCACTGGATGGACTGCTGCTAGGCGAAGGGCTGGCTGTTGCTGGGTGGAGTGGCCCTCTGTGGTGTCACTGGATGGACTGCTGCTAGGCGAAGGGCTGGCTGTTGCTGGGTGGAGTGGCCCTCTGTGGTGTCACTGGATGGACTGCTGCTCGGTGAAGGGCTGGCTGTTGCTGGGTGGAGTGGCCCTCTGTGGTGTCACTGGATGGACAGCTGCTAGGCGAAGGGCTGGCTGTTGCTGGGTGAAGTGGCCCTCTGTGGTGTCACTGGATGGACTGCTGCTAGGCGAAGGGCTGGCTGTCGCTGGGTGAAGTGGCCTTCTGTGGTGTCACTGGATGAACTGCTGCTAGGCGAAGGGCTGGCTGTTGCTGGGTGAAGTGGCCTTCTGTGGTGTCACTGGATGGACTGCTGCTAGGCGAAGGGCTGGCTGTTGCTGGGTGGAGTGGCCCTTGGGTATCACTGGGAAAGGAAGGTGACAGGTGCATAAGGGGAAGGGAGGGAGGAGAAAAGGAAAGGAAAGAAAGGGAAAGAGAAGGATGTAAAGGAGGGAAGGGGGAGAAATAAAAAGGAGGGAACAGGAAAAGAGGGAGAGCAGGAGGGAGGGAGGGAGGGGAGATGTGTGAGGGAAAGCAAGGAAAGATGAAAGGAAGAGGGAGCGAGGGAGGAAAGAAAGAGCTGCAAAGAGAACTTGCCCACCATCACCAACGCATTGCAATGGATACATTGTTGAGAGCTGGAGAAGGGAGAAAGTAGTCAGGCAGCGGTTTCAATGACTCCCGGGGAAACACAAGGGATTTGTTACATCTGTGTTCCTTATCCAAAGGGGTTCGTCGGCTGTTTGCTCGTACTCTATGAAGAGAGTCAGCTCCCTTTTCAAGACATCCAGCTTCAGAGGAGGTCCTGCAAGCATACCCTATCCCCGACCTGGAACGGTAGTGTATACCTTCTTTTCCACAGTCGGTAATACCAATAATATTATCATTATTGATTGGGCCGGGCTTTAACTCAGCGGGTTAAAACACCAGCTGCAGAAAATCTTGCCGATCGAAAGGTTGACAGTTCAAGCCTGGGTTGGGGTGAGCTCCCAACTGCCATCCCAGCTTCTGCTCATCCTAGCAGTTCGAAAACAGCAATGTGAGTAGATAAATAGGGGAAGTAATAAAAGCCCGAGAGAGTCTAAGGACAACAAAGCTCCTCATCGTGCAGCAACAGCACCTCCCAGTGGCCGGAGTCGAGCACCGCCTCCAGATGCCGGAGATGGAAAAAGATGGGAAGCCTTTGCCTTTGTTTATGTACTGTCTGTCCTTGTTAATTGTATGACAGCATTGAATGTTTGCTGTTGTTGGGGTTCAGCCTGATCCTGATCTGTGTGAACCGGATTCTCTGATAGTTTTTCCAACTGAGCAAGCTCTCTCTGACAGTGTGGAATCTATAAAACCTACAAGAACCTAGTGTGGAATCTGTTGTTGATGCTGAGGTCAGCGGCAAGGAAAGTGAAACTGAACAGCTGGAGGAAAATGTTTTGGAAGCTAGCCGTGATATCTCTCCACCTGGGTTTTTTAATGAGGACCGAAGAGAACAGATAGTTAGAGACAGAAATGTTTCACAGTTTCTACGAAGGTCAAATCGTTTACAGGAGAGACAGGCCCAGGCTTCAAAGTCAAGGGGCGTTTCAAAGAATATCTTCTTTGGTTTAAGGGGCCTCCTGCCGGGTGTCTCTTTAGATCAAGCAACGTTTGGGACTGTGGCTGTGCCTTTGCAGAATTCCTGTGTTCCATGGCTGGTAATCCCAGGGGCTTCTAGTTTTCAAGTTCATGGTTAGCGAGAGGCTAACAGGTTCCTGGTTCTTGTATTGTGGCTTTTGGAATTTTGCTCAAGTTCAGAGATTCCACTGACTGCTGTGTTTCTATTGTGGCTTTTTGACTTGCATTTACCTTTCTTTTGTAACCAATTTTTCATCAATAAACAAGGATTGTTTTTCCTACAGTGCAGTGTGGTGGATTTAATCTTATGGTCTCGTTTCTTGATCTGGGATGCAACAGCTGGATATGTGTACTGTAATCTGCTCTGAGTCCATTTGCTTGGCCAACCTTTTCCTGTTTCCTTCTTCCTTGTTGCAGTGCTTTCCGCCAGAATCCTCCCACCAGCAGACCAGAGGGACCTTGAATTACATTAAGGATCACCCAGAACTGGACGCGGTTATCTACCCCGACGAAGAACGCCCGCTCTATGTCCTCCAGAATAATGACACGTACACCCACGTGGTTGTGGACCAGGTGCGGGACGCCAGCAACATGTCCTACGATGTCCTTTACCTGGGGACAGGTGAGCTTAAGAGGAAGGTGATAATGAGGCACTGTCGTGGCCAATTTGGCTTGGATTGGATGGGTAACACTTGGCTTGGAAGCAGTCCATGGAGTCTGAGGAGTCTGAGGGCCGGGCTTTAGCACAGCAAGTTAAACCACCAGCTGTAGAAAATCTTGTCGATCAAAACGTTGGCAGTTCAAGCCCGGGTCGGGGTGAGCTCCCGCCATCAGCCCAGCTTCTGCTCACCTAGCAGATCGAAAACAGCAATGTGAGTAGATAAATAGGTACTGCTTTAAGCGGGGAGGTAATAAAAGGACATTCAATTGGGATTCAATCGGGAGGACGTCTACGGAAAAGCTCCTTGGCATGGAAGATGGTGCAACAGCACCCCCTCATGACCGGAGTTGAGCACAGCCTCTAGATGCCGGAGATGGAAAAAGATGGGAAAGCCTATACCTTTGTTTATGTACTGTCTGTCTTTGTTAATTGTATAAATGCATTGAATGTCTGCTGTTTATATGTTCCGTAATCCGCCCTGAGTCCCCTAGGAGAGATAGGGCGGATTTTAAATAATAAAATAATAATAATAATAATAATAATAATAATAATAATAATAATTGTTGTTGCCGTTGTATTTGAGTGTGAATATACACACACAAACATACATACAATATATATGTATGTATATATACACAATATATATGTATATGTATATATATAATGATTATTATTATTGTGTGTATATATTTATATACATACACACATACATACAATATATGTATATGTACACAACATGTATATGTATATGCATACAAGCATTATTATGTGTGTATATTTATACACATTTATTTATTTATTTATTTCATTTACTTATACCCCGCCCTTCTCACCCCGGGGGGGACTCAGGGCGGCTTACAGTGGGGCACAATTAGATGCCCAAAACAATACACAAGCAATATGAAACAATCAACAATTAATTAAAACAATAGTACATATTAAAACAATACACATACACACATACATACAATATATATGTACACGTATATATATATACAATTATTATTGTGTGTGTATGAATGTACACATACACGCACTATATATGTATATGTATATATACACAATATATATGTATATGTATAATTATTATTGTGTGTGCATATATACACATGCACACATATATACAATATATATATGTATAGATACACAATATATGTAAATGTATACAATTATTATTATTATTGTGTGTGTTTATATATATATATACATACACACATACATACAATGTATATGTATATATACACAATATATATAGTATATGTATGCAATTATTATTGTGTGTATAGATATATATACACATATACACAATATATATATGTATATGTATGCAATTATTATTGTGTGTACAGATATATATATATACACACATACATACAATAGCTATGTATATGTATATGCATATGCACCAACTTTTCCAGTTAAAATATAGAGTTAAGATGACTCCCACGCATAAGACTACACCTGCGTATAAGACGACCCCTGACTTTTGAGAAGATTTTCTTGGGTTAAAAAGTAGTCTTATACGCCAGAATATACTGTATATACAATTATTGTTATTGTGTGTGTGTTTGTGTTTGTGTGTATATATATATATATATATATAGAGAGAGAGAGAGAGAGAGAGAGAGTATAGTGTGTGCGTGTATTAAATTATTATTAGGAGACCAGAAACTAATCATGAGCCAACAGTGTGATATGGCAGCGAATAAGGCCAATGTGATTCTAGGCTGCATCAATACAAGTCTAATGTCTTGATCAAGGAGGTCTCATAGTCCCACTCTGTTCCACTTTGGCTAGATCTCCCCTGGACTATTATGCTCAGTTTGGGGCACCATGGGTCCAGGAAAGCTATGGACAAGCTAGGAAGTGTTCAGAGAAGGAAAACTAGGAATCCCTCTAAAGGAGTGTCTTAGGGGTCTGGGGATGTTTAGCTTGGAGAGGAGATGAAGAAGTGTCCTGAAAGAGGAGGACTTGGTTGCCTTGGTCGCCTTTCTGAGCGCAACCTCGTCTTTGTCTCCGTTCGTAGCGAAAGGGAAGATCCACAAAGTGCTCCGGAGCAAAGACCAGACAGTGATCATTGCCGAGATCAGTCCCTTCAAGGAGCAAGAGCCCATCTCTTCGATGATCCTGGACACCAACACGGTAAGTATGCCGTTGCTGCCTGGGGTCTATAGTTCTTCCAAGCTTCCAAGTTCCCTCTTTCTCAATGGCTGTGAAAGTCGGAACATTCACAGCCCCAGTCCAATGACCTATATTGAAGGCACAAAGTCTTCCTCTTGACGCCAAAGGACTGGTTTGAAGGCGCTTAAGATTTCTCAACGTCGTCCAGGTGAGCTGGGCATGAAGTATGAATCTTAAGGGTAAAACCTAAGAATTGGTGATAAGTGATGACTTGACTGAGGGCATAGAGCCAAGCCTTTCTCACGTCCATCTGTTAAGCTGATTGATGGTAGAATGAAAAAGAAAGCACTGCGCTCTTCCCTAGGAAGGGGTGGAGTCAAACAATTGAGCTGGGGGAGCAATTCAACCAGTGCAAAACAACATTGATAACCAACAATTCAACTATATATTTACATGCAAGTGGCGCCAGTCGCGCCGTCACCTAATAAAACCTAATAAAATACAGGAGAGTCTCGCTTATCTGACCTTCACTTATCCAACATTCCGTCTTATCTGAAAATATATTCCACCTAAACATTGGGAAGAACTTGGTGACGGTAAGAGCTGAATATGTGTGATGGACCATCCTTCTCTGGAGGTTTTTCAGCAGAAGCTGGATGGCCATCTGTCGGGAGGGCTTGGATTGTGCTTTCCTGCCTGGCAGAAGGTCAGACTGGATGGCTCTTGGGTGTCCCTTCCAATTCTAGATATGGAACCTTTAGTATATAACTGCATGTGAGTGATTTGGGACGTCTTCTTTTCGGCAGAGCCACTTGTATGCCGACACCAAAGCGGAAGTCACTCGCCTGCCGCTGGCTGACTGCGACCAGTATAGCGAAAACTGCTGGAAATGCGTCCTGGCTCGCGACCCGTACTGCGGATGGGATGTGGATGGGAGGAAATGTTCAGCCGTTTCCCAAGACGAAAACCACACTGGCAGGTCGGACCCCAAAACCATAATATGGGAATAGCGGGGTGGAAAGGGACCCACATGTTGGCCACCATTGTTGCTGGGGCCCCAATTCTCCCTGTTGCGTTTCCTCATAAGTTATACTGTTTTGCTCAGATTCCTCTGACTTCCTTCATCCATAGGTTGCTTCAGAGCTTGGATTCCACAAATACAACATACGTGTGTGAAGCTGCGGAAGGTATGTTGATGCTTGCGGCCTCCAGTGGGAAGAGTGTGCCAATCAGTGAGTAAGGCGGGAGGTTTCTCCTCAGGCCAATGAGCGATCATGGAGGGAGGAACCTTACATTTCCCATTTTGAGCACGGGAAATGTAAGGTTTAGAACCTTCGCAATGGCTTGTCCAGCAGATGGCGCTGTTTTGGAAGCGAAAGATGTTCTTACCTGTCACAGGTGTGACATCTGTATAGTAGTTGGGGTTTGACAACCTGTAAACCTTTGCCTGCTCGATTGCTACATTGTGTCCAAATTTCGACTCAATCGGTTAAGTATTTTGGTAGTTATGAGGTCACTCACAAATGGACATTTACATTTTTATTTATATAGATGTTCATTTGTGGGATTAACAGAACTCAAAAACCACTGGACGAATTGACACCAAATTTGGACACAAGACACCTCTCAGGCCAAGGAGTGACCATCACTCATCAAAACACTGAAAAACACAGCAAAAGGGACTTAAAAAGCCCCAAAAAGCTAAATGACAATACAGAAAAAAGGGAAGAAAGGGGGCAGGAAGGGGAGAAAAAAAAAGAAAGAAAGAAAGAAAGAAAGAAAGAGAAGAAAGCGAGAGGGAAAGAAAGAAGGAAAGCGAGAAGGAAGCATGGAAGGAAGGAAAGAGGTAGAGAGGAAGGAGAGAAAGAGGGAGGGAAAGAAAAAGGGGGGAGGTAGGAAAGTTAGAGAAGGAAGGAAGAAGGAAAGAAAAAAGGGAAAGAAGGAAGGAAAGAGGGAGTGTAGGAAGGGGGAAGATGTAGAGAAAGAGGGAGGGAAGGAAAGAGGGAAAGAGAGAAGGAAGAAAAGAGAGACAGCAGAAGAGAAAAAAAGAGGGACGGGAGGGAAGAGATAGAGAAGGAAGGAAGGAAAAAGGGAGTGAAGGAAGGAGGGAAGATGTAGAGAAAGAGGGAGGGAAAGAGAGAAGGAAGAAAAGAGAGACAGCAGAAGAGAAAGAAAAAGAGGGAAGGAAGGAAAGAGATAGAGAAGGAAGGAAGGAAAGAGGGAGTGAAGGAAGGAGGGAAGATGTAGAGAAAGAGGGAGGGAAGGAAGAGGGAAAGAGAGAAGGAAGAAAAGAGAGACAGCAGAAGAGAAAGAAAAAGAGGGAAGGAAGGAAAGAGATAGAGAAGGAAGGAAGGAAAGAGATAGAGAAGGAAGGAGGGAAAGAGGGAAGGTTGGCCACAGCAAAGCGTGGCGGGTACAGCTAGTGTATGTGTGTGTATATATACACACACACACATCCACACATATATATGCACGCACGATTCTCACCAGAACAAATCTTACTTTCTCAAGTTCACATAATCACAGCCTCAACTCTAAACATTTCTGTACAGTATTTTCCATTCACAGTGGCATCCATCTTTGCAATACATAGAAGCACATTTAAAACACATACATAACAATAAATCCTGACAGTATACACACACACATACGTATAGTTTGCTATAAACTAAGATCCACCCAGAAAAGTAGTTTGCTGTGAGCTGAGCACCAAAGTATTTTGTTCTCATTTAACTTTTCCCCTTTTCTCTCTCGTCGGGCTTTGAAGCCAAACTGGCCCAAGAGGCTCTCAAGAAGGTGAGTGTGGACCCCACCAGCTACATCTACCTGCCGTGCCCGCTGAGATCCCACCACGCCATCTATACCTGGGTCAAAGACGACAAGACGTACCCTTGCGCCATGGACGAACAGTCCTGCACCCTGCGCTTCGGGGAGAGCACCCCCATGGACCAGGGGGTCTTCAAATGCACTGCCAAAGAGGAGGGCTTCCAGGAGGAAATCACGGCCTTCAAAGTCACACTCAACGCCGGCAAGGTCTCGGAAGTCTCCTTGATCGCGGTGGGCGCCGGCATTGTCTTCCTCACCATCACCATCCTCTTGCTATAGACCGGTTCGATACGAAACGATCTCATCACACTGCCAACTCCAACGTTTACCCCTTTGAAAGAATCGGACCGTTTGTATGTTCCCGCACCAAAGCCGCACGCCTTGGACAAAAACGCGCTTCACGCAACAAAACGGGATTCTCCGTCGCTCCCGAATCCGCGGTCTCGTCTTCTTTACAATCACAGATGCCTTTTCTTTTGTGATCTTTCATTTGGAGTTGCAGCCCGATCCAAGAATTATTTTTGAAACGGGGTTCTCCAAATGGACGTACCGTCGTTCTTGAATCCGGACGTTTCAACCACACTTTCCTCCCCATAAATACGGTCTCGTCTTCTTTACAATCACAGATGCTTTTTCTTTTGTGATCTTTCGTTTGGAGTTGCAGCCCAATCTAAGAGTTATTTCTGAAACGGGGTTCTCCAAATGGATGTGCCATCGTTCTTGAATCCGGACGTTTCAACCACACTTTCCTCCCCATAAATACGGTCTCATCTTCTTTACAATCACAGTTGCTTTTCTTTTGTGATCTTTCGTTTGGAGTTGCAACCCAATCCAAGAATTATTTTTGAAACAGGGTTCTCCAAATAGATATACCATCGTTCTTGAATCCGGACGTGTCAACCACACTTTCCTCCCCATAAATACGGTCTCGTCTTCTTTACAATCACAGATGCTTTTTCTTTTGTGATCTTTCATTTGGAGTTGCAGCCCAATCCAAGAATTATTTTTGAAACGGGGTTCTCCAAATGGATGTACCATCGTTCTTGAATCCGGACGTTTCAACCACACTTTTCTCCCCATAAACACAAACGCCATTTTCCATTTTTGCTTCCTTTTTTTACAAGTTACAGCCCAATCCAAGCATTATTTGTTTGTCCTACAGTTTTGGGAAAGACATATATCCAAGTTGCACTTTGCACACGACGTGTCACATATCTGTTGTGGATCGTGTTTGTAACGCCCCAAGGCTTTTTGCATGTGCTTCACAATGGGCAAATTGTTATCGCTTGCCGGCACAAAAATAGACTATGGACCAACCATGAAGGAGTCGAATCATGCGGCAAAATAAAGCTTCCCGCTTTCAACTACCGTCGGGAGCAAGAACGAGCCGATTCTGCCTTGTTTCATCTGCCTTCGTCCAAACGGACGCTTTCGGCGGCGTCGACCTGTTGCCGGCTGCCAATTATTCAGTGTGCCGTCATAAAGACTCCGCTTATATAATCTTGTATACTAAAGAAGCATGCCGTCAACACATCCTATCCCAAGAAAAAATCATCAAAATGGTGGACCGAGCGGAGAGAGGTCAGTTGCGAAGAAAGGAAAAGAATCAAGATTTTTACAGAACGGAGCCAAATGGGTGCCAGATTGCCGAAGCTTGAGTTTGAGCCATGAGATCTTTTGAATGGAGAAGACGGGAGAATTGCGGGAACACAATGCACAAAGACAATTGACTAAAACGTTAAAACATATTTTGCCAGATTCGGCAAAACCCTTCATCGGAGAATGCCAATTCCTCGGGAAGAATAGTGGAAGTAAGCCATTGCCTCCAAGCCATTGACACGACAAGTCTGCTTCCTTATTGTAACGGGGAGCAGTTTAAGACTTTCCTGTTTACAGGGGAGACACGACCTATTTGTTGCATGACATCAAAACGCTTGCACATGTCTCTTCTATTAGGACAGAGAGTAAGTGGAACAGAGCAGGATAAATGGGATGTGTATTTCTGACCATGATATAAAAGATCCCAAAAATTATTGGCCAATGTTTCCGCTAAATAATAGATGATAAATACGTGGCTGCCATTTAGGCAAAGCAATTGTAAACAGTACAATAAAGTCTACTCTGTAAGGACCAAGCAGGTTTCCTACCAAAGAGATATTTTGGGATGTTTTGGAATCCCATAATGAAAAGTGAGCAGTTCTGATAATTTTTAGATGCAGAGAAAGCTATTGACAACATCTCTTGGCCTTTTATGGGGTCTGTCGCATGGGTGGAAGAGAATGGAGGGAGGGAAGAGAGAAGGAAGGGAAGATAAAACGGAAGGAAGGAAGGAAGGGAGAGGGAAGGGAGGGAGGAAAAGGAAAGGAGGAGAAAGAGAGAGAGGGAAGGAGGGAGGGGGGAGAGGAAGAGAAGGAAAAAAAGACAAAAGGAAGGAAGAAGGAAGGAAGGAAAGGAAGGAAAGGGGGAGGGAGGGAAGGAGGAGAGGAAAGGGAGAAAAGGGAAAAAAGGAAGAGAAAGAGAGGAAGGAAAAGAAAGAAGGAAGGAAGGAAGGAAGGAAGGAAGGAAAGATGGAAGGGTGGAGGAAAAGGGAAGAGAAGGGAGAAAGAGAAAAAGAAAGGAAAGGTGGTAGAGAATGGAGGAGGGAGGAAAGAGAAGGAAGAAACAAAAAAGAAGGAAGGAGAAAGAGGAAGGAAGAGAGAGGGAAGGAGGAAAAGGGGAAGGAAAGGGAGAAGAAAAGAGGAAGGAAGAGGAAGAGAAGGAAGGAGAAGAGAAGGAAAGGAAAAATGGAAGGAAGGAAGGAAAGGAAGGAAGGAAGGAAGGAAGGAAGGAAGGAAGGAAGAGGAAAGAGGGAGAGAAGGAAGGTGGGAGGAAAGGGAAGGAAAAAGGGAGGAAGAGAAAGATGGAAGGAAGAGTGGAAGAGAGGGAGGGAGGGAGGGAGGGAGGAAGGGAGAGAAAAGAAAAAGGAAAAGGAAGGGAGGAAGGGAGGGAGGGGAGGGAGGGAGGGAGGGGAAGGAGGAAGGAAAAGGAAGGAAGGAAGGAAGGAAGGAAGGAAAAAGGGAGAGAAGGGGAAGGTGGGAGGAAAATGGGAAGAAAAGGAGGAAGAGAAAGATAGAAGGAAGGGTGGAAGAGAATGGAGGGAAGACAGAAGAAGGAAAGACAAAAGGGAAGGAAGGAGAAAGAGGGAGAGAGGGAAGGAGGGAGGAAAGGGAGAAGGAAAGGGTGGAAGGGAAGGATGGAAGGAGGGAGAAAGAAGGAGATAAGGAATGAAGGGAAGGAAAGAGAGACAGAAGGAAGGATTTCAACCTATCCTTCCCCTTCACTCTCCAAGTCCTGCTCTTTATCCGAAACACAGTGTCAATTTCTCGGTCTCTTTCAACAACCATCTATGGAGCAAGGAAGAAAGAAAAGCATTCATATGTGATGTCGGGGAGGAAGAAATAAAAGTGCTTGAACACCTTTGGTTATTGGATCTTTGGCTTCATATTTCTTATAGTTCTTTAGAGGTATCCGTGCATATATATTACGATTTTTCAGATTAATCCTCTCTCATCCCACTTTCTTGGCTGGCTGTTAAATTGTCCCGGTTTCCTCTCTCCTCCTCCCACTGTCATCCTCAGCTTCCTTCAATTGCTGCAAATGGCAAATGTAATTTATGCTGAACTAGTGTATCTATCCAACGTTGCCCAGGTGTCTTTGGAATTGCTTGCTTGTCTGCTTTCTCCCTTCTCCAGCTCTTGGAAGGTCTCCCTCACAAGGTCTCCTTTGTTCTCTTTGTGGCTCTTTTACTCCTTCCCCCATATTCCTCTTTTCTTCTTTTTCCCCCTTCTTTTGCTTTCCCTCAAGGGATTTTCTCTTTCTTCCCTCCCTCTTTTCTTTCTTTCCTTCTTCCCTTCCTTTCTCTTCCTTCCTTTCTCTTTCTTTCTTTTCCTCCCATCATACCTTTTCCCCTGACCTTTCTCTTCCTTCCTTTGGTCCTTTTTCTTTCTCTCTCTCCTTCTCTCCCTTGCTTTGCCCTTCCTTTCTTTCCCCCTTTTTTCTCTTTCCTTTCTCCCTTCTCCAGCTCTCACAGAGTCTTTATGGTTCTCTTTGTGGCTCTTTCCTGCCTTCCTCCATTTTCCTCTTTGTCTTCTTCCTTTCTTTCCTTCTGCTCTTGCTCTCCCTCACACCTTTCTCTCTTTCTTTCTCTCTCCCTCTTCTCTTTCTTTCTCTCTCCCTCTTCTCTTCCTTCCTTCCCCTTTTCCCTTTCTTTTCTTCCTCTTCCTCTCTCTTCACCTCTTTCTTCTTTGCTTTGCCCTCCCTTTCTTTCCCCATCTTTTTTCCTTTCCTTTCTCCCTTCTCCAGCTCTGAGAGGGCCTGCCTCACAATCTTCCCATGGCAACATCTTCCTTCTTCCTCCTTTTTTTCCTCTTCTGCCCTTCCTCCCTTCTTTTCTCTTTCTTTCCTTTCCTCCTTCTCCAGCTCTGAGATGACCTGCCTCACAATCTTTCCATGTCAACATCTTTCCTTCTTACTCCCTCCTTTTCTGCCCTTCCTTCCTTCTTTTTCTCTCCTTTCTCCCTTCTCCAGCTTTGAGAGGGCCTGCCTCACAATCATCCTATTGTCACATCTTTCCTTCTTCTTCTCTTTTTATCTCTTCTGCCCTTCCTTCTTTTTCTCTTTCTTCCTTCTCCAGCTCTAAGAGGGCTTGCCTCACTATCTTTCCATGGCTACATCTTTCATTCTTCCTCTCCTCCTTTTCATCTCTTCAGCCCTTCCTCCCTTCTTTTTCTCTTTCTTTCCTTTCTCCCTTCTCCAGCTCTGAAAGAGCCTGCCTCACAATCTTCTCATAGTAACATCTTCTTTCTTCCTCTCCTCCTTTTTTTCTCTTCTGCCCTTCCTCCTTTCTTTTTCTCTTTCTTTCCTTTCTCCCTTCTCCAGTTTGAAGAGGGTCTGCCTCATAATCTTTCCATGGCAACATCTTTCCTTCTTCCTCTCCTCCTTTTTCCCCTCTTCTGCCCTTCCTCCCCTTTTATCTTTCTTTTCTCCTTTCTCCGGCTCAGAGACAGCCTGCCTCACAATCTTATCATGGCAACACCTTCCTTCTTTCTCTCCTCTTCATCTCTTCTCCCCTTCTTTTTCTTTCCTTTCTCCCTTCTCCAACTCTGAGAGGGCCTGCCTCCCAAACATCCCATGGCCACATCTCTCCTTCTTCCTCCCCTCCTTTTCCTTCTTCTGCCCTTCCTCCCTTATTTTTCTCTTTCTTTTCTTTCTCCCTTCTCCAGCTCTCACAATATTCCCATAGTCATATCTTCCTTCTTCCTCTCCTCCATTTCCTTCTTCCCTTCCTCCCTTCTTTTCTTTCTTTTTCTCTTTCTTTCCTTTCTCCTTTCTCCAGCTCTGAGAGGGCCTGCCTCACAATCTTTCCAGGGCAACATCTTTCCTTCTTCCTGTCCTTCTTTCCCCCCTCTTCTGCCCTCCCCCCTTTTATCTTTCCTTTCTCCCTTCTCCAGCTCTGAAGGAGCCTGCCTCACAATATTCCCAGTCATATCTTCCTTCTTCCTCTCCTCCTTTTCCTTCTTCCCTTCTTTTTCTCTTTCTTTCCTTTCTCCCTTCTCCAGCTCTGAAAGAGCCTGCCTCACAATATTCCCATATCTTCCTTCTTCCTCTCCTCCTTTTCCTTCTTCCCTTCCTCCCTTCTTTTTCTCTTTCTTCCTTTCTTTTTCTCTTTTTTTCCTTTCTCCCTTCTCCAGCTCTGAGATGACCTGCCTCACAATCTTCCCATAGTCACATCTTCCTTCTTCCTCTCTTCCTTTTCCCCTCTTCTGATTTTCCTCCCTCCTTTTTCTCTCTTTCTTTCCTTTCTCCCTTCTCCAGCTCTGAAAGAGCCTGCCTCACAATATTCCCATAGTCATATCTTCCTTCTTTCTCTCCTCCTTTTTCCCTCTTCTGCCCTTCCTCTCTTCTTTTTCTCTTTCTTTCCTTTCTCCCTTCTCCAGCTCTGAGATGACCTGCCTCACAATCTTCCCATAGCCACATCTTCCTTCTCCCGCTCCTCTTTTTTCCCTCTTCTGACCATCCTCCCTTCTTTTTCTCTTTCTTTCCTTTCTCCCTTCTCCAGCTCTGAAAGAGCCTGCCTCACAATATTCCCATTGCCATATCTTCCTTCTTCCTCTCCTCCTTTTCCTCCCTCCCTTCATTTTCTCTTTCTTTCCTTTCTTTTTCTCTTTCTTTCCTTTCTCCCTTCTCCAGCTCTGAAAGAGCCTGCCTCACAATCTTCCTATAGTAACATCTTCCTATTTCCCCTTTTCTGCCCTTCCTCCCTTCTTTTTCTCTTTCTTTCCTTTCTCCCTTCTCCAGCTCCATGGCAACATCTTTCCTTCTTCCTCTCCTCCTTTTCCTTCTTCTGCCCTTCCTCCCTACTTTTTCACTTTCTTTCCTTTCTCCCTTCTCCAGCTCTGAAAGAGCCTGCCTCACAATATTCCTTCTTCCTCTCTTTCGTTTTTCCTCTTCTGCCCTTCCTCTCTTCTTTTTCTCTTTCTTTCCTTTCTCCCTTCTCCAGCTCTGAAAGAGCCTTCCTCACAATATTCTCATAGTCATATCTTCCTTCTTTCTCTCCTCCTTTTTCCCTCTTCTGCCCTTCCTCTCTTCTTTTTCTCTTTCTTTCTTTTCTCCCTTCTCCAGCTCTGAGATGACCTGCCTCACAATCTTATCATGGCAACATCTTCCTTCTTCTTCCCCTGCTTGTCCTTCTTCCCTTCCTCCCTTCTTTTTCTCTTTCTTTCCTTTCCTTTCTCCTTTCTCCAGCTTTGAGAGGGCCTGCCTCTGGCCATTGAGCCTTATGCGTCGCCATGGCAACAGCATCCCCTCAGCCCTCATGGGTCGCCATAGCAACAGCCTTCCCCCCTCCCAGTCGCTTGAAACCTTTCTTCCCGCCCCTTTTCCGAACGCTCGCTCTCGATTGGACGAGCGGGTTGGATCCTCGCCAGCTGATTGGTTGTAGGAGGCTTATTTTCCCCTTCTCTGACAGCGTGTTCCCTCGCGCTTTGCCGTCCGCGCGCCCTCTTCTCTGATTGGCCGGGCAGCTCTCCTCCTCCTTCCTCCTTCGGATTGGCTGAAATTCGAAGGGCGGGAGGCGCGAGGCTCAACCGCGGCAGGCGATTGGACGAGGCGCAAAACGAGGGGCTCTGTGATTGGCCAGCGGGGGGAAGGACCTCTCCTATATAAAGGCGGCGTCGCGCATTCTTGGATGGATTGGGGTGAGGAGAGGATGGCACTCAAGAGGTAACGCAGTGCGGGCTGAGGGTGGGAAAGAAGGGGCATAGGCCTGTATTTGTGTGTATATATATCTATACCAGGCATAGGCCAGCTTGGGGCCTTCAGGTGTTTTGGACTACAACTCCTACCGGCTGTTAGGAATTGTGGGAGTTGTAGTCCAAAACACCTGAAGGCCCCAAGCTGGCCTATGCCTGATCTATACACATATATGTATGTGTGAATCAGTATTCATACCCATATATGTCTATTTTCTTATGTGTATGTGTCTATATATGTATATAGTTACACATATGTATGTGTTTATACATATCCATACATATACATGTGTTTGTGTGTATGTATTCATACATATATATGACTGTATATACATATGTATGAATACATACAAATAATTTAAAAAAAAACAAATACACACACAAATATGTGTATATACACACATAGATGTATGAATACATATAAAATACACACATATGTGTACCTTGTATACATATACATATATATATATATACACATGAATATACATGCATATACACACACAAATATGTGTATATATACACACATGAATATACATGCATATATGACTGTATATACATATGCATGTATATTCATGTGTGTATATATACACATATTTGTGTGTGTGTATGCATGTATATTCATGTGTATATATGTATATGTATACAAGGTACACATATATGTGTGTATTTTATATGTATTCATACATCTATGTGTGTATATACACATATTTGTGTGTGTATTTGTTTTTTTTTAAATTATTTGATACATCCCAACATTCAACAAAATTTTGCCATACAGGATACATTATTCCAAAAGTAAATATTCCTTAAATGACATTCTATACTTTCCTTAGTTATGTATCGCCCAACAAACCCCATTCCCCCCATTTCCTATATGAGTTTCCTATATGTTGATCCACATTTCCTATATGTTGATCCACATGTTTGTTTATAGATGTGTCTTTTTATGTATTCATGCATATGTGTGCATCTGTATGTATGTATCCATGCACATATGTGTCTCCTGTGCTATGCTAATAATATAATGTAATATAATATATTGTATATACATAAAATATTTATAATATCATAATGTGATACAATATAACGCTAAAATAATATAATAATATATTTTATATTACATGTAATATTAATAATATTACAATATTTATTTATTTATTTATTTGACTTGTATACCGCCACTCCCAATTTGGCTCGGAGCGGTTTACAGCAGTAGATTAAAACAATACAACCAACTTTAAAATACAATAAAAGTGAGAACAGACATAGACCCGAGTTATTCACCCATCGAAAGCTTGTCGGAAAAGAAAGGTCTTACAGGCTTTCCGAAAAGCAAGTACCAGCTCTCGGATGGTTCAGGTTTCAACTGGCAAGGCATCCCATAAATAAGGGGCCACAATCAAGAAGGCTCTCTGCCTAGTAGAGGACAGATAGTAAGTCCGGATGTTGGGGACTTCAAGCAAATTTTGGTCTTCGGACCGAAGTAATCTCTGGGGTTGGTAGGGGGATAAGCGGGCCCTCAGGTATATAATGGTAAAGTACAATATAGTAATATGCAATACTGATAATGTACTATGTTATTAATATAATATTTTGTATATACATATAATATTTATAATATCATAATGTGATACAGTATAGTACTAAAAATAATGTATTATAATTATATATTTTATATTGCATGTAATATTACTAATAACATTGCAATATAATGGTAAAGCACAATATAATAATATATAATACTGATATTGTACTATGTTATTGATATAATATATTGTCTGTATATATATCTTGTAAGCCGCTCTGAGTCCCCTTCGGGGTGAGAAGGGTGGCATCTAAATGTCGTAAATAAATAAATAATGAATGTATGTTCGTGCATATATATGTGTGCGTGTGTATACGTATATATATCCATAAAATTGTGTGTGTTTACATGTGTATGTGATTGGTGTATTTGTGTAAATATATTCTTCCTATATGAGTGTATATATGTTGATTCATATGTTTGTTTATATTCATATGTGTATATATATATGTATGTATCCATGCACATATGTCTGCATTTTATATGTATGTGTTTATGTATGTTCATGTATATATGTGTGTGTATATCCATAAGCGTGTGTACATTTACATGTGTATTGGTGTATGTATACACACACACACACGCACACAAAACATATATAAGTGTGTTTACATGTGTCTCCTCGGAGATAGAGTGGAATATAATTTAAAGTATTTTGTGTATACAGATACACACACACACATTCTTTTCTATGTGTCTGGTGTATGAAACTTAGATAGATAGATAGATGAGAGGCTGGGTATGATTCTTAGCCAAAGATAGTCTTGCTGTTGGGTTAGAATGACTTAATTCTAACCTAACATGACTCTGTTGCCCATGGACTGGTCCTTAACTGGAGGATTCCAGGCTTTACCGTCCTGCCCCTGTTGTCACTCACCAATTGCCATGGGACTTTTGTTGGCTTTAGATTGCATAGAACTATGGATATCATGATTATTTTTTATTTATTGTGTCAGGAGCAAACCAAACGGTTGTATTACATTTTTAAACAAACAAAACAAAAAGTTTGCAAGCTTGGTAGTTGATTAAATGTCCTTTGACCAGTATCTGGCCACTTGGAGTGCCTCCGATGTTGCTGCAAGAAGGTCCTCCATTGTGCATGTGGCAGGGCTCAGGGTGCATTGCAGCAGGTGGTCTGTGGTTTGCTCTTCTCCGCACTTGCATGTTGTGGATTCCACTTTGTAGCCCCATTTCTGAAGGTTGGCTCTGCATCTCGTGGTGCCAGAGCGCAGTCTGTTCAACGCCTTCCAAGTCGCCCAGTCTTCTGTGTGCCCAGGAGGGAGTCTCTCATTTGGTATCAGCTATTGATTAAAATTCTGGGTTTGATCCTGCCACTTTTGGACTCTCGCTTGCTGAGGTGTTCCAGCAAGTGTCTCTGTAGATCTTAGAAAACTATTTCTAGATTTAAGTCGTTGACATGCTGGCTGATACCCAAACAGGGGATGAGCTGGAGATGTCTCTGCCTTGGTCCTTTCACTATTGGATGCTACTTCCCGGCGGATGTCAGGTGGTGCAATACCAGCTAAGCAGTGTAATTTCTCCAGCGGTGTAGGGCGCAGGCACCCCGTGATAATGCGGCATGTCTCATAAGAGCCATGCCCACTGTTTTAATGTGATGAGATGTATTTCACACTGGACGTGCGTATTCAGCAGCAGAAAAACCAAGCGTAAGATCAGATGCCGTAATTGTGTCTAGTTGTGATCCCCATATTGTGCCAGTCAGTTTTCATATGATCGTTTTCATGTGATAGCACCGGGACTGCGGTGCAGCTGGCTGGTAGTCAGTGGCATTAGATATCACTATGGACCGAAAGGTCAACAGCCCGGGTTTTAATTTCTCCAGTGGTGTAGGGCGCAGACACCCCGTGATAATGTGGCATGTCTCATTAAGAGCCACATCCACTGTTTTAGCGTGGTGAGATGTGTTCTACACTGGGCATGCATACCCAGCAGCAGAGTAGCATAGTGCAAGGGCAGATGACTTCACTGTGTCTAGTTGTGATCCCCAGGTTGTGCCAGTCAGCGATACTACAATGATTGGGGGCTTCCTTCGTCCTCCTTTAAATCTGAGAGGGCCATATTGGTGAGAGATTGGGGAACCCAGGAAGTTGTGATTGCAAAATAATAACTTTTCCAGGGCTCTGGTTAATGGTCCCAGGGCCCCTCCCTCGCTCTTGGCAGGGCTGAAAGCCATCAAGCACACTAGGATTGATTTTCCTTCCTTCCCGTTCATCTGGACTCCTCTTTGCGGTGCCAAGCTTGGCTTCCTGCCCTGCTTGGCTTCTCCTGGGGAGAAGGAAGGCGAGGTGGAAGAGATACCTTTCCACAGGGCAGTCTGTATCTCTTGAGGACGAAGCTTTGCTCTTTCCCAACGCTGTTCAGAACGGCGAGGATGCCGTACTTGGTCTCTGTCTGCAGCGGGGAGCTGATGCTAAGGAAATTCTTCCCTTTCCCGCTTAGTGCCCCTTCCTCGGGTATCATGGGGACCACCGTGGCCAGCGAGCGGAGCTATTGGAACGGCTTGACCACGTTGCAGAAGGTGGCGTTGGCCCTTGGGATCCCAGCCAGCGGCGCCATCCTCTACATCCTTTACCGCCGTTACCGGGAGAGTCAAGGTGGGTGTGTCAGCAGTTTGTTTCAGATCTGGGCCTGTGACAGATCAATGCCTCCTCTCTGCGATGGTTCCCTGGCCGTGGTTCTTCATTCTGGAAGGTGGCCAGAAGTTCATCTTCGCCCTCGTAGTTCTGTACCAATCAATTTCAGCACAGCTGAAAGGAAATGCTTTGAGAATTATGCATGAATTGTACCATTACATGGAACTTCCAAATTATATTTGATCCATTGTGGAGAAAGTATGTACGAGGGTTGAATGAAAAGTAATGCCTCCACCTTCGTAACTCTTCAACCAATGGCAGTACTGGTATGCAGTAGGTATTATTATTATTAACTTTATTTGTACCCTGCTAGCATCTCCCGAAGGACTCGATGCGGCTTACAAAGGCCAAGGCCTCAAAACACAACATAACAATACAACCCCTAAAGCAAATTAAAAACAGTTAAAGCATATTAAACAACAAGAAATAAACAATACAACAAAAACATTATAAAACTGGGCCGGGCCAGAGTAATGGGTACAAGGTTAAAAGTGCTGATGTGACAGGTGATGTGTAAGGATTATAGGGTAAGTGCAGTGTGCGGCAATCTCAATTCTACTGAAGTGCTTCTGGGACTTGTTGGAGATTCCTATTCTGGAAAGGCACATTGGAGCAGCCAGGTCTTCAAGTTCTTTCTAGGTACTGGCTTGTTCAGTAGACTCTCCTCTACAGTTCCATTTTGCCAGGAAGCCTCAGCATTGAACGGTTGTGTTGTTAAAGTGCAGAGTATGGAACCCTGCGCAGACGGTCAGTCAAGTGACTCAAGCAACATATGTGGCAGGTACTGGCTTGTTCAGTAGACTCTCCTCTACAGTTCCATTTTGCCAGGAAGCCTCAGCATTGAACGGTTGTGTTGTTAAAGTGCAAAGTATGGAACCCTGCGCAGACGGTCGGTCAAGTGACTCAAGCAACGTATGTGGCAGGTGCTGGCTTGTTCAGTAGACTCTCCTCTACAATTCCATTTTGCCGGGAAGCCTTAGCATTGAACTGTTGTGTTGTTAAAGTGCAGAGTATGGAACCCTGCGCAGACGGTCGGTCAAGCGACTCAAGCAACGTATGTGGCAGGTACTGGCTTGTTCAGTAGTCTCTCCTCTACAGTTCCATTTTGCCAGGAAGCTCAGCATTGAACGGTTGTGTTGTTAAAGTGTGAAGTATGGAACCCTGCGCAGACGATCATTCAATGCAACTTAAGCAACATGCAGTCGTTGAATTCTTGACAGCAGAAGGTGTCACCCCAAAGGAGATTCATCAGAGAATGCAAGCTGTTTATGGTGGTTGTGTTGATGTGAGTACTGTGCGTCATTGGGCAACTAAGTTTAAAGATGTTGAGGTGGGAACACCTGACTTATGTGGCAAACAAGGAGTTGGATGTTCTGTGACAGCAACCACCAAGTTTCACAAGCAAAAGGTTGACAGATTGATTCAGGACAATTGTATCACTCAGAAAGAAATTTCAAGCATAATTGGCATTTCACAAGAACGTGTGGGTCACATGATTGCTTTGCTTGGCTATCGGAAGATCTGTGCACAATGGGTACCCAGGATGCTGATTGCGGCAACAGAGTGTTGACTTCTTCCGTGATGGCTTCAGGAAACTTGTTCATCATTGGCAGAAATGTATCCAATTGTGTGGCGATTATGTGGAAAAGTGAATAGTGGTAGCTAAAGAGCACATTCTAAGGATTATTTCTGCTCAGTTCTTGTGGGCTTTTTCGGGCTATATGGCCATGTTCTAGAGGCATTTCTCCTGACGTTTCGCCTGCATCTATGGCAAGCATCCTCAGAGGTGAGGTCAGACCTCACCTCTGAGGATGCTTGCCATAGATGCAGGCGAAACGTCAGGAGAAATGCCTCTAGAACATGGCCATATAGCCTGAAAAAATCCACAAGAACTGAGTGATTCCGGCCATGAAAGCCTTCGACAATAGATTATTTCTGCGTTTGATTTATTAAAATATTCCCATCCAAACTAATTATGTATTGTAAAAGGATCCTGAGAGTTGAACAGCATCAAATGTTGGACAGATTGATTCAGGATGACTGTTGTATCACTCAGAGAGAAATTTCAAACATAATCTTATTCCACAAGAACATGTGGATGATATTATTGCTTTGCTTGGCTATCGGAAGATCTGTGCACGATGGGTACCCAGGATGCTGACGCCTGAAATGAAAGCGCACAGACTTCTTCCGTGACGGCTTCAGAAAACTTGTTCATCGTTGGCAGAAATGTATCCAGTTGTCCGGTGATTATGTGTGAGTCACATTATTGCTTTGTTTGGCTATCGGAAGATCTGTGCACGATGGGTACCCAGGATGCTGAGGCCTGAAATGAAAGCGCAAAGACATCTTCTGTGACCGCTTCAGAAAACATGTTCATCATTGGCAGAAATGTATCCAATTGTCTGATTATGTGTGGGTCACATTATTGCTTTGCTTGGCTATCAGAAGATCTGTGCACAACGGGCACCCGGGATGCTGACGCCTGAAATGAAAGCGCACAGACATCTTCTGTGACGGCTTCAGAAAACATGTTCATCATTGGTAGAAATATATCCAATTGTCTGGCGATGATGTGGAAAAGTGAATAGCGGTAGCTAAAGAGCACATTTGAAGGATTATTTCTGCGTTTGGTTTATTAAACTATTCCCATCCAAACCCAAGTAACAAAGGTGGAGGCATTACTTTTCATTCAACCCTCGTATGAAAATTCTGAGATGAGGTCCTAGCATAAAAGAAGCAAGTCGTGTGGGGAACAGTATAAACAAAAATCTTATATTACACACCTTATGTGTTGCATGACTTGAAATACTCAAAATTTGGAAAAATTCGAGAGAAATTGACAAATAATTGATTAACTAAGGTATGGCTAAAGCAGTAAATAAAGATTAGCAAGAAGCGAAATAGAGTGTCAAGAGAGCAGTGGGCATCTCCTCAGCCTAATTTCCATTCTGTTTGCATTTCTGTGTGCACAGAAGAGCGAATCACCTTTGTGGGAGAAGAGGATATGCAAGTGTCGTTGAAGGTTCCAAAGGAAGCCGTGAAGTTCATCATTGGGCGGCAGGGGGCCCAAATCAAGCAGGTACGTTGTCCACCAACCCTCAGAGTTGGACGTGACTGGACTTAATGTCAGGGGAAAGCCTTTACCTTTACCTACAACTAATATTTATTTATCGTGTCAGGGGCAGACCAAACAGTTGCATTGCATTTTTTAACAAACAAACAAAGAGACAAACAAAACACAAAATTTGCAAGCTTGGTAGTTGATTAAATGTCGTTTGAGCAGTAACTGGCCACTTGGAGTGCCTCCAGTGTTGCCGCAAGAAGGTCCTCCATTGTGCAAGTAGCAGGGCTCAGGTTGCATTGCAGCAGGTGGTCAGTGGTTGGCTCTTCTCCACACTCGCATGTCGTGGACTCCACTTTGCGGCCCCATTTCCTTAGGTTGGCTCTGTATCTCGTGGTGCCAGAGCGCAGTCTGTTCAGCGCCTTCCAAGTCACCCAGTCTTCTGTGTGCCCAGGGGGGAGTCTCTCATTTGGTATCAGCCATTGATTGAGGTTCTGGGTTTGAGCCTGCCACTTTTGGACTCTCGCTTGCTGAGGTGTTCCAGCGAGTGTCTCTGTACATCTTAGAAAACTATTTCTTGATTTAAGTCGTTGACGTGCTGGCTGATACCCAAACAAGGGATGAGCTGGAGATGTCTCTGCCTTGGTCCTTTCACTATTGGCTGCTACTTCCCGGCGGATGTCAGGTGGTGCAATACCAGCTAAGCAGTGTAATTTCTCCAGTGGTGTAGGGCGCAGACACCCTGTGATAATGCAGCATGTCTCATTAAGAGCCACATCCACTGTTTTAGTGTGGTGAGATGTGTTCCACACTGGGCATGCGTATTCAGCAGCAGAGTAGCATAGTGCAAGGGCAGATGTCTTCACTGTGCCTCGTTGTGATCCCCAGGTTGTGCCAGTCAGCTTTCGTATGATATTGTTTCTAGCACCCACTTTTTGCTTGATATTCAGGCAATGCTTCTTGTAGGTCAGAGCATGGTCCAAAGTGACTCCCAGATATTTTGGTGTGCTGCAATGTTCCCGTGGGATTAAGTCCCAGGTCATCCTCAGAGCTCGGGATGCTTGTCTGTTCTTAAGATGAAAAGCACATGTCAGTGTTTTAGATGGGTTAGGGATCAGCTGGTTTTCCCTATAATAGGCAGTAAGGGCACCTCGAGCTTCGGAGAGCTTCTGTTCTACCATCTCAAAGCTCCTTGCTTGAGCGGTGATGGCACGATCATCAGCATAGATGAAACTCTCTGTCCCTTCAGGCAGTGGCTGGTCATTTGTGTAAATACTGAACATTGATGGAGCAAGCACACCCCTTGAGGCAGGCCGTTCTTCTGAACTCAACTAATAATAATAATAACTTTATTTATACCCCGCTCCATCTCCCCCAGGGGGGACTCGGGGCAGCTTACATGAGGTCACACCCATCAATACAGTACATACATTGACATACAAAAGAAAAACATAATATTACCATAGAATAAAATACATAAAAATGCAAAAAATATAATAAACAACACAGACAATATAAAACAAATGATTAAAAACAAAGGATTTCAACTATACTTGAAGTCCTCGTTGGTGCAGTGGGTTAAATTGCTGAGCTGCTGAACTTGCTAACCAAATGGTCGCAGGTTTGAATCTGTGGAGCAGGCTGAGCTCCCGCTGTTAGCCCCAGCTTCTGCCAACCTATCAGTTCGCAAACGTGCAAATGTGAGTAGATCAATAGGTACTGCTCCGGGAGGAATGTAAGGGTGCTCTATGCAGTCATGCTGGCCACATGACCTTGGAGGTGTCTATGGACAATGCCAGCTCTTCGGCTTAGAAATGGAGATGAGCACCAGAGTTGAAAACAAATGTCAGGGGAAGACCTTTACCTTAAGCAGTGTAGCCTACCACCATGCTTACAGTGTCCGCTATCCTCCTTTGCAGCTGAGGAAGGACACCCAAGCCCGCATCGACATTGACATGGAGGAGTCCAGCGAGGAGCGCCTGATCCGCATCTGGGGCTCCCCGGTCCAGGTGTGCATGGCCAAAGCCGCCATCCATAAGCTCTTGGTGGAGAGTTTGCCCGTGCAGGAGAAGATCGAGGTGCCCCACCGGGCCATCGGACGCATCATTGGTAATTGGTTGCTGCCTGGGGGAATCCTTGGTTGGGAGGTGTAATAATACATGTTAATACTAGTAATAGGTACATAGCTGCTTTGAGTCTCCTTATGGAGAAAAAGAGCGGGATAGTAATAAAAATAATATATAATAATAATATATATTATATTATAATAGAGTAGGGTGTAAATAAAAATAAATAAGTCCAATTTGAGGAGATTATGTTGTCGAAGGCTTTCATGGCCAGAATCACTGGGTTGCTGTGAGTTTTCTGGGCTGTCTGGCCGTGTTCCAGAAGCATTCTCTCCTGATGTTTCACCCACATCTCTGGCAGGCATCCTCAGAGGTTGTGAGGTCTGTTGGAAACTACGTAAATGGGTTTATATTCCTGTGGAATGATGTCCAGGGTGGGAGAAAGAACTCTTGTCTGTTTGTTGGAGGAAAGTGTGAATGTTGCCATTGGCCAGCTTGATTAGCATTGAATGGCCTTGCAGCTTCAGAGCCTGGCTGCTTCCTGCTAGGGGGAATCCTATGTTGGGAGGTGTAATAATACATGTTAATACACAGCTGGGTGGGAGAAATAACTCTTGTCTGTTTGTTGGAGGCAAGTGTGAATGTTGCCATTGGCCAGCTTGATTAGCATTGAATGGTCTTGCAGCTTCAGAGACTGGCTGCTTCCTGCTAGGGGGAATCCTATGTTGGGAGGTGTAATAAGACGTGTTAATACACAGCTGGGTGGGAGAAATAACTCTTGTCTGTTTGTTGGAGGCAAGTGTGAATGTTGTCATTGGCCAGCTTGATTAGCATTGAATGGCCTTGCAGCTTCAGAGCCTGGATGGTTGATGCCTGGGGGGAATCTTTGGTTGGGAGGTGTAATAATACATGTTAATACACAGCTGGGTGGGAGAAATAACTCTTGTCTGTTTGTTGGAGGCAAGTGTGAATGTTGTCATTGGCCAGCTTGATTAGCATTGAATGGCCTTGCAGCTTCAGAGCCTGGATGGTTGATGCCTAGGGGGAATCTTTGGTTGGGAGGTGTAATAATACATATTAATACACAGCTGAGTGGGAGAAATAACTCTTGTCTGTTTTTTGGAGGCAAGTGTGAATGTTGCCATTGGCCAGCTTGATTAGCATTGAATGGTCTTGCAGCTTCAGAGCCTGGCTGCTTCCTGCTAGGGGGAATCCTATGTTGGAATTCCCCTTGTTTCTGAGGGTTGCTCTTTATTTACTGGTAGCCAGATTGTGTTCATTTTCATGGTTTCCTTCTTTCTGTTGAGACTACGCACACACTTGTGGTGTTGTTGTTGTTTAACCCAAACTTCAGAGCAAGTTTGTGAAGTCTGTTGGAAATGAGGCAAGTGGGGTTGATGTATCTGTGGAATGATGTCCAAGCCGCTCTTGGTCATCCCAGTCCTCCTTGTGCCTCTTTCAGGTCGCGGCGGGGAGACCGTGCGCAACATCTGCAAAAACACGGGGGCCAAAGTGGAATGCGGGTCTAAGAGCGGCACCCAGGATGGCGAAGAGGCCCTCTGCCTCACTCGGACCATCACTGTTTCCGGCACTCGCAAGGAAGTCGACGCAGCCAAGGTGAGGGATCACAAGTGCTAATGGTGGCCACTTCCTTGTGCAACAAAGGCATTGGTGTCTTTTTCGTTTCCCATTTTTTGTCCCAACCCAATCCTAGCAACCCAGGAGTTAGTTGCTTTGTGGTTTCAGTTTTGGTTGGTTTGTAGGCATTTGTTGGAGGAGTTCTGTGCTGATGTAATTGCCCGGAATACCACACTTTGGTGCATTTTGACAACGGCACGGCTGGTTCCCAAACCATAGCTTTACAGTGCTGCGATTAGATGACACGAAGCCAACATTAAAATAGAACGAAGTCCTAGTATAGCTTTATTATCATTATATAATAATAAACAATTGAAAAAAGAGGATAAAGGTGCGATAACAAACTTAACAACTAGCCGTCCCTTGCCACGCATTACTGTGGCCTACATGGGGGTTCTGTGTGGGAGATTTGGCCCAATTCTATTGTTGGCGGGGTTCAGAATGCTCTGTGATTGTACATGAACTATAAATCCCAGCAACTACAACTCCCAAACTAAGGTTAATGCCCACCAAACCCTTCCAGTGTTTTCTGTTGGTCATGGGAGTTCTTTGTGCCAAGTTTTGTTCAATTCCATCGTTGATGGGATTCAGAATGCTCTTTGATTGTAGGTGAACTATAAATCCCAGCAACTACAACTCCCAAATGTCAAGGTCTATTTTCCCCAAACTCCACCAGTGTTCACATTTGGGCATATTGAGTATTTGTGTAGAGTTTGGTCCAGATCCATCATTGTTTGAGTCCACAGTGAACTCTCGATGAAGATGAACTACAACTCCAAAACCAAAGGACACTGCCCACCAAACTCTTCCAGTATTTTCTGTTGGTAATGGGAGAACTGTGTGAAAAGTTTGGTTCAATTCCATCATTGGTGGAGATCAGAATGGTCTTTGATTGTAGGTGAACTATAAATCCCAGCAACTACAACTCCCAAATGACAAAATCAATTTTTTGAGTGAATAATAATAATATTTATTATTATTATTATTATTATTATTATTATTATTATTATTATTAAGATGACACGAAGCCTTCGTCTTTGCCTCTTGCAGGACCTGATCATGGAGAAAGTTTCGGAAGAGGAGACCTTTCGCAGGAAGCTGTCTCAGTCGGCTTCGGTGCGCTTTCTGCACAAGCAGCCCTTGGGCAAGAGGCAGGAGGGAGTTGCCAAGGACCAAAGTGGGTTGCCTCCCTTGGAGAGAGAGCTGCCCAGTCGGGTGCCGAACCTACAGCCTGGGGAAGGGGCTGGAGAAAGAGGAAGAATCCCTGAGCACCCCCCAGACCTAGGCCAGGAGCTGAGGAGTGAAGACGCATCCCCCGAGGAGTCCCTGTCAGCTGCCTCTGCCTTTGAGGGTGAGTGGAAGAAGTACTTACTTACTTAGGCGATCCCTCGTTGGCCGAGTAGGGTAGTCCTCCAGGATCAGTGTTCTGGTGGGTCCGTAGGTGACTGTGCAGCCCTCTTCTTGACCTGCATCTTCTCCCGCAGTGAGGGCATCGGTTTCCAGGTGGAAGGCGGTCTCAGTCGGGGTTGGCTTGACGCGCCTTCCTCTTGGCACATTTCTCTCTTTCGCCCTCCATTCGTGCCTCTTCAAATTCTGCAGCACTGCTGGTCCCAGCTGACCTCCAGCTGGAGCGCTCAAGGGCCAGGGCTTCCCAGTTCTCCATAAAGGGGTCATGAGGGTTATGTGTGCCAAGTTTGGTCCAGGTACGTCACTCGTGCTCGTCACAGTGGCCTGTGATAGTGGCAGCCAATCAGAAAGCTGCCACATACACACATACATACAAACATTCTCTTTTATGTATATAAATAAAAATGTAATGTTTGTTTGTGGGATTAGCATAACTCAAAAACCACTGGACAAATTGACACCAAATTTGGACACAAGACACCTAACAACCCAATGTATGTCCTTCACTCAAAAAATTGATTTTGTCACTTGGGAGTTGTAGTTGCTGGGATTTATAGTTCACCTACAATTAAAGAGCATTCTGAATCCCACCAACGATGGAATTGAACCAAACTTGGCACACAGTTCTCCCATGACCAACAGAAAATACTAAATAATAAACAAAATAATAAATAAAAGTCACAGTCCGTAGGTGACTGTGGAGCCCTCTTCTTCTTTTTTATTTTTTTGGAAATAATTTATTAGAATTATATAAAGTTACACGGAAAGAGGGGGAATATCTAAAAGAAGATAGAAAAGTAGGAATGATAGAATAACCCCACTCCCAAACAACAACAGTTCAAAGTAAAATATAATAAAAAGAAAAAAAGAATTAAAAAATAAAAGGAAAAAATAAAATAAAGGGGAGAAAAAAATATATACCATATATACTCGAGTATAAGCCGACCCGAATATAAACCGAGGGGCCTAATTTTACCACCAAAAAATGGGAAAGCTTATTGACTCGAGTATAAGTCGAGGGTGGGAAATGCAGCAGCTACTGGTAATACAAAATAAATATAGATACCAATAAAATTACTTGGAAAAGTAGGTTAAATGTTTTTCAATGTTTACATAAAACTAATTTAAAATAAGACAGACCAACTTTGATTAAACCATTGTTCTAACCTTTTTCAGTGTAAATGTGCTTACGTATCCTTCCAATAATAATAAAAAGTAAAATAATAAAAGTAATAACAACAATAATAAAGTAAAATAATAAATGTAATAATAATAATAAAAATAGAGTATAATAAATGTAATAAAAATAATAAGAGTAAAATAATGCAAATGTAATAATAGAGTAAAATAATAAATGTAGTAACAATAATACTAAAGTAAAATAATAAATGTAATAATAATAAATAGAGTAAAATAAATGTAATAAAATAATAATAGAGTAAAATAAGGTAAATGTAATAATACCAATAATAGAGTAAAATAATAAATGTAATAAAAATAATAGTAATAACAGAGTTAAAATAATAAATAACTTTGACTCAGCCTAAAAAAGGGGCTGAAAAACTAGGCTTATACTCGAGTATATACAGTATATTAAAAATGACTTCCCTTTCATCTTCAGGTTCTTAGTCTCATTAGTTACCCAGTCTTGTCAAAAAAACATTTCCTCTTGTTCTCTTCTCTCTTTGTCGTAGTCTCTAAAGAGGGCCCAGTCCGTCCTCTTTATCGGATTCCCGGTATTCTTTTTCAAGAAAAAAGTAAATTCATCCATTTCTCTTATTTCTCCAATTTTATCCAGCCATTCATCAATGGTTGGGATTTTGTCCTGCTTCCAAAATTTCGCTGAGATTATTCTTGCTGCAGTCGTGAAATATGTAAATAATTTGTCATTTATTTATTTACAGCTTTTATATTCCGCCCTTCTCACCCCGCAGGAGACTCAGGGCGGATTACAATGCACATACACATGGCAAACATTCAATGCCATTCGACATACAACATCTATAGACAGACACACAGAGGCTATTTAACATTCCAGCTTTCCAGCTTCATGAGGGTATGCTCAATTCCGGCCATAGGGGGAGCTGCCGCTTCACCATCCACTTGTGACACCGAGTCCTTGATGGAGTACTTCCTCATTCTTCTGCACGCTGCTGGAAGGGTTTATGGCATTGTAAATTAGTTAAATTAGCCTCCTCCCCATAAAGCGGTACCTAAATTTCTTACTTGACAGATGCAACTGTCTTTCGGGCTGCATAGGTCAACAGCAAGCTAGACTATTAATAGTCGGGAGCTCACTCCGAACTGGGCTGGCTTCGAACTCATGACCTCTCAATCCAGATTTAATGGTTGCTTAACTCTCTGTGGCACAGCCCGGTCCTCTTCACGCTGCATGGCCTCATTCCGTAACCCTGAGGACTAGCAGGCTGTTTTCTGCACTTGCTGATGGGATTGCGTCGTTGCTTAGATGGTGCCGCCTGTGTTTCCAGTCCCCAGCCCTGATTTCAGCTTCCACGCGAACGAGCTCTTGGAGGTCTACGTCTCGGCCTCGGAGAGTCCCAACCACTTCTGGATCCAGATCCTCGGCTCCCGGGCTCTCCAGCTGAACAAGCTCATCTTGGAAATGACGCAGTACTACGGGAGCGGCGATGGCCTGGTGAGTTGTTGCGTGTGGTGGGCAGTGGCGAGGAGCCCTTGTCGACGGCGAGTACCTCCTCCTGCCCCCTTCCACACCATGTGACAATATGCTCCTTGCGCCTCTGCTTCTCCTCAGCCTGAATTGCCCGGGGCGCACATGGGAGACTTAGTGGCCGCCCGGCACTCGAACGATTCCTGCTGGTACCGAGCCAAAGTCCTGGACGTCCTGGAGAACAAAAACCTGGATCTTTACTATGTGGATTTTGGAGACAACGGAGAGGCGCCCTTGGAGGCGCTCCGGCCATTAAGGTGAGTCCGGCGGTGTGATGCATTGCCTACCTTTTTAAGCTCAGGAAGTAGGCCCAGGAAGTTTGGCAACCATGTTATGAGATGGTGCAAGGAGGCAGCCCTCTTAAGAGTACCCATTTCCTAGAGGGGGCGGAGCTTAGGAGCAGCCTGGAGGGAAATGTGGAGAGCTTTGTAATTGGCTGGGAGGGAGTTGGCAGAGCTTAGCTTGAGGGCAGAGGAAGTAGATGCTCAGGAAGTAGGCCCAGGATGTTATGAGATGGTGCAAGGAGGCAGCCCTCTTAGAGTACCCATTTCCTAGAGGGGGCAGAGCTTAGGAGCAGTCTGGAGGGAAATGTGGAGAGCTTTGTAATTGGCTGGGAGAGAGTTGGCAGAGCTTAGCTTGAGGGCAGAGGAAGTAGGTGCATTTTAAAATCTGACAGCTCTGTTAGGGTTTGGTGTTTAAAGGAGCAGTTAGGGTCTGGGGTTTTGAAGAGGGGAGAGAAGGTTTTGGGGAGAACTAGAAGAAGAAGAGTTAGTGAAGCCAAGAGTTGGTCAGTTAGTGAAGATAGATAGTGATTAGGGAGAATAGCCAGTCTAGAGTAAAGACAGATCCAAGGGAAAGGACTGTCTGGAGTTTTAAGGAAGTCTAGTCAGAGGGAAGTCTGCTAGATTCCTGAGGGAGTGCAAAGTTGTTTTGAAACTAAGCCTTGAACTATTTTTAAAGTAACCACAGGCTTTTACTCATTATCACAACCATTAAGCTTAAGTGTTTGTATTGTCAAAGTTCAGTCAAGTAAACAACATTGTTCTTTGTTAAGCAACAAATGTCTCAAGAGTGCCTCTATGTGAAATAGTTCCATGGCAGTTTACTGTGTATGTGTATGTATATATGTATGTATCTGTGTGTATATATATGTGTGTGTGTGTATGTGTATATATGTGTGTGTGTGTGTGTGTGTGTGTGTGTGTGTGTGTGTGTGTGTGTGTGTATATGAGGGAGAGAGAGAGAGGAATAACATCCAAGGTGGGAGAAAGTACTCTTTGTTTTTTGGAGTCACGTGCCCACCTTGATTAGCATTTAATGGCCAAGCAGTTTCAAGGCTTGGCTGCTTCCTGTCTGGGAAATCCCTTGTTGGGAGGTGTTAACTGGCCCTGCTTGTTTCCTGTCTGGAGTTCCCCTGTTTTTTGAGTGTTGCTCTTTATTTACTGTCGTAATTTTAGAGTTTGTTTTTTTTCAATACTGGTTGCCAGATTTTGTTCCTTTTTATCGTTTCCTCCTTTCTGTTGAAATTGTCCACATGCTTGTGGATTTCAGTGGCTTCTCTGTGTAGTTTACAATCATGAAGAAAATAAAGAGCAACACTGAGAAAATATTTATTTATTTATTTTTATTTATTTGTATACCGCTGTTCTCAGGCCTTAGGCGACTCACAGCGGTTAACACAGTAGCAGCAAAAATTCAATGCAACATCAACAAGATATTTAAAAACAATTAACACAATAACCGGCGAGACAATTAACATCAATAACCACTCATTGGCGTCTCATAACTGAAAACGTGATCCAAACTCATCATCCATTGTTCCGTTCCTACATTCATTGCACTGCCTATTCAAACGCCTGTTCAAATAACCAGGTTTTCACTTTTCTCCGAAATACCATTAGAGATGGAGCCGATCTAATGTCCGTGGGAAGGGCGTTCCACAGCGGAGGGGCCACCACCGAGAAGGCCCTGTCTCTCGTCCCCGCCAACTGTGCCTGTGTTGCAGGCGGGATCGAGAGCAGGGCCTCCCCGGAAGATCTCAAGGTCCTAGTGGGTTTGTAGGCAGAGATGCGATCGGATAGGTAACTTGGGCCGGAACCATTTAGGGCTTTATAGGCCAACGCCAGCACTTTGAATTGAGCCCGGTAGCAAATTGGTAGCCAGTGGAGCTGGCGCAACAGAGGGGTAGTATGCTCCCTGCGCGTCGCTCCTGTTAGTATCATGGCTGCTGAGCGTTGGACCAATTGAAGCTTCCAAGCCGTCTTCAAAGGCAACCCCACGTAGAGATAAGATTCCTGTTTCCAGACAGGAAACAATTAGGACCAGCTAACACCTCCCAGCAAAGGATTCCTCCGGACAGGAAGCAGCCAAGCCTTGGAACTGCTAGGCCATTAAATGCTAATCAAGGTGGGCAATTGAAGCATTCACACCTACCCAACAAAGGATTCCCCCAGACAGGAAGCAGCCAGGCTTTGAAGCTAAAAGGCTATTCGGTGCTAATCAAGCTCGCCAATTGCAACATTCCCAAGCGTTCTTTCTCCCATCCTGGACATGGAATGATCCCAATTTTCCTATTTTCCAACACACCTCACAACCTCTGAGGATGCTTGCCATAGATGGGGGCAAAACGTCAGGAGAGAATGCTTCAGGCAGCCCGGAAAACTCACAACTCAGTGATTCTGGCCATGAAAGCCTTCGACAACACATTGATGCAGGATCTCTTTCTTTGAACTCTGATAGCAAAATAGTCGTGGCAGTTTTGCCTTTGCAGGTATGCCTTGGTTAACCAAAGCCAGGTTAGTTGGAAGCTTTGGCGCATAAGGGCGCATCGGTGGAGCCTCACCCCTCTTCCCCACTTCTCTTCTCCTTCCAGGAGCGACTTCCTGAGCCTCCCTTTCCAAGCCATTGAGTGCAGCCTTGCCGGCATCGCTCCGGCCGGTGAGTTGTGTGGGAATCGGTGAGCCTGGAAGTCTTATTTCAGTTGTGCAGAGCTGCACACAAAATAAATCAACCTGCGATCGGGAGGTTGCTTCAGGTTCACTAAAGACAGCCATGCGGGGAGAGGTTAGGTGATGCACATGGGGAATTTTATATTATATATTACATGTAATATTACTAATAATATTGCAAGATAGTGGTAAAATGCAAAACAGTAATATATAATAATAATATTGTGCTGTGCTAATAATTATATTGTGTGTACGCATAACAATCATAATGTGCAGTATAATAGTAATAATAATACAATATAATATTATTACATGTTTTATATTACATGCAATGTTACTAATAATATAGTAATATATCAGTAATATATAATAATAATATTGTGCTGTGCTAATAATTATATTGTGTGTACATATAACGATCATAATGTTGTGCGTTATAATAGTAATAATAATACAATATAATAATATTACATATTTTATATTACATGCAATGTTACTAATAATATAGTAATATTGTGCTATGCTAATAATATAATATACTGTATTTACATATAATATTGATCATAATATTGTAATACAATTTACTAATATAACTATACAATTTATAATACATGCAATATTACTAATAATATTGCCACATAGTGGTATAGTACAATATAGTAATATATAATACTAATTTTGTGCTATGCTAATAATTATATGTTGTATGTACATATAATATTGATCATAATATTGTAATGCAATATAATAATTGTATATTAATGTAATATTACTAATAATATTGCCGTATAGTGGTATAGTACAATATATTTAATATATAATACTAATTTTGTGCTATAATAATAATTATAATATATTGTATGTACATATAATATTGATCATAATATTGTAATACAATTTACTAATATAATTATACAATTTATATTACATGCAATACTATTTATAATATTGCCGTATAGTGGTATAATACAATATAGTAATATATAATACTAATTTTGTGCTATGCTAATAATGTAATATACTGTATTTACATATAATATTGATCATAATATTGTAATACAATTTACTAATATAATTATACAATTTATACTACATGCAATATTACTAATAATATTGCCATATAGTGGTATAGTACACTATAGTAATATATAATACTAATTTTGTGCTATGCTAATAATTATAATATGTTGTATGTGCATATAATATTAATCATAATATTGTAATGCAATATAATTGTATATTATATATTAATGTAATATTACTAATAATATTGCCGTATAGTGGTATAGTACAATATAGTAATATATAATACTAATTTTGTGCTATGTTAATAATTATAATATATTGTATGCACATATAATATTTATCATAATATTGTAAAACAATATAATACTAATAGGATATAACTATATATTTTATATTACACGCAATATTAGTAATAATATTGCAGTATAATGGTAAAATGCAAAGCAGTAATATATAATACTAATATTGTGCTGTGCTAATAATTATATTGTGTGTACATATAACAATCATAATGTCGTGCAGTATAATAGTAATAATAATACAATATAATAATATTATTACATATTTTATATTACATGCAATATTACTAATAATATTGCTGTATAGTGGTATAGTATAATAGGGTAATATTTAATACTAATATTGTGCTATCTTAATAATTATAATATATTGTATGTACATATAAATATTGATCATAATATTGCAATACAATATAATACTAAAATAACTATATTTTACATTACACGCAGTATTACTAATATTGCAGTATAGTGGTATAGTACAATAGAGTATTATTTAATACTTATATTGTGCTATGCTAATCATATTGTATGTGCATATAATATTGATCACAATAATATAATACTAATAATAATATAATATAATAACCATATATTATATATTAATGTAATATTACTAATAATATTGCAGTATAGTGGTATAGTACAATATAGAAATATATAATACTAATATTGTGCTGTGCTAGTATAATATATTGTATGTATGTATAATACATTGATCATAATGTAATACAATATAATAATTGTATATTATATATTAATGTAATATTGCTAATATTTCAGTATAGTGGTATAGTACAATATGGAAATATATAATACTAATATTGTGCTATGCTAATGGATTATATTGTATGTACATATAATATTGATCATAATATTATAATACTATGATCAATATTATATGGAGGTAGCAGGCCGGCTCGACGTACTTGCTGATGCTTCCCCTCTGCAACCCCGCAGGAGGTCAGTGGGAAGAGGCCGCCCTCAACGAGTTTGACCGCCTCACCCATTGTGCCCAGTGGGAGCTCTTGGTGGCCAAGATCTGCAGCTACGTGCCTTCTGGAAGCACCACCTGGCCCCACATCCGACTGTATGACACCAGCGGGGATCAGGTGAGAGGAGCATGCTTTCCAAGATGTAATTGTCCCTCTCTCTTTGAAGGTGCCAGTCCTGGCATTCCTAGGATGCATTATACCCTACGTTAGGGGTCCTCTGACTTTTTATACAGAGGGCCAGTTCACAGTTCATTTCATTTCCCCAGTGTGTTCCTCCTTTTCTAGAACGTCGATGTGGGCGCAGAACTGATTCGCTTGGGCTACGCAGTGCCAAGCCTGCAGGAGGGCGATGGTGGCGGCATGGGAGACGGATGGCACCAGCTGACCAAAGAGGTGACTGTTAAGCACCCCCCCCCCAAAAAAAACCCCCCGTTTCGTTCTGGACTTTGGTCTTACCTGTGTTGGCTGCTCCAAATAGAGGACCGAGTTCTATTCCAAACGAATAGCAGCTTTTTGGAGGAAAATACCACATTTCACCACATAATAGTCGCACTTTTATTCCCCTCCTCCCTTACCCTTATTGGCTGGTTCTATTCCTCACAGCAACTTTTGGAGCAGCCAACACAGGTAAGGGGGGGAGGGGAATACAAGTGCGACTATTATCACATAATAGTTGGATTTTTATTCCCCTCCCCCCTTAGCTGTGTTGGCTGCTCTAAATAGAGGACCGGGTTCTATTCCTCATAAATAGAAGCCTTTGGAGGAGAATACCACATTTCATCACATAATAGTCGCACTTTAATTCCCCTCCTCCCTTACCCTTGTTGGCTGCTCTAAATAGAGGACCGGGTTCTATTCCTCATAAATAGAAGCCTTTGGAGGAAAATACCACATTTCATCACATAATAGTCGCACTTTTGTTCCCTTCCCCCCTTACCTGTGTTGGCTGCTCCAAATAGAGGACCAGATTCTTTTCCTCATGAATAGCAGCTTTTGGAGGAAAATACATTTCATTGCACAATAGTCGCACTTTTATTCCCCTCCCCCCTTACCTGTGTTGGCTGCTCCAAATAGAGGACTGGGTTCTATTCCTCATGAATAGCAGCTTTTGGAGGAAAATACCACATTTCATCACATAATAGTCGCACTTTTATTCCCCTCCCCTTTTTGGCCGATGAAAGAGGAGTGCGAGTATTACGCAATGAAAAAAAATCCCGAACCATGTCCCTGACAAAGAGGAGATAGCAGGGGAGACAGAGAGAGAGCAGGCAAAGGGGCCAATAGGGGAAGGGCTTTCCCAGCCATCTAACTCATATGCTTCAATATTTCCCTAGGGGAACATGGTGGAGGCCTCCCTGGAAAACCTGTCCGATATGCAGAAAACTCCGGATGAGATGCCTCTCTCCTTGTCCTGTGTCAGCCTTTCAGGTAACTCTTCGGAGCACATTTCGGAGCAGAAAGCACATTTGGATGCTACATAAGTCGCTCCTGCCGGTGCCTTAAACATCTCTTGCCAATCCGTTCTCTTTGGCATCCTTTCAGATGTCGCCTCTGTGTCGGAGAGCGGGGATGTCGGGGACCCCTCATTGACTCCTTTGGCTTCAGGAATGGCGGTGAGGCTTTGGGTGCTGGGCGCGGGAGGGCTCTTCTGGGAGAATAAACTTCTCCCAGTACATTATTCAAAAAACCAAACCATTTCATCACATAATAGCTGCACTTTTTATAACCCCTATTTTTGACTGAGGAAAAGGGGTGCAACTATTACGTGATGAAAAAAATCTGCCTTTGAATGTATTGTCAAAGGCTTTCATGGCCGGAATCACTGTGTTGTTGTGAGTTTTTCCCGGCTGCCTGGCCATGTTTCAGAAGCATTCTCTCCTGACATTTCGCCTGCATCTATGGCAGGCATCCTCAGAGGTTGTGAGGTCTGTTGGAAACTAGGTAAAGGAGGGAGGGTTATATACCAAACTGAGGACTGGGTTCTATTCCTCATGACAGCAAGTTTGGGAGGAAAATACTGCATTTCATCATATAGTTGCACTTTTTATGACCTCTTTTTTGACCGATGAAAAGGGGGTGCGACTATTACTCGATGAAAAAAATCTGCTTTTTAATGTATTGTCAAAGGCTTTCATGGCCGGAATCACTGTGTTGTTGTGAGTTTTTCCCGGCTGCCTGGCCATGTTTCAGAAGCATTCTCTCCTGACGTTTCGCCTGCATCTATGGCAGGCATCCTCAGAGGTTGTGAGGTCTGTTGGAAACTAGGTAAGGGGGGGGGGTTATATACCAAACAGAGGACTGGGTTCTATTCCTCATGATAGCAAGTTTGGGAGGAAAATACTGCAGTTCATCACATAGTTGCACTTTTTATAACCCCTTTTTTTGACCGATGAAAAGGGGGTGCAACTATTACGCGATGAAAAAAATGTGCCTTTGAATGTATTGTCGAAGGCTTTCATGGCCGGAATCACTGGGTGAGTTGTGAGTTTTTGTGTGAGTTTTTCCGGACTCTCTGGCCATGTTTCAGAAGCATTCTCTCCTGACGTTTCGCCTGCATCTATGGCAGGCATCCTCAGAGGTTGTGAGGTCTGTTGGAAACTAGGTAAGGGGGGGGGGGGTTATATGCCAAACTGAGGAATGGGTTCTATTTCTCATGGTAGCAAGTTTGGAAGGAAAATACTGCAGTTCACCACATAATAGTTGCACTTTTTATAACCCCTTTTTTTGACTGATGAAAAAGGGGTGCGACTATTACTCAATGAAAAAAATCTGCCTTTGAATGTATTGTTGAAGGCTTTCATGGCCGGAATCACTGGGTTGTTGTGAGTTTTTCAGGCTGTGTAGCCATGTTGTTAACACTAAAAAAAAAAAGGGAATTCCAGACAAGAAACAATCAGTGCCAGTTAATCACCTCCCAACAAAGGATTTCCCCAGGCAGTAAGAAGTGAGACCTTGAAGCTGCTAGGCCATTCTCACTTGCCTCTAGCACTCTGGACGTCATTCCACAGGTATATAAATCCCATTTTCCTAGTTTCCAACAGACCTCACAACCTCTGAGGATGCCTGCCATAGATGGGGAAGAAACGTCAGGAGAGAATGCTTCTGGAACATGGCCATACCACTGGACCGAGAGAAGGAGTTGAGGAACCAGGGGTGATGGCTGCCTACTCTTTGAAGGCCTCAATTGTGCCATCATTATTGACATCCCAGTGTATAGGAGTGGAATAGACATCAGGAAGTCACCAAGGAAGGGCTGGATCGCATCTTCCCTCCCTAGCTTATGGCTTCCTTTCACTTCCAGGACGTTCCACCCGAGAGAGAGCACGTGGCAAGGCAGAAGCAGCAGCACATCCCATGACCAGCCCAGGAGAGCATCTCGCCATCTTGGTGGGCATCTGCTTTTTGGCACAGGATGCAACAGGACTCCGCTGCTTGATGAATGTCTTGCATGCGCCGCCATTTTGAATGTGTTTGTTTGTGTTCGAATAACGGGGGTTAGGAGACCCTCAAGGTTTTTCTGTTGAGATGTCAATTGAAGCAAAGATTTTGTGGCGAGTTGGTTCCCCCCTCCCCTTGATTGTGACCCCCTTTACTAAAGAAGACTCAAATATGGCCGCTTGAACGTTTCCTGCCAATGGTTGGGAAGGTTAAAAGGTGGAGGTCGGCTACCCTTCCCTGGTTTTACGTTTTCACAGCGGAGAGAAGGGAAAGTGTCTAACTTTTGGGTTGTTGTGAATTTTCTGGGCGGTCCGGTGGAGTCTCCTGTGGAGGCTTTGAAGCAGAGGCTGGATGGCCATCTGCTGGGAGGGCTTTGATTGTGTTGCTGTGAGTTTTCTGGGCTGTATGGCCATGTTCGAGAAGCATTCTCTCCTGACATTTTGCCCACATCTGTGGCAAGCATCCTCAGAGGTTGTGAGGTAACAACCCAGTTATTCTGGCCAAGAAAACACATTGTCTTCCTTTTGTTTCATGTTCACCGTTGTTGCCTGACAGATGGATTTAAGAATTGCACATTTCTGGGTCGAAGATGTAATAAATTAAGACGTACTACTTCTTAAGAGCAGCTTCCTTATTTTGCATCTGGACAAGACAGCACAGCTTTTCCTGGACTGGACTATTTGAGTTTCTAGGGTCAAGAACCCAAAAATTTTCACACAATGTATACATAAGTTCACATGGTCTGAGACCAAGCTTCTCACATCACCCTTTTTTTAGCAGTCATTGATATTGGTGCACCATCAGCACCCATTCAGAACCCCACGGACCATCGCCGCCCATTCAGAACCCCACGGACCATCACCACCCATTCAAAACCCCACGGACCATCGCTGCCCATTCAGAACCCCACGGACCATCACCACCCATTCAAAACCCCACGCACCATCGCCACCCATTCAAAACCCCACGGACCATCACCACCCATTCAGAACCCCGCGCACCATCATCACCCATTCAAACCCCAGGGTGCGCGGGGTTTGAATGGGTGCCGATGGTCCGCGGGGTTTTGACTGGGTGCCGATGGTCTACGGGGTTTTGAGTGGGTGCCGATGGTCCGCGGAGTTTTGAATGGGTGCTGATGGTTTCAGGGTTTTGAGTGGGTGCTGATGGTGCGCGGCATTTTGAATGGGTGCCGACGGTGCACGGTTTTGAGTGGGTGCCGATGGTGCGCGGGGTTTTGAGTGGGTGCTGATGGTGCGCGGAGTTTTGAATGGGTGCTGATGGTGCGCGGCGTTTTGAATGGGTGCCGATGGTGCGCGGGGTTTTGAGTGGGTGCCGATGGTGCGCGGGGTTTTGAATGGGTGCCGATGGTGCGCGGGGTTTTGAATGGGTGCCGATGGTCCGCGGGGTTTTGAGTGGGTGCCGATGGTGCGCGGGGTTTTGAGTGGGTGCTGATGGTGCGCGGAGTTTTGAATGGGTGCTGATGGTGCGCGGCGTTTTGAATGGGTGCCGATGGTCCGCGGGGTTTTGAGTGGGTGCCGATGATGCGTGGGGTTTTGAGTGGGTGCCGATGGTGCGCGGGGTTTTGAATGGGTGCCGATGGTGCGCGGGGCTTTGAATGGGTGCCGATGGTGCGCGGGAGTTTTGAATGGGTGCTGATGGTTTCAGGGTTTTGAGTGGGTGCCGATGGTGCGGGGGGTTTTGAATGGGTGCCGATGGTGCGCGGGCTTTTGAATGGGTGCCGATGGTGCGCGGCGTTTTGAACGGGTGCTGACGGTCCGCGGGGTTTTGAATGGGTGGTGACGGTCCGCGGGGTTTTGAGTGAGTGCCGATGGTTGGCAGGGTTTTGAATGGGTGCTGATGGTGCGCGAGCTGGATGTATGTACCCATTGGGCCTGAGATTCCATTGTATATTTTTTCTGGTTGTCTTCTATATAAAAGAATTTTTTGGATTGAAATTCTGTGTCTAGATTCAAAGTGATGCCTTCTACTGACTGTTTTGCCCTGTAGAGGGTAACCCAGGACCAGCGCATCCACAGAATACGATGTTTTCATGCCCATTTAATGCCACTTTGGATTACAAATCCCAGACAGGTGCCCGTCTTGGTCATCCCAGCAACATAGCCTCATCCTGGTCCCTCGCTAGGCCTGTTTTGAGGGTCACCTCAACCGGCTCTGGCCAGACCTCTCGTTCCATAGGGTAGACCATGAAGATGGCATCCTCCCAGGGTGGAAGAGCAGGGTCATCCGGCCGCACGAGTTCGAAACCCAAGAAGCCAAACGTCCGGAGCAGCTCACCTTGAAAACGGAGGGCATAAGATTAGAAAAACATTAATTTATATTGTCAATGGGAACGAGTCTAAAATGAAGTGCAGTGTTCCCTCGCTTATCGCGGGTGTTACATTCCAGGAACACCCGTGAAAAGTGAAAATCCGCGAAGTGGGGATACTATATATGTATATCCAGAGGGTGGGGCTGAAGCGAGGAGAGATTTAAAGGCACCCTGCACCTTAAAGGCGGGATTTGAACACCACTCTGGGCAACAGCAACCATTCATAAACTTGAGAGGCGTAAACCCGCGAAACAGCGAGTCCGCGAAAAGCGAACCACGAAGTAGCGAGGGAACACTGTACAGGGACTCCTCAAGTTACAAGCAAGATAAGTTCAGTAAATTGGATTTGTTTGTAAGTCAGAACAGGTACATTTTTCAATGTAAGTGCAAACAAAAATATTTATTTGTTTAGCTTTGGATAGCATAGGGAACGGGAAAAATTTGGCTTATTTTGGGAAAAAGGATTGGTGATAAAGTTTCAGTGGAGACTCCTTTTTGCCATGATAACAACTCAGGAGTGAATTCCTTTTTCTAGGAGTAGGTTCCTCCACCACAGACATCCCAGTGTTTCTCACTCCACTGGTGTGGAATTTGCATGACCCCGCCCACTGCCTCTCCTTAACCTTTTTCTACTCTTTTCAACTCTGTCTGCACAACAAACAGAGCAGAACTAATCAGCAACTGAACATACTGGAGAAGTTAGGGAGATTGACTCCACATGATGGAAGTTGTAGTTCACCCCACATCAAGTCAGAGCTCTGTGACCCCCACTGACAATGGACCTGGACCTAATTTGGCACACAGAACCCCCATGACCGAAGAAAAAGACTGGAGAGGTTTGGGGAGAATTCACCTTCATTTATAGCCATTGTAGATACTGGGATTTATAGTTCACCTGCAATCAAAGAGCACCATGGACTCCACCAACAATGGCCCTGGACCTAACTTGGCACACAGAACCAACATGACCAACTGAAAATACTGGAGGGGTTTGCAGGGAACTGACCTTCCTTTCTGGAAGTTGTAGTCCACTTATATCCAGAGACACTGACCACCACTGATGACAGATCTGGACCAAAGTTGGCACAGAGAACCCTTATGACCAACTGAACCCACTGGAGGGGTTTGAGGGGACTGACTCACCATAGTGGGAGTTGTAGTTTACCCTGTAGTCAGAGAGCAGACTTAACCCCACCCATGATGCATCTAGAGCAAACCTGCCCAACATAACAAACTTTAAGTACTGATGGAGTTTCTCATGGTTAATCTGGCATGATGGGAGTTGTAGTTCGTCCACAACCTTTCAATTGTAAAATTTTTAAAATGACTTTTTCAAATAACCCGGGCAATGCCAGGTACCCAAGCTAGTAAGCAGTAATCATGGATCTTAGTCTTAACAAGCATCCTAACCTCGGTCACGCCGAGACTTGCCGAAGTTGACAAACACCTGCTCTGCCTCCATCTTGTCTTCTATGTATTCCAGTGTCGCAGCCAGGCTGGGGAAAAATCACATAGTGCAAACATGAGGGCTTTGTAGTTCTGAAAATGAGATTGGGTTTCTTAAAGGGCTTTTTTCGTAGTTGAGTATCCAGTCTATATCTGGAACATGAACAACTGGAAACATGAAACTAGAATTCCCTTAGCAGGCTCGACTAGGACTTGACAAGAGATGTTGCTTCAACTCCAACGTTGACCAAATTGCTGAAAAAAATCCCCTTGGTGTCTCTAATAAAGCCATGAAATTATTCTGTTTCCCCTGGCAAACTGATAAGAACTTGCTTAGAGAAAGACTTCTCTGGGCCCCTCTCTGGAATGTGACCTTCACCAACTAGACACAGAACGCTCCGTTTCAGGACTTAAAATCTCCTGCTGGCTCATGATCCACTTCCTCATTGACATTAAGCACAATGAATGACTGAATTACAGCACACCCCTTGAACTAGGACTTGACAAGAGATGTTGCTTCAACTCCAACGTTGACCAAATTGTTGAAAAAAACCCTTGGTCTCGCTCATAAAGCCATGAAATTATTCCGGTTCCCCTGGCAAACTGATAACGGCATTTTCTCTAACAATCGCTGTGACCTTTGCCGAGTTTGAATCAGCTCAGAGTTTGTGAAAACCAAGTCTCCTATCTATCAGCTCATTACCTTCTTCACCTGGCAGTCCAACCTCTGAACTTGCTTCCCTAGAGAAAGTGTTCTCTGGGTCCCTCTCTGGAATGTGACCTTCACCTTCACCAACTAGACACAGAACGCTCAGTTTCAGGACTTAAAATCTCCTGCTGGTTCATGATCCACTTCCTCATTGACATTAAGCACAATGAATGACTGAATTACAGCACACCCCTTGAACTAGGACTTGACAAGAGATGTTGCTTCAACTCCAACGTTGACCAAATTGTTGAAAAAAACCCTTGGTCTCGCTCATAAAGCCATGAAATTATTCCGGTTCCCCTGGCAAACTGATAATGGCATTTTCTCTAACAATCGCTGTGACCTTTGCCGAGTTTGAATCAGCTCAGAGTTTGTGAAAACTAAGTCTCCTATCTACCAGCTCATTACCCCGTCCACTTAGCAATCTAACCTCTGAACTTGCTTCCTTAGAGAAAGACTAATCTGGGTCCCTCTCTGGAATGTGACCTTCGCCTTCATCAACCAGACACAGAACACTCAGTTTCAGGACTTAAAATCTCCTGCTGGCTCATGATCCACTTCCTGATTGACATTACACACAATGAATGGCTGAATTACAGCACACCCCTTGAACTAGGACTTGACAAGAGGTGTTGCTTCAACTTCAACGTTGACCAAATTGTTGAAAAATCCCCTTGGTCTCTCTCATAAAGCCATGAAATCATTCTGTTTCCCCTGGCAAACTGATAACGGCATTTTCTCTGATTGCTGTGACCTTCGCCATGTCTGAATCAGTTCGGAGTTTGTGAAAACTAAGTCTCCTATCTATCAGCTTAGTACCCTCTCCACCTAGCAGTCCAAGCTCTGAACTTGCTTCCCTAGAGAAAGTGTTCTCTGGGTCCCTCTCTGGAATGTGACCTTTGCCACCACTAACTAGAGGAGACACCGAATGCTCACTTTCAGGACTTAAAATCTCTTGCTGGCTCGCCGGCTCAGCAGGCCTAGAAATCCCATGATCCACTTCCTCATTAACATTGGGCACAATGAATGGCTGAATTACAACACACTCCTTGAACTGCCCAGGAATGTTGGGGTCTCTGCAAACTACAACTCCCAAAATTCCATAGCATTGGGACAGTGTTGATGCACCCTGTGGTGGAGCCTCTGATCCAAGTCCCATTTCTGCATACCTCTCACGGCTGTTGAAGTCTAGGGCGAGGCGGGGGACATCAAGGAAAACCACGTTCTCTCGGAGGATGCCGTGCCAGTGCGTGGTACCTTGACCGCCTCGTGCAAAATGGAAGTCCAACTGGGCCGGTTGTTGAGTGAGAGACTGACAGTCGCTAGCAAAAACGGTGAGCTTCCCAGCCTGTTGCAATAACGGGTGAAATGTGAGGAAATTAAGCCACATATCGTGCAATTGCGGAATAGTGTGGCAGCAACTGTTCCTGACTACATATCACCAAAGTAATGCCATAACATAATCACGATTATTTTCACTATATCTTCAAAGCATCACTATAGTGCAATTCAGACTTGTGATTGTTTCCAACCATATATCACCGAGGCAACACCACAGCATGGTTGTGGTTTGCTTTGGAGATAAGGCACTATTGTGAAATAGCATTCTCACAATTGTTTCCAGCCACAGGTTGCCAAAGCAGCACCACAGCGCAATTGCGGAATAATCTGTTTCCGACTGCAGATCGCCAAAGTGGAACAATGGCACGATTGCGATAGAACATGATTGCGGTTCCTAGTCATAATATCGCCGAAGCAATGCCATAGTGAAATTCCACAATCGTGTGAATGCAGCACCATATCCGCAATTGCGGAATAGCCTGATCGCAATGGTTTCCGACCACAGGTTGCCAAAGCAGAACAATGGCACAATTGCGATAGAACATGATTGCGGTTCCTAGTCATAATATTGCCGAAGCAATGCCATAGTGAAATTCCAGAATGGAGTGAGCACAGCACCATATCGCAATTGCGGAATAGTCTGTTTTCGACCACCGATCACCAAAGCAGAACAATGGCACGATTGCAATAGAACATGATTGCGGTTCCTGGTCATAATATCGTCGAAACAATGCCATAGTGAAATTCCAGAATCGTGTGAGCGCAGCACCATATCGCAATTGCAGAATAGCCTGACCGCAATGGTTTCCGACCACAGGTTGCCAAAGCAGAACAATGGCATGATTGCGATAGAACATGATTGCGGTTCCTAGTCCTAATACGGCCAAAGCAATGCCATAGTGAAATTCCAGAATCGTAATAGCGCAATTGTAGGACGACATGATTGCGATTGTTGCTGGCCACATGTCGCCAAAGCCGAAGCATGTGATGACATTTGTTTACGGTTACAGAGCATTCATTGTGAGTGTTTCCATGATGGTGTATTTCCATTTGCATCAATAACCCGATTCAAAACAAAAGGCTCGCGCAATAAAGTCCTTAGTTTTTCACACTAGGAAGGAAATAGGCAATCCCCGGGTCATTTCATTTCTTGTCTTCCAAATGCCATTTACCTTGTATACTTCCTTGAGGGTTCTGCTGTCTCCTTCATGGGTCCTTCTGTCCGGGCAGCCGCCCTCGAACTCAGGAACACTGCAGGCAGTAACGGGGCCGACGACTCAAGCTCTCAAGCTGGGCAACGGTGGAGCTGTGGAAGCGCAAGAGAAACGATGGCGAGGTGGAATTACGGGTTTTCTAGAAAACGTCCTTTTGTGGCTTCGGCAAAGGTCATTTGCAGGAGACTTGGGTCCGAATCCTGGCTCAGCATGCAAACCTATTGGGTGACCTTAGGCGAGTCACACTCTCTCAGCCCCGGAAAAACCCTGTGTTCAAGTCACTGTAAGCTGGAAATGATCGGAAGCCACACAACAAAGGAAAGCCTATCGTGGATTGGTTCTTTGTCTAGAGTGAGTGCCAACCAATGGGTTTCCATGGCCAAAAGGAGATTCGAACCCTGATCTCTTAATCCTAAACTACAACACCTCAAGCCACCTTGAATCGCTATATCAGAAGGTAATAGTTACTACTACTACTACTGCTGCTACTACTTATACCTCACTTTTTTCTCTTGGTCAAGAAACTCAAGAGTTAAAAATAAATAATAACATCCAAAGCATGACTCCATAAAGACTTTTATTGATTATCTATATTCTTTATTGATTATTATTATTGACACAAAAGCATATTATTATTATTATTATTATTGATATATTCTTTCTTGATTCTTGATTATTCTTTATTGATTAACTTTTATTATTCACCTATTTTTTCTTGATTCTTGATTGATTATCTATTCTTGATTATTATGGGTTGTTGTAGGTTTTTTCGGGCTGTATGGCCATGGTCTAGAGGCATTCTCTCCTGACGTTTCGCCTGCACTTTGGCAAGCATCCTCAGAGGTAGTGAGGTCTGTTGGAACTAGGAAAAATGATTTATATATCTGTGGTATGACCAGGGTAGGACAAAGGACTCTTGTCTGCTAGAGCTAGGTGTGAAGGCCCTTTCTCTCGTCCCCACCAGATTATCCTTATTAATAATCCTTATTGATTATCTATTTATTCTTTATTATTATTAATCTATTCTTTCTTGATTCTTTATTATCTATCTATTCTTCATTGATTATCTATCACTATTATTGACACAAAAACACAGTTATTATTATTTTTATTATTTTATTGATATATTCTTTCTTGATTCTTGATTATTCTTTATTGATTCTTTTTATTCACCTATTTTTTCTTGATTCTTTATTATCTATCTATTCTTTATTAATTATCTATTATTATTATATTATTATTGACACAAAACAGTTATTATTATTATTATTATTGATATATACTTTCTTGATTCTTGATTGTCTATTCTTTATTGATTAACTTTTATTATTCACCTATTTTTCCTGATTCTTGATTGATTATCTATTCTTGATTATCTATTATTGTTATTATTAATCTATTCTTTCTTGATTCTTTATCTATTCTTTATTGAATATCTATTATTATTATTGATCTATTTCTTGATTATTTATTTATTATTATTCACCTATTTTTTCTTGATTCTTTATTGATTATCTATTCTTGATTATTATTAATATATTCTTTCTTGATTCTTTATTATCTATCTATTCTTTATTGATTGTCTATTATTATTATTGATCTTTCTTGATTCTTGATTCTTTATTATCTATTATTATTATTGATCTATTTTTTCTTGATTCTTGATTCTTTATTGATTATTCTGTATTGATTATCTATTATTATTGATCTATTGTTTCTTGATTCTTTATTGATTATCTATTCTTTATTGATTATCATTATTATCATTATTGATCTATTCTTTTTTTATTCTTCTTTATTATCTATCCTTTATTGATTATCTTTTCTTGATTCTTGATTCTTTATTGATATGCCAAAATGTGATCACTGGAGGGAATTGGTGGGAACAGACCTTCCTTTCTGGGAGTTGTAGTTCACCTGCAAACAGAGAAATGGTGACCTCCACCGATTATGGACCTGGACCAAACTTGGCACACAAAACGCCTGTGACTAACTCAGCCTAATTGAGGGGTATGAGGGGACTGATTCGCCATAATGGGAGTTGTAGTTTACCCTACAGCCAGATAGCACACTGAATACCTCTGATTATGCATCCAGAGCAAACTTGCCCAACATCACAAACTCGAAGTACTGATTGAGCTTCTCTGGGTCAACCTGGCATGATGAGAGTTGTAATTTACCCACAACCTTATGTACAACTATGTACATTTTGTACCCAAGCTAGTATCTAATAAAACCGTCCAAAGGTTAATGGTTCAACCTCATTGGCACACTCTAATTTTTGCCCATCCGAAGACCCATCACTCCCTGATGCTTACCTCTTGTCAAAGGGAGTCATTGCTGCCGATGTTGATGGTGGGAAGGGGGTGCCGGAAACTTAGGGAGAGGGGGCCCAAAATGGGAGGACGAAAAAAATCCTGGTTTTTTCCCCCTTTGGATCCAATGAAAGCAAAGCGTGTGACTTGTAGTTCTCCTTTGGTCCCTCCTCCTCCTCTTCCTCCCTTGGGCAGCATGAGTGTGGCCTGCTAGCCCCATGCTCCAGCTAAGTAGCCATAGGTCCCTATTATGATGCACAGCCACATGCGGGAGGACCGGGATTGTGACAGGCCACGCCCACACCTGGCCCCACTCACCTGGATCCAGGTATCTTGATACAAGTTGAATATGATGAGGCCTGAAATGGTCCATTTGGATGGCTGAGAGAGAGGCAACCTTGCTTTCTGGTGGGGCAGTGCACACCACATTGGTTCCAGGCACAAACATGTTTAAAATATTTGGTATGAATTACAAACAAATTTCATATATATATATATATATATATATATATATATATATATATATATGGCTTTGGAATTCTGGAATCTATATTGTCTATCTGGATGGCTGAGAAAGAGTCACCTTTGCCTTCTGATGGTACAAAGATATACACACACACACACATATATGCACACATAAAAACACATACATGTTTGACCAAATTCATATATGTATACAGATATACACACGCCCAAACACATACATATATACACACATACATATGTAAACTCACATGCACACACACACACATACATATGTAAACTCACATGCACACACACACATAAATGTACATACATATGTAAACTCACATGCATATGTAAACTCACATGCACACACACACATAAATGTATGCACAGACATACAGATATATGTATGTGCAGACATACATACGCATACATGTACACACAAACACATATATGTATAGGCATATACACACATGCCCAAACAAACATATATGTATACAGACACATATATACGCACACAGAGATATAATAATAAATTATAATAAATTACTATTATTATTATTACACACACATATATACGCACACAGAGATATATACACACATATACACTTACATATGGACACACACACGGACACACATGCCGAAACACATATACATTTACGTATAAACACACACATGTAAACACACATGCACACACCTATATACACACAGACATACAGATATAGGTATGTGCAGACATACATACACATACATGTACACACATATGCATAGGCATATACACACATGCCCAAACAAACATATATGTATACACACATATATACATACACAGAGATATATACACACATATACATTTATGTACGAACACACATATGTAAACACATGCATACACGCATATACACACATGCCGAAACACATATGTATACACACACATATATACATACACAGAGATATATACACACATATACATTTACGTACAAACATGTAAACACACATGCACACACCTATATATGCACAGACATACAGATATAGGTATGTGCAGACATACATACACATACATGTACATACATATGTATAGACATATACACACATGCCCAAACATATGTATACACACAGATATACACACATATACATTTATGTACGAAAACACATATGTAAACACACATGCACACACATATATACACACATATATGTACGCACAAATATAGATAATATATGTATGTGCACACATAAATATGTATAGGGATATACACACATATGCCCAAACACATGTATGCACACATATATACACACATATACATTTATGCACAAACACATATGTAAACACATAAGCACAGGCACATATACATGTATGCAGAAACACATGTATGCATGCACACATGCATGTACACACAAACACTCATGTCCACACATCTATACACACAAACATATACATGTACACACATACACAGAGGGAGAACATTTATACAGGTTGAGAATCTATGTGAAATCTGAAATACTAGAAGGGGCTGAGAGAGTGTCACCTTTGCTTTCTAGGGACACAAAACTATTCAAAATATTGAGCCTAAAATACACACACACACAAAACTCCTGGAGCAATTACAACAACCACACAGCTGTAATTGTTCAGAGTTTATTTATTTTGGGTTTGGTTTTGTTTTGAGTTTCGTTTTTGGTCTTCTATGCAGCCGGGGGTTAACGTTGTGGCCGCTCCCCAAGTGGTGGCCTCAACTCGGGAGGGCGGAGCCAAGCGAGGCCGAGGCGCATTCGCGGCCTAGTTGGGCCTACAACCCTTTTTTCCGCCGGCCACGCGCATGCGCGGAGGGTGCTGGAGGCGGGCAAGATGGCGGCGCTGAGGGCAGTCGGGAGGGCCGCTTTCCAGGCAGCCAGGAAGATCCCACAACAACAGCAGCAACAACAACAGCGAGGCTTCGGCCTTTCGCCTCCTCTGGTGAGGGAGGAAGAGGAAAAGGCCGCATGGAGGGAGGGAATAATAATAATGGACAGATAGATAGAGATAATGTGTATTGTATTGGAGAGAGGCCTGCAATGAGAGGGAGAGCATGGTGGAGTTGGATAGTGTAATTGTTAGGTTCTTGTGGGTTTTTCCGGGCTATCGGGCCATGTTCTAGAGGCATTTTCTCCTGACGTTTCGCCTGCATCTACGGCAAGCATCCTCAGAGGTAGTGAGGTCTGTTGGAATTAGGAAAATGGGTTTATATATCTGTGGAATGGCTGGGGTGGGGCAAAGGACTCTTGTCTGCTGCAGCTAGGTGTGAATGTTTCAACTGATCACCTTCATTAGCATTTGATGGCCTGCCTGAGCCTGGGAAAATCTCTTGCTGGGAGGTGTTAATCTGTGCCTGGTTGTTTCCTCTCTGTTGTTTGCTGTTGTAATTTTAGAGTTTTTTAATACTGGTAGCCAGATTTTGTTCATTTTCATGGTCTCTTCCTTTCTGTTGAAATTGTCCACATGCTTGTGGATTTCAATGGCTTCTCTGTGTAGTCTGACATGGTGGTTGTTGAGGTGGTCCAGCATTTCTGTGTTCTCAAATAATATGCTGTGTCCAGGTTGGTTCATGAGTGCTCTGCTATTCCTGACTTCTCTGGTTGAAGGAGTCTGCAGTGTCATGTTCCTTGATTCGTGTCTGGGCAATCCTGTGTTTTCTGTGGCTGAAGTAGTCTGCAGTGCCTTTCATGTTCCTTGATTCGTGTGTTGGGCAATGCTGCGTTTGGTGGTCCCTCTGTAGACTTGTCCACAGCTGCATGGTACACGGTAGACTCCTGCAGAGGTGAGAGGATCCCTCTTGTCCTTTGCTGAACGGAGCATTTGTTGGATTTCCTTGGTGGGTCTGTAGATTGTTTGTATGTTGTGTTTCCTCATCAGCTTCCCTATGTGGTCAGTGGTTCCCTTGATGTATGGCAGGAACACTTTTCCTCTGGGTGGATCTTCATCTTGACTCTCGTGGCTTCTTCTCGGTGGTCTTGCAGCTCTTCTGATGTCTGAGGTGGAGTCTCCATTGGCCTGGAGAGCCCAGTTGAGGTGGTTCAGTTCATCTTGGAGGAGGTGGGCTTCGCAGATTCTTTTTGCACGGTCTGCCAAGGCTTTAATGGTGCTTCTTTTTTGACTTGGGTGATGGTTGGAGTTTTTATGTAGATATCTATCTGTGTGTGTGGGTTTTCTGTAGACGGTGTGACCCAATTGTTGATCTGGTTTGCGGATGACTAGGACATCTAGAAAAGGCAGTCTTCCTTCATTTTCTTTTTCCATGGTGAACTGGATGTTTGGGTGGATGCTGTTAAGATGGTCCAGGAACCTGTTGAGTTCTTCTTCTCCATGGCTCCAAATGGTGAAGGTGTCATCCACATATCTGAACCATATCGTGGGCTTTTTGGTTGCTGTCTCCAGGGCTTGTTTTTCAAAGTGTTCCATGTAGAAGTTAGCTATGACCGGGCTAAGAGGGCTCCCCATAGCTACTCCATCTTTCTGTTCGTGAAACAGAGCCGTGATGTCTTCTGGGAACCTCTGTTTGATGAGTGCCATGGTGTCTGCTACTGGGACCATGGGAAATAGAGATACCACATCGAAGCTGATCAGTTTGTCATTGGTATTTAGCTTGAGATTGCTGATTTTTTCAATGAAGTGGGCTGAGTCCTTGATGTAGTGTGTTGTGAGCCCAATGTGGCTTTGTAACTGTGCAGCAAGAAATTTTGCTAGGTCGTATGTGGGGGATCCAATGGCACTCACGATGGGTCTGAGCGGGGTGGAGTCCTTATGGATTTTTGGGAGTCCATAAAGCCTGGGTGGAAGGGCTTCCGATTTACATAGCTGTTGTCGTATGTCAAAGTTGATTGAGGAGTTCTTAATTAGAGTGTTGGTTTTCCTGGTTATTTTGGAAGTTGGGTCTTGCTTAAGTTTTTTGTATATAGTAGGGTCCAGTTCTGTATCTTAAGGGACCGTGACTCAAATTCTCCCTTCTCTGCCCTTCAGGGAACGGTCATTGTGGAACGATGGTGGAAAGTGCCGCTCAGCAAGGAAGGGCGCGAGCCGCGGATGAAACACCGCCGTTTCCGCGTCTACCGTTTGGTGGAGGACACCAAGCACAGTCCCAAGGAGCCCCTGACCCTCATCCTCACGCAAACTGTAGAGGGTATGGCCCAGTTTCGTCTTGTTCAGATCGCTACACGCACTTTTGCAATCCCTGGCTTTGCACACTTAGAAAGGTATGCTCCAAGTTTGGAGCTGCTGCCTGAAATATGTCAAGCCAGAAAGGCGATAACAGTTAATACAAAATAAATTCAATTAATTTAAAATAAAACCAATCAATTAATTTTTATTGATTAGCCCTTAGGCCATATCACACGGGTTGGGAGTCACCTGCATTAAAATCAGTATCAGCCCAGGTTGGAGCAAGCTCGCGACCATTTATCTAGATTGCTGTCGACCTTTGCAGCCCAAAAGACAGTTGCATCTGTAAAGTAGGAAATTTAGGTACTGCTTATGTGGAGCCCGCAGTGGGTTAAAGCGCTGAGCTTGTTGACTGAAAGGTCGCAGGTTCGAATCCAGGGAGCAGCGTGAGCTTCTGCTGTCAGCCCCAGCTTCTGCCAACCTAGCAGTTCGAAAACATGCAAATGTGAGTAGATGAATAGGTACCGCTCCATGCAGTCATGCCATTAAATAGATTATAATATTATATTGTAATATTAGATTATAATATTATATTATAATATAGATTATTATATTATAATATATTATATTATAATCTATATAAATAGGTGCTGAGCTTGCTGACCGAAAGGTTGGTGGTTCGAATCTGGAGAACTGGATGTGCTCCTGCTGTTAGCCCCCGCTTCTGCCAACCTAGCAGTTCAAAAACATGCAAATGTGAATAGATCAATAGATACTGCTATGGTGGGAAGGTAACAGCACTCCATGCCAGCCACATGACCTTGGAGGTGTCTATAGACAACGCCGGCTCTGCAGATACCTCACAAAATGCATACCTCACGATACATGTTAGCTATATTACATGTGGAGACCTCCTTAGCATGGGCATTCAGTTCTTTTCCTCCAAATGAGAGCCACGTTTTCCCTCTTTGCAGACGTCGGCAACTGCTGCGATGTTGTCTCGGTGGACAAGTCGTTCGGGCGCAACAAGCTCCTTGCTAAGGACAAGGCTGTTTACGCCTCCCCCGAAAACCTGAAAATATTTGAGGAGCAAAGACAGGTGAGCAGCAATTTGTGTGTATTTTAAAAAAATATATTTTTAATTATTTTATCATAGTTTGATACATTGGTTATACATTGTTTATTTACAGCAGATTCGTATTATTCAATGCAATCTATCATACTTTAATTTGTGTATATATGTGTGTTCCTTGCTGTTTTAAGTCTACTTTTTGGGCATCTTTGTGGTCCCTTTGCAAGACTTTGTTGTGGTACCTCCAGCTTTGAACCACTGCTGCCATTGGAGACGTTGTGTGTCTGAACTGTGTCCTAGTTTTGGAAGAGATGCTTCAGATCCTCCAGGGAAGGAGATAGATAGATAGATAGATAGATAGATAGACAGACAGACAGACAGACAGACAGACAGACAGACAGACAGACAGACAGAAAGAAAGAAAGAAAGAAAGAAAGAAAGAAAGAAAGAAAGAATGAATGAATGAATGAATGAATGAATGAATGAATCCTAGAGCTGGAAGGGTATAATTGCATAGTACAATATCTATCTAAATAAAAATGTAATGTTTGTTTGTGGGATTCACAGAACTCAAAAACCACTGGACAAATTGACACCAGATTTGGACACAAGACACCTCTCAGGACAATGAGTGACCATCACTCATAAAAACACGGAAAAACACAGCAGAAGAGACTTAAAAAGTAAAAAACAGACAAACCAAAAATACGGAAGAAACACAGCGGAAGGGACTTTAAAAGTTTAAAAAACCCAAAAATACATTACAACACATGCACAAAACCCCACACACACATATATACACAAACACACATATATACACACATATATGCACATACACACACAAAACACATACACAGAAAAAGAAGAGAGGGAGAGAAGGAAGGAGAAAGAAGGTAGAGAGAAAGGGAGAAAGAAGGAAAGAAGGAAGGAGGAAGGAGAGAGAAAGGAGGGAGGGAAGGAAAATAGAGAAGGAAGAAAGGAAGGAGAGAAAGAAAAGAGAGAGAAGGAAGGAAGGAGAGAAGAAGGAAGAAGAAGGAAGGAGAGAAAGAGGAAAAGAAGGGGAAAAAGGAGAAAGGAAGAAAAAAGGATAGAGAAGGAGAGGAGAGAAAGGAAAGAAGGAGGGAAGGAAAGAAAGAAGGGTAGAGAAGGAAGGAAGGAGAGAAAGGGAGAGAAAGGGGGAAAGGAGAGAAGGAAAGAAAGAAGGATAGAGAAGGAGGGAAAGGCAAAGGGAAAGAAGGAGGGGAGGGGAGAAAGACAGGAGAGGAAGAGAGAAGGAGGGAGAGAAAGAGGGAAAGAAAGAGGGGAGAAGGAAAGAAAGAAAGGTAGAGAAGGAGGGAAAGGAGGAGGGAAGGAGAGAAAGAAGGGTAGAGAAGGAGGGAGGAGAGAAGGAGAGAGAGAAAGGGAAAGAAGGAGAGAAGGAAGGAGGGAAGGAGAGAAAGAAGGAAAGAAAGAAGGGTAGAGAAGGACGGAGAGAGAGAAAGGGAGAGAAGGGTAGAGAAGGAAGGAAGGAGAGGAAAAGAAGGAGAGAAGGAAAGAAAGAAAGGGAGAGAAGGAAGGAAGGAGAGGCGGGGAGAGAGAGAAGGAGGGAGAGAAAGAGGGAAAGAAGGAGGGGAGAAGGAAAGAAAGAAAGGGAGAGAAGAAAGGGAGAAGGAAATAAAAAAGTGAAAGAGGGAAGGAAGGAGAGAAAGAATGAAAGAGAGAAAGAGGGAGGGAAGGAAGGAAAGAGTCAAGGAATGATGGAACCAAAGAGCAAAGAAAAGCGAGAAAAGAAACGGGTAGAGAAGGAAGAAAGAAGGGAAAGAAAAAGAGGGAAGGAGAGAAATAAAGGAGAGAAAGAGGGAGGGAAGGTTGGCCACAGCAACGCGTGGCGGGTACAGCTAGTAATATATAATACTGATACTGTACTAAGCTAATAATATAATATATTGTATGTATGTATATATATCTGTAAGCCGCTCTGAGTCCCCCATAAATAAATAAATAAGACCAACCCCCTTCTTCTGTGAAGAAAGACACAATATGACCCCTCCTGACAGATGACCATCTAGCTGAATCATAACAACAACAGTAATGTTTACAATCCAGTCTTCTCTTGTCGAAAGGGTTGACTTCTTCCAATGCTGTGCGTATTATAGCATCTGTGCTGCAATTATCGTGTTGAGCAGAGCTTTGTGGTTTCGTGAGTTTGTTTATTTGGCATTCCCAGTGAAAATAATTCGGTTTCTATCTTTATGTTTTAGCTCCGTTTGGAAGGAAAGTTGCCGAAACTCCAAACCCACACGGCCGTGAAGGTGAGTTAACTTCTTTAGCATTGATTTTAAGGGTTTTCACTGTTTCTTTTTAATACTATTAATGTGTCATTATATTTTAACATTTGTATACCGTATGTACTCGAGTATAAGCTGACTCGAATATAAGCCGAGGCACCCAATTTTACCACAAATGACTAGGAAAACATATTGACTCGAATATAAGCCCAAGATGGGAAATGCAGCAGCATCTGGTCAATTTCAAAATCAAAATAGATGCCAATAAATTTACATTAATTGAGGTATCATGTGGTTAAGTGTTTTTGAATATTGACATAAAACTGCTGCTTAATAATAAAGTAAAATAATAATAATAATAATAATAGAGTAAAATAATAAATTTCATAATAACAATAATAGTAAAGTAAAATAAATGTAATAAGAATAAATAGTGTAAAATAATAAATGTCGTAATAATAACAAATAGTGTGAAATAATAAATGTAATAACAACAATAATAAAGTATAATAATAAATGTAATAATAGCAATAGCTGGAGTAAAATAATAAATGTAATAATAACAGGGTAAAATAATAAATGTAATAACAACAATAATAAAGTATAATAATAAATGTAATAATAGCAATAGCTGGAGTAAAATAATAAATGTAATAACAACAATAATAAAGTATAATAATAAATGTAATAATAGCAATAGCTGGAGTAAAATAATAAATGTAATAATAACAATAATAAAGTATAATAATAAATGTAATAATAGCAATAGCTGGAGTAAAATAATAAATGTAATAACAACAATAATAAAGTATAATAATAAATGTAATAATAGCAATAGCTGGAGTAAAATAATAAATGTAATAATAACAGGGTAAAATAATAAATGTAATAACAATAATAATAAAGTATAATAATAAATGTAATAATAGCAATAGCTGGAGTAAAATAATAAATGTAATAATAACAGGGTAAAATAATAAATGTAATAATAACAATAATAAAGTATAATAATAAATGTAATAATTGCAATAGCTGGAGTAAAATAATAAATGTAATAATAACAGGGTAAAATAATAAATGTAATAACAATAATAATAAAGTATAATAATAAATGTAATAATAGCAATAGCTGGAGTAAAATAATAAATGTAATAATAACAGGGTAAAATAATAAATGTAATAATAACAATAATAAAGTATAATAATAAATGTAATAATTGCAATAGCTGGAGTAAAATAATAAATGTAATAATAACAGGGTAAAATAATAAATGTAATAACAATAATAATAAAGTATAATAATAAATGTAATAATAGCAATAGCTGGAGTAAAATAATAAATGTAATAATAATAACAAATGGAATAAAGTAATACATGTAATAACAACAACAATAATAAAGTATAATAATGAATGTAATAACAATAAACAGTAACATAATAAATGTAATAATAGAGTAAAATAATAAATGTAATAATAAAGTAAAATAATACATTATTATTATATTATTATTAAACTTTATTTGTACCCCGCTAGCATCTCCCGAAGGACTCGATGCGGCTCACACAGGCCGAAGCCTCAAAACACAATACAACACATCATAACACAACAATGAAACAGAAGCAAACCAAATAGTTAAGCAGTAACAACAACAGTAACAATACGTCGGACACTTTAAAACTGGGCCGGCCAGAGCAATGGGTACAAGGTTAAAAGTGCTGAGATGGCAGGAGGAACGTAGGATTAGATAAGTGCGGTGTGCAGCGATCTTGTTCTACTAAAGTGCATCTAGGGCTTGGTGATGGGGAGTTCCTAGTCTGAGAAGGCACAACGGAACAGCCAGGTTTTTAGGTTCTTTCTGAAAACTGCCAGAGTAGGGGCCTGTCGAAGATCTTGCATTAATAATTACAATAACTAGAGTAAAATGATAAATATAATAATAATAGAATAAAATAATAAATGTAATAATAACAGACAGAATAAAATAATGTAATAGCAATAACTGGAGTAAAATAATAAATGTAATAATAATAACAAATAGAGTAAAATAATAAATGTAATAACAACAACAATAATAAAGTAAAATAAATGTCATAATAATAATAAATAGTGTAAAATAATAAAAATAACAAATAGAGTAAAATAATAAATGTAACAACAACAACAATAATAAAGTATAATAATAAATGTAATAATAGCATTAACTGGAGTAAAATGATAAATGTAATAATAACAATAACTAGAGTAAAATAATAAATGTAATAACAACAACAACAACAACAATAAGGTATAATAATGAATGTAATAACAATAGAGTAAAATAATAAATGTAATAATAATAATGTAAAATAATACATGTATTAATACTTATAATAACTAGAGTAAAATGATAAATGTAATAATAATAGAATAAACTAATAAATGTAATAATAACAAACAATAAAATAATGTAATAGCAATAACTGGAGTAAAATAATAAATGTAATAATAATAACAAATAGAGTAAAATAATAAATGTAATAACAACAAGAATAATAAAGTATAATAATAAATGTAATAACAACAACTAGAGTAAAATAATAAATGTAATAATAGCAATAATAAAATAATAATGTATTAATAATTATAATAACTAGAGTAAAATAATGCATGTAATAATAATAGAATAAATATAATAATAGAGGAAAAGCCCCCCTCCCCTAAACTACAAGCCCCATAATTCTGCAGGAGGAGGTCTTGAAGGCTTTGGTGGGATAAGGCCAGGGATTAGATCTGTGCAACTTATTTCCAGAGTTATTCCAAAGGATTTCTGCCATTTTCCTCCTTGCAGACTGTCCGGTTCCTGCGAAACTGCACCCTCGAAATCGGAGTGAACGAGTGTGAGCAGTTCGAGCTGACCAAGGAGATCGTGGCTCGCCACTTCCTCCGAAATGTGAGCGCCGCCATTGTTTTTAATTTCTGCCTTTTCGTGCTGAAATTGTTTTGGTGGGAAGTCAGCCAGGTTAGGGTCTGTGGAACCATATTGTAATGCAGCCCAACCCCATGCCAATGCAGGAAGAGCACAATCAAAGCCCTCCTGACAGATGGCCACCCGGCTACTGCTTAAAACCCTCAAGAGAAGGAGACTCCAAGGAAGCACATTCCATTGTGGAACAGCTCAAGAAGTTTTTCTTACTAAATGTTTAGGTGGAATCTCTTTTCTTGCCATTTGAATCCGTGGCTCTGTGCTCTGATCTTGGGAGAAGCAGAAAACAGGCTTTGCCCCCTCCTCAAATGGGACATCCTTTCAAAGATTTGCCTTAATTTGGCTGCCTTATTTAGTCTTTATCCAAACGTACTCTTCGATTTGTGTCTCTCATCATTCAGATCTCTTCCTTAAGCCCTTCTCTTCTCTGTCACAGAGCCCCTTCTCAAACTGAACTTACACAGGAGCTTCACGCAGTAGCTTTACACACAGCAGCCTTCACACTGGAGCATCTCCTCACACAAGCTTCTCTCACTGAGGCCTTTCTCCCGCTGAGGCTTTCTCACACTGAGGGCTCTCTCAGAGAGACACCTTTCTCCCACTGAGGTGAACTGACACTGAGGCCTACCTCTCACTGAGGCTTTCTCACACTGAGGGCTCTCTCACACTGAGGCCTTTTTCCCGCTGTGGCTTTCTCACACTGAGGACTCTCTCAGACAGACACCTTTCTCCCACTGAGGTGAACTAACACTGAGGCCTACCTCCCATTGAGGCCTTCTCACACCGAGGCCTACCTCACACTGAGGCCTTTCTCCCGCTGAGGCTTTCTCACACTGAGGGCTCTCTCAGACACCTTTCTCCCATTGAGGTGAGCTGACACTGAGGCCTACCTCCCACTGAGGCCTACCTCCCACTGAGACCTACCTCACACTGGGACCTTTCTCCCGCTAAAGCTTTCTCACATTGAGGGCTCTCTACGAGACCTTTCTCCTACTGAGGTGAACTAACACTGAGGCCTACCTCCCACTGAGGCCTTTCTCCCAATCAGGCCTTCTCACACCGAGGCCTACCTCACACTGAGGCCTACCTCACACTGAGGCCTTTCTCCCACTGAGGCTTTCTCACATTGAGGGCTCTCTCAGACAGACAGTTTTCTCCCATTGAGGTGAACTGACACTGAGGCCTACCTCACACTGAGGCCTACCTCACACTGGGGCCTTTCTCCCGCCAAAGCTTTCTCACACTGAGGGCTCTCTCAGACAGACACCTTTCTCCCACTGAGGTGAACTAACACTGAGGCCTTTCTCCCATTGAGGCCTTCTCACACTGAGGGCTCTCTCAGACTGACGGCTATCTCACACTGAGGCAAACTAACATTGAGGCCCTCTCACACTGAGGTCTCCCAAGGCCCTTCTCCTACAGAGACCTCTCACAGACTGAGGGCTACTAAACTACAGGCACAGCTGCTAATACTCAACTGCAGCTTTTGTTGAGTCATTGTATCCATTTAACCCTTTCAGTGCCTGACTCACATTTTTGTAATTAAAAATACCTAGTTAATTTTTAATATGTCTGACCTTGCCCTCAGTAGTGCTATCTTTTCTTTTTCAAATATATCTGCTTTGGAGTTTCCCTGTTGACCACATCGACAAGCCCTTTGTTCTCTTCCTTCCAGCTCCGGGTTGTGGTACCTCCACATACAATGAAGCTCCCAGAGGAGCCCATCACAGAACTGGGTGATTACTGGTGTGATGTCACGGTAAGGAGAACTTCCTTCTAACATGGAGCCAAGTTAGAAGTTAGTCATGAAAGATATAGGTCTCTAAAGCACCGCATCCAGTTATTATTATTATTATTATTTGATACACAACAAGATTAGTTCACAGCAAACAAGTTCATCCTGCTGGATGTTGTATTGGATCACATGTTGGACACTTCCCAATTGTCTAGGATTGTGTGATGTATCGGCGAATACTGAGTGAAGATCCGCGGTCTTCTCACACTGAGGGCTCTCTCAGACAGACATCTTACTAACACTGAGGCCTAGCTCACACAACAAGATGAGAACACAGGAAATATGATCACTCTGCTGGCTGATGTATTGGATCACACGTCGGACACTTCCCAAATGTCTAGGACTGTGTGATGCATCGGTCAATGATGCGTGCAGATCCGAGGTCTTCTCACACTGAGGGCTCTCTCAGACAGACGCCTTACTAACACTGAGGCCGTGCAGATCCAAGTAGGGTGGCATTTTGCAGCTGACAGGTGTTATTTTGTTTTTAAGTGCAAGCCAAGGTCTTCGGCACTGCACCAAGTGTGCCGATCACCACTGGGACCACGTTGACCACATTGACTGACTTGTGCCAGAGTCTTTGCAGCTCGATCTTTAAATCCTATTATTATTATTATTATTATTATTATTATTATTATTATTATTATTATTTGAAACACAGCAAGATTAGTACACACAACAAACAAGATCACTGTGCTGGCTGTTGCATTGGATCCCACATCGGACACTTCCCAAGTGTCTAGGATTGTGAGATGTATCGGTAAATAATGCATGCAGATCGGAGACCTTCTCACACTGAGGGCTCTCAGACAGACACCTTCCAATACTGAAGCCTACTAACTCTGAGGCCTACCTCACACAACAAGATGAGTACACAGCAAACATGATCACTCTGCTGGCTGTTGTATTGGAGCACACGTCAGACACTTCCCAAAGGTCTAGGACTGTGTGATGCATCGGTGAATAATGCATGCAGATCCGAGACCTTCTCACACTGAGGGCTCTCTCAGAAAGACACCTTACTCAAACTGAGACCTTCCAATACTGAAGCCTACTAACACTGAGGCCTACCTCACACAACAAAAGGAGTACACAGCAAACATGATCACTCTGCTCGCTGTTGTGTTGGATCAAACGTCGGACACTTCCCAAATGTCTAGGACTGTGTGATGCATCGGTAAATAATGCATACAGATCTGAGGCTTTCTCACACGGAGGCTTCTCTCAGACACCTTACTAACACTGAGTCAGGTCTTTCTGTCTTTTCTGTCTCTCTCCCAAGCGTTGTGGTTTCCGCTCCAGGGCACCCACCTCTCCCATCTTCTGCCTCCTTGTGTTGTAGGTGAATGGTCTTGACACCATCCGAGTCCCAATGTCTGTGGTGCAGCAGGCGTACCCCAAATCCAGGGGTCAGCGGTTCTGGCTGGCCCGACACGAGCCAGAGGCCACCACGCCCGAGCAGTAATGTGGGTTTGGGAAGCAGACAACAACCTGGATGCAATCCGGAAACGGAGCCCGACATCACTTTGGGTTTGGACTGGATCTCTCCCTCTGTGCAGAATGGGGTTCCCCCATATTTGAGGACCAAAGGGGGGTGGTACCTGACGGTGGGAGGTCATGTGTCACTGTCTGAAATGTCTTTTGAGGAACAAGGTTTAATTCCACCGAGTGGTTTTCCAGTGCATTTCTGAACACACCTCCCAGAGATGCAGGAAAAGTACGAACATCATGTCAATAAAAAATGTCTCTGTTCGTGTTGAATACCTTAGTGAGGCCCGGCTCTTTAGGTCGGGGAGGATATATGGAAAGAATAGCAACCGTGTTGTTGAAGGCTTTCATGGCTGGAATCACTGGGTTTTTGTGAGTTTTCCGGGCTGTTTGGCCATGCTCCAGAAGCATTCTCTCCTGACACTTTGCCCACATCTATGGCAGGCATCCTCAACCACCACCTGTCTCGCCCTCCTCCTGGCATGATGCCAAGAGGACAGCCTGAGGATCAGGGGAGGAGAATGGGGAGGGGGATTGGGGCAGTTACTGTATGTCCCACCTTCCTCCCGGCATAAGGACGGTGCAAGCGGCCCCATCTTTATGCCGGAAGGAGGACTTGAAGAAGGTACGCAGTGGCTGAGAGCCCTCTGGAGCACTCTCAACCACTGCCTGTCTCGCCCTCCTCTCGGCATAATACCAAGAAGACCGCCTGAGGATCAGAGGAGGAGAATGGGGAGGGGGGGTTGGAGCAGTTATCTTGTGTCCCGCCTTCCTCCCAGCATAAGGATGGTGCGAGCGGCCCCATCCTTGCTGGGAGGACGACTCGAAGAAGGCACTCTTGACCACTACCGGTCTCATGCTCCTCCCAGCATAATACCAAGAGGACAGCCCGACGATCAGAGGAGGAGAATGGGGGGGAGGGTTGGAGCAGTTCTCGTGTGTGCCGCCTTCCTCCCAGCATAAGGATGGGTCGAGTGGCCCCAACTTTGTGTTGAGAGGACGGCTTGAAGAAGTCACTCTCCGGAGCACTCTCAACCATCACCACCTGCCACACCCTCCTCCTGGCGTAATACCAAGAGGACAGCCCAAGGATCAGAGGAGGAGAATGGGGAGGAGGGTTGGAGCAGTTATTGTGTGTATAAGGATGGTACGAGTGGTCCCAACTTCGTGCTGGGAGGACGGCTCGAAGAAGGCACTTTCCGGAGCACTCTCAGCCAACTCCTGTCTTGTCCTCCTCCTGGCATAACACCAAGAGGACAGCCTGAGGATCTGGGGAGAAGGATGGGGGGGATTGGGGCAGTTACCGCGAGTCCCGCCTATCTCTTGGCACAATGTAGGGCGAGCAGGTTGTCCTCCCTTATGCTGGGAGGACAACCTGAGGATGACCCAAGCTCTGCTGGCTCCGCCCTCTCCCAGACCCTTACCCACTTTCTCTTGGCCCGGCCCTCCTGGCTGGACCCACAATACAGTCCCAAGACAAAGTTTGCCCATGCTTGGTATACACCATCACATTAGAGGCACTGTCATCTCAGAGGACATCTTGGCCATCACCTATGGCATCTTCCTTTGTTCCTCTGCCATGTTTCTTGGGACTGTTAAGTACGCACCATTCTTCGATGTACAGAAATGTAAACAAATGGAATTATTCCATGCTTATAGCTGTGGCAGTGGGTCCTCCTGTCCAAAAATTAAGAGTAACACCTTCACTTCGGATTCGAAGCACTCTAGTGGCCCTTCTGCAGGACTTGTGGGATAATGTCGCCTTGCGGGAAAAGTCGTGCTTGGACCTCGGAAAGCAAAGCATGGAAAGCTGCCAAAAAGATCATTAAGGCCCGACGTGATCATAATACCGGGGCGTGGGCTGGAAAATTGGCCGGCTTCGTTCTCTTTCTCTCGATCCCAGGAGGAGGGCATCCATATTCAGTGGCCCCATCCGTTACGCCAAGGTTGACGGCCACCTCCTCAAGGTGACTCCCGAGATAATGTCAGATGATGCTGCTGCCAGAAGATGCGTCTCTGTCGGGAACTTGGGGGTTGAGGTGGCACCAATGTCAGGTTGATCCCCAACCCAGGGAGGGAGAAACCCCATCTCCCGGGATCCAAGGTGGCATTGGGACCTCCGTGCAGGGATTGGAATCAAAGAATCACAGAAAAGAGGCCTCGAGGGCCATCTAGTCCAACCCCCTTTTGCCAAGCAGGGGGACACAAAAGCTGGTGTTTTGCTTCTAAAGTATTTTTAAAGTTCTGGTGGTGAAAATTTCAGAACTCTAGCAAAACTTTCGAAATTTCATTATTATTTCGTTAATGGCGATTTTTATGACAACTAATTAGGAATTGCCATTTATAACAAAATTTTGAAAGTTTTGTTAGAGTTCTGAAATTTTCACCACCAGATCTTTAGAAACACTTTAGAAGCAAAGGACTAGCGCTCCCTAGTTTTGTAAGTACTTTAGAACCATTAGAACCATGGATTGCATATGCCTAATAGAAAGAAAGAAAGAAAGAAAGAAAGAAAGAAAGAAAGAAAGAAAGAAGAGAAAGAAGAGAAAGAGGAAGGAAGGATGAAAAGGAGGAAGGGAAGGATGGCAGGAAAGAGAGGGAAGGAGGGGAAAAAGGTGGACTACAGACGGAAGGAAGGAAGGGTGGAAAGAGGGAGGAAGGAAAGAAGGATGGAATGATGAAAGGGAGGAAGGGGAAAGAGGGAAGGTGGGAGGAAAGAGGGAAGGAATGACAAAAGGGAAGGTAGGATGAAAGGGAGGAAGGGAAGAATGAAAGGAAGGAAGGGAAGTAGGAAGGAAAAGAGAATGAAGGAAGAAAGGGTGGATGGGAAGGACGGAAGGAGGAAGAGAGAGGAAGGAAAGACTAAAGGAGGGGGGAAAGATGGACAATGGAGAGAAGGAAGGAAGGGTGGAAGGAGAAAGGGAGGAAGGAATGAAAGAAGGATGGAATGATGAAGGGGAAAGAGGGAAGGTGAGAGGAAAGAGGGAAGGAAGGAAAGACAAAAGGGAAGGTAGGATAAAAGGAAGGGAATGAGGAAGGAAAAGAATGAAGGAAGAAAGGGTGGAAGGGAAGGACAGGAGGACGAGAGGAAGGAAAGAGAAGGATGGAATGATTAAAGGGAGGAAGAAAGAGGGAAGGAAGGAATGACAAAAGAGAAGGGGAAAATGAAGAAGGGAAGGAAGGAGGAAGGAAAAGAGAAGGAAGGAGGAAAGGGTGGAAGGGAAGACTAAAGGGAAGGGAAGGAGGAAGGAAAGGAAGAAAGGGTGGAAGGAAGGAAAGAAGGGAAGGAAGGATGAAAGGAAGGAGGAAGGAAAAAGAAGGGTGGAAGGAGAAAGGGAAGGAAAGACAAAAGGGAAGGAAGGATGAAAGGGTGGAAGGGAAGGAGGAAGGAAAAAGAAGGAAGGGTGGAAGGAGAAAGGGAGAGAGGGAAGGAAGGATGAAAGAGTGGAAGGGAAGGAGGAAAGGAAGGGAGAGAAAGAGGAAGGAAAAAGAGAAGGAAGAAAGGGTGGAAAGGAAGGATGGAAGGAGGAAGGGAAGTTCGCTCTGGTTCAAACTGAAGGTGCAGCGAAGCAGTCCAAATGACCCCCTTTAGCCAGATGTCCCCAATCTGGGCTTTATGGGGAGCCTGCTTTCCCCCTGTGCTTACCTGTGTTCCTCCTACCTGTCTGCAGAAACCCGTCCAACTCCCACCAGGTGGCAGCAGAATCACTCCTCTCAATGATTGATGAGGGTGCTTCTCTCCCTGATTCCATGGGGTGCTGCAGATGGGGGCAGAGTTTCCATTGGGTTTGGAGAGCCCCATATCGAACCTCAAAGGGTAGAGAAGAGCCCCCTGAGACCAAGATGGGTGGCATAGATAAGCTCTAGGTATGCTTGGGAATTATTTGTGGGGTGATGGCACTTCATGCAGATGTAACCCTGAAAGCATTTCGTTTGTCTATGGGAATGTAAAAATTAACCATGTGTAGTCCACATTTGATCAGGCCACACACTCCTTTGCCAGAGAAAGAAAATATACCAAACAGATGAACAATAAAGAATAAGTCGTTTACTCTTCGTAGTTCAGAACAACATATGTACAATGTGATCAGTTGTATCCACTCACATCGTGTCCTTTTATGAGAGATTGAAAATGGTCTTTCTTTGTCCATGTGGGTAAACTCCTCCAGCAGCCCATGAGGCGAGAGCACACTCCAAACACTGTCTCTCTCTTCCACTCCAAGCACTTGCATAGCTGAAGCCTGAACAAAACTGTAACAGTATCCAAAAGTCCCAGGCTCAGCCTGCTCCCAAGCAATCAGCTCCATGCACTTTATTTTGCAGTTCACACACACACACACTGATTCCTTACATGCTTCAACATGCTCCAAGAACCTGCATAGTTGAAGCCTGAACAAAACTGTAACAGTATCCAAAAGTCCCAGGCTCAGCCTGCTCCCAAGTAATCAGCTTCATGCATAGCTGAAGTCTGAACAAAACTGTAACAGTATCCAAAAGTCCCAGGCTCAGCCTGCTCCCAAGCAATCAGCTTCATGCATAGCTGAAGCCTGAACAAAACTGCATCAGTATACAAAAGTCCCAGGCTCAGCCTGCTCCTGCTCAACCAGCTTCATGCATCTAATTTTGCAGTTGACACACACACACACACTGATTCTTTACATGCTCCAACAAAGGTTTCCCCTTGACATGAAGTCTAGTCCTTTTATGAGAGATTTAAAATGGTATTTCTTTGTCTATGTGGATAAACTCCTTCTAGCAGCCCATGAAACGAGAGTACACCCCAAACTCTGTCTCTCTCTGCCTGCTTCTCTCTCTCTACTCCAAGCTCCAGCATAGCTGAAGCCTGAACAAAAATGTAACGGTATCCAAAAGTCCCAGGCTCAGCCTGCTCCTGCTCAACCAGCTTCATGCATTTTATTTTGCAGTTTACTCATACGCATTCACTGATTACTTACATGCTCCAACAAAGATAAAGGTAAAAGTTTCCCCTTAACATGAGCAAAAATGTAACGGTATCCAAAAGTCCCAGGCTCAGCCTGCTCCCGCTCAACCAGCTTCATGCATTTTATTTTGCAGTTGACTCATACACATTCACAGATTCCGTACATGCTCCGACAAATGTAATGGTCTCCAAGGTCATGTGGTCGGTATTTCAGTGCAAGACCCCGGGAGCATCCAGTCTAAGAAAAGGATCGTCAAAGCACTCCCAACAGATGGCCACCCAGTGTTTGAAATAATAATAATAATAGCAACCTAGGGGCCATCCAGTCCAACCTGCTTATGCCTTGCAGTAAAAGCACATTCAAAGCAGCAGCGGGGAGGTCTTGTTGACCAATGAGCTTGAAGCCAGCCTGGGTCGGAGTAAGCTCCTGACCATTTGTCTAGTTTGCTGTCGCCTTTTGCAGCCCGAAAGACAGTTGAATCTGTCAAGGAGGAAATTTAGACTAATTTAACTAATTTATGATGCCATAAAACTCTCCACCAGCGTGCAAAAGAATGAGGAAGTACTCCATTGGTTTCACAAGCGGACTGTGAAGCGACAGCTCCCCCGGTGGCTGGAATTCAAAAAGCATACCCTCACGAAGCTGGAATGTTAAATAGCCTCTGTGTGTCTGTCTATATGTGTTGTGTGTCTATGGCATTGAATGTTTGCCATGTATATGTACATTGTGATCCGCCCTGAGAAGGGCAGAATATAAATACTGTAAATAAATAAAAATAAAGCGGCGGCGGCGGAAGCCACCGCTTGTTTCGATCCATTTACGTTTCCCTGTTTCTATCCCTTGTATATTTCTCTGCTTGCCCCGTGTCTAATTTTAGACGCTCTGCCCCACAAGGCCAAGACCTTTCCTTCTGCGCCTCGAGAGGGGTCATGCATATTAATAACCCGCTAGAAATAACGAGGGAAAGACTGCATCCAGCGGCGCGGTGATTTACCTGCTTACTGCATAAATCTCCACTTATTTCACGCGCGTATTAAGTGTGTGTCAGGCTAAACCCGTTCGGTAAATTCGCCATTTTGTTTCCCCCAAAATGGCCCCGTCGAGGACTTGCTCCGCCCCACATTGAATTGTCATTATTTTGAGTCGACATCGATATTTGCAGGAATCCCAACTTTATTGCAAAGCCGGAGGTTGTAATAAACGCTAAACGAACGAAGCAGCTACCAGAAGTGTTGCACAAAACGAGGGAACGAACGAGCAAAAAAACATCGTGTTTCGGTCTTCCGCGTCAGCGCGATCTCAAATGGCCTCGTTGGCTTTGTCCATCATCTCTTTCTGGATCTTCGCGGGGAGGTCGGGATCGGTAAAATAGTCTGAAACGAGACAACGAGGAGAGAGAAAGATGAGGCCTAGGTCTCGAAAAGACTCCCTGAGAGCAAGGTGGGGAATTGTCGAAAAAGGCAAATTTGGTCTCTCGTTCGTTCTGAAATTTTCACCACCAGATCTTTAGAAACACTTTAGAAGCAAAGTATTAGTGCCCCCTAGTTTTGTAGGTACTTTAGAACCATGGATTGCACATGCCTAATAGAAAGAAAGAAAGAGCGAGACCAACCAAATAACCATGAGATCATGCCGAAAGCACCTGGGCTTCAAGGTCTTGGACAAACTTTCTAACTTGGGCACCACATGCTGGCATGCCCCGCTACAAGGAAGGAAGGGAAAGAGGAAGGAAGGATGAAAGGGAGGAAGGGAAGGATGGCAGGAAAGAGGGGGAAGGAGGGGGGAAAGATGGATGACGGACAGAAGGAAGGAAGGGTAGAAGGAGAAAGGGAGGAAGGAAAGAGAAGGATGGAATGATGAAAGGGAGGAAGGGGAAAGAGGGAAGGAAGGAATGACAAAAGGTAGGAAGAAAGGAAGGAAGGGAAGAATTAAAGGAAGGACGGGAAGGGAGGAAGGAAAAGAGAATGAAGGAAGAAAGGGTAGAAGGGAAGGACGGAAGGAGGAAGAGAGGAAGGAAAGACTAAAGGGAAAGGAAGGATGAAAGGGTGGAAGGAAGGAAAGAAAAGGGAAGGAAGGATGAAAGGAAGGAGGAAGGGAAAGGAGAAGGATGGAAGGAGAAAGAGGGAAGGAAAGACAAAAGGGAAAGGAAAGATGAAAGGGTGGAAGGTAAGGAAGAAAGGGAAGGAGGAAGGAAAAAGAGAAGGAAGAGGGGAAGGGTCTCAAAGGAAGGATGGAAGGAAAGACAAAAAGGGAAGAAAGGATGAAAGAGTGGAAGGTCTAGAAAAGACTCCCTGAGAGCACGGTGGGGAATTGTTGAAAAAGGCAAATTTGGTCTCTCGTTCGTTCGAATTGAAACCACGCAGTGAAGTGAAGGGCGTGTTTCACTTTCCTTGGGGCTCAATGGTTTCGTCTGTACGATGTGTTCCCTCTTATCTGTCATCTGACAGCGAAAGGTACAAGCTCTGCTCTCCCTTTGGCGTGGCTTTATTTGTATTCCTCTGGCTTGGAACATCTTTGCTTCTAATCTGAACAAGCCGGGAACAGTCAGCTTTCCAATCAATCAATCCACACCAAAAACAATGGGGACAGAAGGGTTTAGATATTGATCCCCGGGGCTTCCGGTTTCGTAGGTATCATCAAATCACTTTATATCCCACCTTGGGATTCACATAGCTTTGCCCATGCCTTCCTCTGAGGATGAGAGAGTGTGACCTAGTATTGTGGCTCAGCAAATGACAAAGGATGTTTCAAAGGATGAGGGAATTTATGAGTTTCAGAGTGAAGAGTCTGCTAGTGATCAGAGAGAAATGCAGACTGGGGAGGCCAATGTTTGGTTTTCCCGTGCTCGTTCCCAAGCAATAGAAAGTAAAGATTTCGGTTTTCTTGTGAAACGACCATAGGCCGAAGGGGAGTTTTCCCCAGAAACCAGATTAGGTTTGAGAATGGAGGGAGTGAAAAATAGACTAATTAGATGTTCTGAGAGAATGAATGGGAAGACCTTGAAGCCCAGGTGCTTTCGGCATGATCTCATGGCTGTTTGGTTAGGCTTAAATTTAATGGTGTTGGTTTTATGCCTCTCAGAGGAGACAATGTTGCCATTCTGAGAGAATCTGTGAGAAGACCTTGGAGCCCAGGTGCTTTCGGCATGATCTCATGACTATTTGTTTGGGCTTAAATTAAGTGGTGTTGGTTTTATGCCTCTCCCAATTTCCTTCCTTCTTTCCTTCCCAATGTCTTTCTTTCCTATCTTCTTCCTTCCGTTTCCTTCCTTTCCTTCTGTCTTTCCTTTCTTCTCTCCCTCTCAATTTCCTTCTTTCCTCTTTTCTCTCCTTCCCTCTCTCAATTTTCTTCCTTTCTTCTCTCTCTATTTCCTTCTTTCTTCTTCTTTTGCTCAGTTTCCTTCCTTTCCTTCTCTCTTTCAGTTTCCTTCCCTTCTTTCCCTCATTTTCTTTTCCCTCATTTTCTCATTTCCTTCTTTCCTTCCCTTCCCTTCCTTCTCTCTCATTTCCTTCTTCCTTTTCCTTTTCTCTCTCTCTCGGTTCTTTCCTTCCTTCCTTCCTTCTCTCTCTCATTTCCTTCCTTCTTCCCTTCTTCCCTTCCTTCCTTCTCTCTCTCATTTCCTTCCTTCCTCCCTTCTTCCCTTTCCTTCCTTCTCTTTCTCTCATTTCCTTCCTTCTTCCCTTTCCTTCCTTCTCCCTCTCATTTCCTTCCTTCCTCCCTTCTTCCCTTTCCTTCCTTCTCTCTCTCTCATTTCCTTCCTCCCTCCCTTCATCCCTTTCCTTATTTCTCTCTCTCATTTCCTTCCTTCCTCTCTTTTTCCCTTTCCTTCCTTCTCTCTCTCATTTCCTTCCTCCCTCCCTTCTTCCCTTTCCTTCCTTCTCTCTCTCTCATTTTCTTCCTTCCTCCCTTCTTCCCTTTCCTTCCTTCTCTCTCTCTCATTTCCTTCCTTCCTCCCTTCTTCCCTTTCCTTCCTTCTCTCTCATTTCCTTCCTCCCTTCTTCCCTTTCCATCCTTCTCTCTCTCTCATTTCCTTCCTTCCTCCCTTCTTCCCTTTCATCCCTTCTCTCTCGTTTCCTCCCTCCCTCCTTTCTTCCCTTTCCTTCCTTCTCTCTCTCATTTCCCTCTTTCCTCCCTTCTTCCCTTTCCTTCCTTCTCTCTCACATTTCCTTCCTTCGTCCCTTCTCTTCCTTTCCCGAGTGCATACTCTTTCCAAAAGGAGTTTGCAGCAATTGAAGCAAGCTGAGGACAAAGGCGGAGGAGGGAAGGGAGATAAACTGGGACATTTCAAAAGCGGCTTGGAAAAAGGGAAGGCAGAGGCGTAATGGGACCAGTCTCGCCAAATTGCTTTCGTGTCACCGACAAAACATATCCGTCTGCCCCTGCGTTTGGAAATGTTACAGTTCATCTCAGTCTCAATTGGCTTCGCAATGAGTTATTGCCCACTGGTTGGATGCTTTTAATGCTGCTCATCATCGTTTTATGGCTGTCTCGTTATTGTGTTTGTTTTCTTAAATAGCTTTGATGTAGGACACGCCAGGGTTCCTCCCTTCCGGACACTTTCCATCCACATCCAAGGGCAAATACGCAAGGGATCGTATTGGAATAGGGATACTCAAGTGGAACGCCAATGCTTACCAGCCGCAAACTCCCGTATGTTGTCTGGTCTCTGGAGCAGGACTTCCCTTGAACGACAGAAGGGGAAGAAATAGGCTTTAAGTTGAGTTTGCAAAATGCTTGGTTTCTTCCTCTTTTGCTTTGGTAGACTTTGGGTTGAAATTAGCCTTTCCTTATTTCAGATCACACTTGCACCCACCTTAAACAAGGCCTTATTATTATTATTATTATTATTATTATTATTATTATTATTATCCGTAGGGATACCAAGGTGCTTGTTTATTAAGCCATTGTCCTCCCAACCCTGCTATACGCCTGTGAGACATGGACTGTCTACAGATGTCAACATTGACACTGAAATATAACACCGCTTGAGCTCTGCGAGTGCAGCATTTTTCCAAATGAAGCAGAGAGTGTTTGAGGACCAGGACATCCGTAGGGATACCAAGGTGCTTGTCTATAAAGCTATTCCCCTCCCAACCCTGCTATACGCCTGAGAGACATGGACTGTCTACAGATGTCAACACTGACACTGAAATATAACACCGCTTGAGCTCTGCAAGTGTTACATGTTTCCGAATGAAGCAGAAAGTGTTTGAGGACTGGGACATCTGTAAGGATACCAAGGTGCTTGTTTATAAAGCTATTCCCCTCCTAACCCTGCTATATGCCTGTGAGACGTGGACTGTCTACAGACGTCAACATTGACACTGAAATATAACACCGCTTGAGCTCTGCAACATTTTCTGAATGAAGTAGAGAGTGTTTGAGGACCGGGACATCCGTAGGGAGACCAAGGTGCTTGTTTATAAAGCCATTGCCCTCCCAACCCTGCTATATGTCTGCGAAACGTGGACTGTCTACAGACGTCACATGCAACTCCTGGAACGATTCCATCAGCGCTGCCTCCGAAAAATCGTGCAAATCTCTTGGGAAAACAAGCATGCTGGAAGGTGCAAAGACCACCTGCATTGAAGCGATGGTCCTCCGCCACCAACTCCGCTGGACTGGCCACGTTGTCCAGATGCCCGACCACCGTCTCCCAAAGCTGTTGCTCTACTCCGAACTCAAGAACGGAAAACAGAATGTTGGTGGGCAGGAAAAGAGATTGAAAGATGGGCTCAAAGCCAACCTTCAAAACTCTGGCATAGACACTGAGAACTGGGAAGCCCTGGCCCTTGAGCGCTGCAGCTGGAGGTCAGCTGTGACCAGCAGTGCTGCAGAATTTGAAGAGGCACGAATGGAGGGCGAAAGGGAGAAGCGTGCCAAGAGGAAGGTGTGTCAAGCCAACCCCAACCGGGGTATATATATTGTTTCTTCCCCTTCTTCATTGCTTACCTGAGGAATCCGGAGAGCATCAGCCCTACTTCCTTGTGGGAACGCAAGTATCTCTCATTCGCAATCTTGGCGTTGATCTAGGACCAAAAGAAGACAGCTCAGATCAAGTCGAAAATATATCATGGTGCAGCGGGTGAAACCGCTGAGCTGCTGAACTCGCTGACCAAAAAGGTCGGCGGTTTGACTCCATGGAGCGAGGTGAGCTCCTGCTGTTAGCCCCAGCTTCTGCCAACCTAGCAGTTTGAAGGAAGGGAGGGAGGAAGGAAAAGAGAATGAAGGAAGAAAGGGTGGAAGGGAAGGACGGAAGGAGGAAGAGAGAGGAAGGAAAGACTAAAGGGAAGGGAAGGAGGAAGGAAAAAGAAGAAAGAAAGAAAGAAAGAAAGAAAGGGTGGAAGGAAGGAAAGAAAAGGGAAGGAGGGATGAAAGGAAGGAAAATGAGAAGGGTGGAAGGGGAAAGAGGGAAAGAAAGACAAAGGGGAAGGAAGGAAGGATGAAATGGTTGAAGGTAAGGAAGAAAGGGAAGGAGGAAGGAAAAAGAGAAAGGGAGAGAGGGAAGGGCAGCCAAAGGGAAGAAAGGATGAATGAGTGGAAGGAAAGGAAGGAAGAGGAAGGAAAAAGAGAAGGAAGGAAGGATGAAAGGAAGGAAAGGGGGAAGGGTGGAAAGGAAGGATGGAAGGAGAAAAAGGGAAGGAAGGATGAAAGGATGGAAAGTAAGGAAGAAAGGGAAGGAGGAAGGCAGGGTGGAAGGAGAAAGAGGGAATGAAAGACAAAAGGGAAGGAAGGATGAAAGAGTGGAAGGGATGGAGGAAAGGAAGGAAGGAAAAAGAGAAGGAAGGAAGGGTGGAAAGGAAGGATGGAGGGAGGAAGGGAAGGGTGGAAGGATGGAAGGAAGTGGTGTCATGGCTCTCAGTTCGCTAGCAGTTTGAAAACATGCAAATGTGAGTCGATCAATAGGTACCGCTCCGGCGGGAAGGTAAGGGTGCTCCATGCAGCCATGCAGGCCAGATGACCTTGGAGGTGTCTATGGCAACGCCGGCTCTTTGGCTTGGAAATGGACCTCAACTTGACCTTAATGCCAAGGAGAAACCTTTACCTTTACTAAGCCTCTCTCACTTTACATTTAAATGCAAAATATTAATTAATTTCCCCCTTCTCTTCCCCAACTCCAAGCCATGCCAATGTGTGGGTTGGGAATCAGCACGATTGCAAAGCCAGGCGGGTCGTGTGAGCTGTTGTGTGTGTTTCAGAGCCTTTTTCCGTGTCGTTTCCCCCACCGTTCTCTTTTGGACCCACCTTGAACTGGAGGAGCTGGTCTTGCTGCTTGGCGTGCAGGGAGCCCACGTCCAGGCACTCCAAGCCCGACGTGACGTCCACCATCTTTCCGCCTCCTTTCCAAAGCAAGGTTGTTAGTGTTGCCACGGGGACGGTTGCCACGGGGACGGTTGCCACCAGCTACCTTGGCATTGCCCATCACCTAGTAGCCGCCCGGCCCTCGCCTGGCTTGGCTCGCTTTGGCCACCCGGCTGCTTCCTAGGAGCAAAAAATAGAATATGTGTGTGTTTATATGTATGCGTATATCTATAGAGAGAGAAAGTGAGCAGAGTGTTCTTTGAACAAGGCATACATTTTGTACCCATTTATACATCTTGGATTATGACATAAAATCCAGAAGGAAGGAAATGAGAGAGAGAAGGAAGGAAAGGAAAGAAGGAGATGAGAGAGAAGGAAGGGAAGGAAAGGAGGAAGGGAGGGAGGAAATGAGAGAGAAGGAAGGAAGGAAGGGAGAGAGAGAGAAGGAAGGAGGGAGTAAATGAAAGAAGGAAGGAAGGAAGTGAGAAAGAGAAGGAAGAAAAGGAAAGGAGGAAGGGAGGGAGGAAATGAGAGAAGGAAGGAAAGGAAAGAACGGAGGGAGGGAGGAAAWGAGAKAGAAGGAAAGGAAAGGGAGGAAGGAAGGAAATGAAGGAAGGAAAAGGAAAGAAGGAAGGAAGTGAGAAAGAGAAGGAAGGGAAAGAAAGAAGGGAGGGAGGAAAKGAGAGWGAGAAGGGAGGGAAGAGAAGGAAATGAAAGGAAAAAGGGAAATGAGGGAGAGAAGGAAAGGAAGGAAAGAAATGAGAGAGAAGACAAGGAAAAGGAAAGAAGGAAATGAGAGAGGGAGGAAAGGGAAGGGDGGAAGGAAATAAATGCGTGAGAGAAGGAAGGGAAGGGAAGGAAAGAAGGGAGGGAGGGAAGGAGAAAGAAAAKGGGAGCGAGAAGGAAGGAAATGAGAGAGAAGGAAGAGAAGGAAAGGAAAAGAAAAGAAAGGAAAGAAGGAAATGAAAGAGAAGGAAAAGAAGGAAGGAAAGACATGAGAGAAGAAAGGAAAGAAGGAAATGAGAGAGGGAAGGAAAAGAAAGAAGGGAGGAAGGAAATGAGAGAGAAGGAAAGGGGGGAGGGAGAAAATGAGAGAGAGAAGGAATGGAAGGGAGGAGAAGAAAAGGAAAAGAAAGGGAAGAGGGAAATGAGAGAGAGAAGGAAAAGTAGGAAGGAAAGAAATGAGAGAGAGGAAAGGAAAGGAAAGAAGGAAATGAGAGAGAGAAGGAAAGGAAGGAAGGAAAGAAATGAGAGAGAAGAAAGGAAAGAAGGAAATGAGAGAGGGAAAGAAAGGAAGGAAGGAAATGAGAGAGAGAAGGAAGGGAAGGAAAGGAGGGAGGGAGGAAATGAGAGATGTGGAAGGAATGGAGGTAAGAAAGGATGAAAATTGAAAGAGAGAAGGAAAGTAAGGAAACAGAGAAGGAAGGAAGAAGAAAGGGAAAAGGAAAGAGAGAAGATTGGAAGAAAATAGAGGGAAGGAAGGAAATTGAGAAGGAAGGAAGGAAAGAGAGAAGGAAAGTAAGGAAACTGAGGGAACGAAGGAAGGAAAGGAGGAAATTGAAAGAGAAAAAGAAGTAAGGAAATTGAAAAAAGGGAGGAAATTGGGAGAGAAAAGGAAGGAAAGAAATTGAGAGAAGGAAGGAAATAGAGGGAGGGAGAACAGGAAGGGAACTGAAAGAGAGAAGGAAGGAAACTGAAATACTGAAGGAAATGAAAGAAATTGAGAGAAGGAAGGAGGAAGAAAGGAAAGAAGGAAATTGAGAGAGAGAAAGAAAGAAGGAAACTGAGTGAGAGAGGAAGGAAGGAAATTAAGAGATGGAAGGAAGGAAGGAAATTGAGAGAAGGAAGGAAAGGAGGAAGGAAAGGAACAGAAGAAAAGAAATTGAGGGAAGGAAAGAAATTGAGAGAAGGGAAGAAAAGAAAGAATGTAAGGGAGGGAAGAAGGAAGGAGAATTGAGACGGGGTGGAGGGGAAGAAAGAAAAGAAACTGAGTAGAGGAAGGAAGGAAGGAAAAAGAGAAGGAGGGAAGGGAGAACGAGAAAGCAAAAAAAACAAAAGGGTAGAGGATCAAGTCTTGGGACAATTGGGATATTCCAGAGACTTTTCCATGCAATTCCTCTGTGTCTTTTCCGAACATGCCTCTCGCCACATGGTGCCATAACCCCGAAGGCAGATTAGCAGACCCTTCTCCCCTCCGGATGAACAACAAAAAGGCCCAGGACTCCGTGGGAGGCCAAGATCCATGTGCCAAGTTGCCCTCTGACAGTTGGCACAGTCCCTTTGTCCAGCTGGGCACATCCAATGCATGCCTTGCCTTTGTGATTTCCCTGGCATTCAGTCCGGCCGACGACAAAATTATGTCGTCTGGCTTTCCTTCTGTGTTTCGGAGTCCACAATTCCGGGAGAGTTATTCCGAAATGGAAAGATTTAAGAAAATTTCAGCGGGAGTTGTTCCATACAACTAGAATGGATTTATTCCAGGAAAACAAATTTAATACAACATTAGAGTATTATTAATGCCCTGGAATATTGGGAGAAACACATTGAAAACAAGGTCTCGCTAATATTTGTGGATGCAGAAAAAGCACTCGACAAGATCAACTGGGAATATTTAATGCATAATAATAACAACACTAATTAATATTATTAATAATAATTAATAATTAGTATTATTAATACTAATTAAAATTATTAATACTAATACTATTAATATTAATTAATATCATTAATTACTAACTAATAATAATTAAGACTCTAGCACAAACCAGTGTATCTATCTAATGAAGTTTGAGACTTAATAATAATAATAATAATAATAGACACTTGCACAAGCCAGTCAAGGTGGTCCCAGTGGTGATCGGCACACTGGGTGCAGTGCCTGAAGACCTTGGCCTGCACTTAAACACAATTGGCGCTGACAAAATTACCATCTGCCAGCTGCAAAAGGCCACCTCACTGAGATCCGCATGCATTCTTCACCGATACATCACATAGTCCTAGACACTAGGGAAGTGTCTGACATATTCGCTTACCAGAACTCGGTATCCGCGGTCCTGGTTTCGATAGCCGCGGCCAGGTCTTACTATCCGCAGCTGCTTTAAATTGCTCGATTTCACAGAGATTTGAGTTTTTGCCGGCCCATGTGTGAAAACGGTCGACCATTCCCAAAATCTAAACGCATAACCTATACTCAATATGTATATATGAACATTTGGATTTGGCTCCAAAAGTGACACTCTACCAATACTACACATCTCTTATGTCTTGACCCATACATTACTGAAATCACACAGTTTAAACTACGAGCAATCATATAACAATACATACTGACACACGGATCCACAGTCAGCCCGCTGCCGGGGCTGGTATTCGCTTAACAGAACTCAGTATCCACGGTCCCGGTTTTGATATCCGCGGTCATGGTTATGATATCCGCTTTCCTGGTTTCACTATCCGCGGTCCTGATCATGATATTAGCGGTCCTGGTTACGATATCCATGGTCCTGGTTATGATATCCGCGGTCCTGGTTTCGCTATCCTCGGTCCTAGTGACGATATCTGTGGTCCTGGTTACGATATCCGCGGTCATGGTTTCAATAACCATGGTCCTGGTTACGATATCCGCAGTCCTGGTTACGACACCCCTGGTCCTGGTTTCACTATCTGCGGTCCTGGTTACGCTATCTGCGGCCCTGGTTACGATATCCGCGGTCCTGGTTTCGCTATCCTCGGTCCTGTTGACGATATCTGTGGTCCTGGTTATGATATCCGCGGTCCTGGTTTTGCTATCCGCGGTCCTGGTTACGATATCTGTGGTCCTGGTTACGATATCTGTGGTCATGGTTTCAATATCCGCGGTCCTGGTTACGACACCCCTGGTCCTGGTTTCACTATCTGCGGTCCTGGTTACGATATCCGCGGTCCTGGTTGCAATATCCATGGTCATGGTTACGATATCTGCGGTCCTGGTTTCGCTATCCGCGGTCCTGGTTACAATATCCACAGTCCTGGTTTCGATATCCGTGGGTCTGGTTTCGCTATCTGTGGTCCTGGTTTCGCTATCCGCGGCCCTGGTTTCAATATTTGCGGTCCTGTTACAATATCCGTGGTCCTGGTTTCAATATCCACGGTCCCAGTTACGATATCCGCTGTCCCAGTTTCAATATCCGTGATACTGGTTTCGATATCTGCGGTCCTGTTACGATATCCACGGTCCTAGTTTCAATATCCGCGGTCCCGGTTTTGCTATCTGCGGCCCGGATCTCACTATCCGCAGCTGCTTTAAATTTCACGATTTCACAGAGATTCGAGTGTTTGGTGGCCCATGCGTGAAAGGGATTGACCATTCCCAAACTCTAAACACATAAGGTATACTCAATATGTATATATGGACATTTGGATGTGAGTTTTTGGGCGGTGCATGAAAGGAGTTCACTATTCTTGAAAGCTCAAAGCATAAGGGATACTCAACCTCGATATATGGAAATGTGGGTTTTTTGGTGGCCAGAAGCCATTCTTGGGACCTTCCCTCTCTTTGAGGGGGACGGAACGGGTGTCCCTTGCGGTCGTCCCTCGGCTGAAGCCTTTCCTTCTGCTCCTCCGTCGTCTCCGCAGCTGTTCCCTCTCTCCCAGCCAAGGGCTGCCTCTTGACCCACTTTCGCTTTGCTCCTTCCTTCCCTCCAGCTTCCAGGCACAAGCTGTTCGGGCCCACGGATGAGGCATGCGCTTCGCCTCCTTTGGAGCATCCTTTTGACATCAGCTTGGCTCATGGCTCGACTACAAAGGTATTTACTTATCATGTCAGAAGCAAATCAAGAATACAGTCATAATGTATGAAAAAAAACAAAGACACACCTAGGTATATCAGTCTAACAGCTGAATGGCCATCTGCTGGGAGGGCTTTGACGGTGTCTTCTTTCCTAGAAGAAGGGGGTTGGACTGAGTCCTTTGATGGAGTATTTCCTCATTCTTCTGCCCGCTGCTGCGCCACAGCCCGGTCTTTTTTCAAAGACACACTTAGGTATATCAGTCTAAAAGCTGTATGGCATCTGTTGGGAGGGCTTTGATGGTGTCTTCCTGCTTACTCCGATCCAGGCTGGCTTCGAACTCATGTAGTCATTTAATGCAGCTGGGTATTAACTAGCTGTGCCACAGCCCGGTCTTTTTCAAAAGACACACATAGGTATATCAGTCGAACAGCTGAGAAACCTGCTGTGTGGCCATCTGTTGTGAGGGCTTTGATGGTGTCTTCCTGGACTGGATGGTCTTTGGAGGTCCCTTCTGAATCTGCGACCTTCCCCTCTCGGAACCGTGGAGGTTTTGCCCCAATGCCTCCGTGGCACCGATTGCCGCGCGAGACGCCTGGCCCTGTAATGCATATTGGCATCTGTCGGGAAGCGTGCGCTGTGTGTGGATATTGGATGTGACAAGATGATTTAAGAATTTGCTCGTTTTCCACCATGATCTCATTCGGGGTCGGGGAGAGAGGGAGGGACGGCGGGATGCCTGTGCGCAAAGAAAGACCGGCAAAGAGGGCCTGATCGGAGATTCCTCTCCACTCTCCCTTGCCTCCGTGCTTAATTTCTAAAGCCAACGCTGAGCCGTCGCTTTAATTCCTCCTGACCTGGATTAATACGGGCGGCTCGGCTGCCAAACACCGAGGCGAAAGGGATAGGCTTCGCAAGCATGACATCAAACATAGAACGATCAGAGTTAGACGAGACCCCCAGTGCAACCCCATTCTGCCCAGCCAGAGGGCACCATCAAAGCCCTCCCAACAGATGGCCATAAGGTGCAGTCAAAAATAAATAACATCGAAGCATATGTTGTCAAAATGAATCGCCTTGGTTCAATGCTACGGAGTCATGGGGGCTTTCATTTGAGCTTCCTCTGCAAGGTAATTTTGCCCCCCAAAAAGGGTGAGCGTAAGATTCGAGTCAATGGATGAGTGTGGGTGCATCTCCAAAAAAGGGGAAGGTAAAGATGAATACGATAGCGTTCCACCTTTCTCGGCTGTCTCTCTTTGGTTTCGCACTATGATTGTCTTATGCGAATCTAATGCGCAGCCTAATTTTTTGCAAGGTAATTTTGCCTCCCAAAAGGGTGAGCGTTAGATTTGAGTCAGTGGGTGAGTGTGGGTGCATCTCCAAAAAAGGGGGAGGTAAGGATGAATACAATAGAGTTCCACCTTTCTCGGCCTTCTCTCTTTGGCTCCACTCTATGACTGTCTTATGCGAATCTAATGTGCACCCTATTTTTTTGCAAGGTAATTTTGCCCCCCAAAAAAGGTTGAGTATTAGATTCGAGTCAATGGGTGAGTGTGGGTGCATCTCCAAAAAAGGGGAAGATAAGAATGAATGAGATAACATTCCACCTTTCTTGGCCTTCTCTCTTTGGTTCCGCACTATGACTGTCTTATGCAAATCTAATGCGCACCCTAAATTTTTGCAAGATAATTTTGCTTCCCAAAAGGGTGAGCATTACATTTGAGTCAATGGGTGAGTGTAGGTGCATCTCCAAAAGTGGTGAAGGTGAGTACGAATCCAATAGCGTTCCACCTTTCTCGGCCTTCTCTCTTTGGTTCCGCATTATGACTGTCTTATGCAAATCTAATGTGCACCCTAAATTTTTGCAAGGGGAATTTTGCCTCCCAAAAGGGTGAGCGTTACATTCGAGTCAATGGGTGAGTGTGGGTGCATCTCCAAAAATGGTGAAGGTGAGTATGAATGCGATTGCGTTCCACCTTTCTCAGCCTTCTCTCTTTGGTTCCGCACTATGACTGTCTTACGCAAATCTAATGCGCACCCTACATTTTTGCAAGGTAATTTTGCCCCCAAAAGGGTGGGCATTAGATTCGAGTTAATGGGTGAGTGTGGGTGCATCTCCAAATAAGGGGAAAGTAAGGATGAATCTCTGGCTCTGCACTATGACTGTCTTATGCAAATCTAATGCGCACCCTAATTTTTTGGAAGGTAATTTTGCCTTCCAAAAGGGTGAGTGTTAGATTCGAGTCAATGGGTGAGTGTGGGTGCATCTCCAAAAATGGGGAAGGTGAGGATGAATGCAATAGAGTTCCACCTTTCTCAGCCTTCTCTCTTTGGCCCCGCACTATGACTGTCTTATCCAAATCTAATGCACATCCTAATTTTTTGCAAGGTAATTTTGCCCCCAAAAAGAGTGAGCGTTAGATTCCAGTCAATAGATGAGTGTGGGTGCATCTCCAAAAATGGGGAAGGTGAGGATGAATGCAATAGAGTTCCACCTTTCTCGGCCTTCTCTCTTTGGTTCCGAACTATGATAGTCTTATGCAAATTTAATGCGCACCCTAAATTTTTGCAAGATAATTTTGCCTCCCAAAAGGGTGAGCATTAGATTCAAGTCAACGGGTGAGTGTGGGTGCATCTCTAAAAAAGGGGAAGGTGAGGATGAATATGATAGAGTTCCACCTTTGTCTTATGCGAATCTATTGCGCACCCTAAATTTTTGCATGGTAATTTTGCCTCCCAAAATGGTGAGCGTTAGATTCGAGTCAATGGGTGACTATGGGTGCATCTCTAAAAAAGGGGAAGGTGAGGATGAATACGATAAGAGTTCCACCTTTCTCGGCCTTCTCTCTTTGGCTCCACACTATGACTGTCTTATGCGAATCCAGTGCACACCCTAAATTTTTGCAAGGCAATTTTGCCTCCCAAAAGGGTGAGCGTTAGATTCGAGTCAATAGGTGAGTGTGGGTGCATCTCCAAAAGTGATGAAGGTGAGTATTAATGCGATAGCATTCCACCTTTCTCTGCCTTCTCCCCTTGGCTCCGCACTATGACTGTCTTATGCGAATCTAATGCGCACCCTACATTTTTGCAAGGTAATTTTGCCTCCCAAAAGGGTGAGCATTAGATTCGAGTCAATGGGTGAGTGTGGGTGCTTCTCCAAAAATGGTGAAGGTGAGTATGAATGCGATAGCGTTACACCTTTCTCAGCCTTCTCTCTTTGGTTCCACACTATGACTGTCTTATGCGAATCTAATGCGCATCCTAAATTTTTGCAAGGTAATTTTGCCCCCAAAAGGGTGGGCGTTAGATTCGAGTCAATGGGTGAGTGTGGGTGCATCTCCAAAAATGGGGAACGTATGGATGCCTTCTCTTTCTGTCTTCCCTCTGTGTCTCTCTTTCTCTCCCTTTCCTGGCCTTGATCCCTCCCTCCCTCGCTCTCTCTCTCTCTCTCCAAGGTAGCGCCTGCCTTCTTCTAATTGTGATCTGGCCAGCTGTGTTTCAGCACCCAGGACAGCTCCGAACAATGGGCAGCACTGGAGAGAGAGGGCCCAGGGACCGTCCTCCAATTCCGCAGCCGGAGAAAGGACGAATGGGAAAGAAGAGCCGAGAGAGGGCGGAAGAGAGAAGCAAAGAAAGAAAGAGAGAGGAGGGAAGAAAGAGAGACACAGAGAAAAAGGAAAGAAGGAAGGAAGGAAGGAAGGAAGGAAGGAAGGAAGGAAGGAAGGAAGGAAGGTGGAAGTGGCTGGGAAGGAGGGATAGAGGAAGAAAGGGATTGAAAGAAAAAGGGAAAAAGAGAGGAAAAGGAGAAAGGAAGGAAGGAAGAAAAAGAAAGGAAGGAAGGAAAGAGAGGACAAAGAGGGTGGAAGGGAAGAAATGAGAGAGGAGGAGAGAGAGGAAGAAAGATAGATAAAAAGGAGGGAGGTAAGGCAGAAAGGAAAGAGGAAAGAAAGAAAAAGAAAGGAGGAAAGAAAGGAGGAAAGAGGAAGAAAGAGGTGAAGGAAGGAAGGTGGAAAGAGAGGAGAAAAAAGAGAGGAGGGAAGGGAAAGAAGGAAGAGATAAAAGAAAAAGAAAAGAGTTAGGGAAGGGAGAAAGGAGGAGGGAAGGAAGGAAAAGAAAGGAAGGAAGGAGAAAGAGAGGAGAAAGAGGGATGAAGGGAGGAAGAGAGAGGAGAAAGAAAGAAAGAAAGAAAGATAAAAAGGAGGGAGGTAAGGCAGAAAGGAAAGAGGAAACGAAGAAAAAGAAAGGAGGAAAGAGGAAGAAAGAGGTGAAGGAAGGAAGGTAGAAAGAGGAGAAAAAGGAAGGAAGGGAAAAGAAGAGATAGGAAGAAAGAAAAAAGAAAAGAAAGAAAAGAGGGAGGAGGGAGAAAGGAAGGAGGAAAGGAAGAAAAAGGAAAGAAGGAAGGATGAAAGAGGAAGAAAGAGAGGTGAAGGAAGGAAGGTGGAAAGAGGGGGAAGAAAGCAAAAAGGAAGAAAAAGAAAAAGAGGAAAGAAGAAGAAATAAAGGAAAGAGGAATAAAAAAGTGGGAAGAGGAGGAAGAAAGAAGGAAAAAGAAAGGAAGGAAAAGGGAGGAATGAAACAGGAAAGAAAGAAAAAGGAAGAGAGACATGAAGGAAGGAAGGCAGAAAGAGGAGGAAAGAAAAAGAAAAAGAAAGGGAAGCGAGGAAGTGAGAGAGGAGGGAAGAGAAATAGGAAGAAAGAGAAAGAAAGACATGTAAAGGAAGGAAGCCAGAAAGAAAGGAGGGAAGAGAAAAGAAGGGACGACACAATAGGAGGAGAGAGAGAGATGAATAAAGTAAGAAAAAGAAGGAAAGGAGAGAAGAAAGGGAGAAAGGAAGGCGAGAAGGAAAAAGGGGGGAAGAGGAAGAAAGGGAGATAGGTAGGAAGGAAGGAGGAAAGAGGAAGGAAGAAGGAAGGAAGGTGGAAAGAGAGCAGAAT